TCTGAAAAGGGGGATGAGATCCAGACTATATGTTGTATCTGTAAATGGAACCATCCCAAATTGCTGACATCTAGACAAATCTGATTTAAAAAGCCAACCCAAAAAAATGTGCATATGTACACCCAAAGGAGCAAAGGCTTTCAAAAACATCAAAACTTTTAAAATACCGTAAGTAAGAACAGCACAAGAGCTTGTGTTTTAAACTTTGCATTATATTGACAGAGTATGAAGTAATTAATGTGGTTTTAAATGTAGAGTTCTGTAGACATAACGTTTGGTAATGGACGTTTTTAGCATGGGGAATTACCTTGGATAGGCAAGAGTCACTCACAGCTATAGTTCACTGTGTGCATAAGCATTGCTTAAGCAGTTAGGAAAAAATTATTTACTGTTTCTGTAAATTAGTTTGACTTACACTGTATTGTATTTTCGACCGTAAAACAATTTTTTCCCCAGCAAGGTAGAACTACAGTGCATTAGAAGAAACTGTCACTAGTTATGCTATTGCATTTGTGGAATGCTCTTAGCTTACAGAAAGTTTACTAAGGTTGGGTGGAAGTTTCTACACAATCATTAAATTTCTGTTGGTTACAAATAAAAACATCAGGATCTTTGTTCTACTTACCGGTATAGAAGAAACTGACCTAAAAAAATAATAATGCATTGTCTAATTTATATCCTTACCATCAACAAACGTGCTAGCTCTACATTATATGAAACCCTTAAATGTGCTGTTCCAGGTTTACTTCATGTTGCTAAATACCTTAAGAACTTGGAAATAAATTAACTTTTAAGGCCTGGGCAGCTTACAAAAAATTGAAACATTTTGTGCAAATATTTTTTTCTTCTGAATACAACTGTTTTCTAGATATCACTCAATAAATGCTAGGGAGATTCTTTCTAAAGAGCCCAAAATATTAATGTTCTCATGTGCCCTCATTCAGCTGGCACAATGCAATTACTGAAGCTAGCCTCTGAGGATTAGAAACTATACACAAACAGTTGTCAAGTGCACTATTTATGGTGGCGTCCAGATGTTGAGACTGCATGTACAGTTCCCGTTACGCTCTCCTCATGAAGAACCAGAAATGCAGCCCTAATAAAATGATTAGTGTCAGCAGAACTCATTGTTTGTTCAAGGATGAGGAAGGTTCAAACACAAGGCATATTGATTAGGAACACACAGAGCTTGATTGGGACCTTAGTTTTAAAGTGCCCTGTGATGTGTTACCAGTCTTGACTAATAAATTAATTGAATTTTGCACAGTCCACTTTCATATCAGTAATAATCCTGAATGAGTTTTAGGAACCCACGTGATTTTATTACGATATAGTGACTATTATCAGTCATGTTGATTCTGCCACATCAGTGATATCTGTCTCATCAACTCTAAAAATGTAATGATTTATTCCAAATTCAGAGCATTATATTATAAGAATGTCACTCTTTACACTGACCTAACCTAAATATATTTAACTAGAATAGTCAGTATATTTAGTCCCTTTGCTAGTTGTGATTAAAATTATGTGAAAGAGCTTCTATAGTCAAATGGAAAATTGTGTAAAATGTACTAAAAATCTAGCAATGTCCCCTTTTCTAAGCTAATATACAATAAAATATTACAATATGATCCACAGATAGCTGAAGCATTAGATATAAAGGGTAGGATTCAAAGAACCATGCATGGTATTGCTCCCCTACCCCCCGGTCCTGCCAGCCTGCTACAGCTCCCTTACAAAGCTATTCCCAGAGTTGGGGGGCCTATGCAGAGCTGCTCCCAATATTGTGCCTGGGGTTGCATCTAGAAAGGTGCATGTATGGACCTCTTTGGATCCCATCCATTGTAGTTTTAATCCAGACAAATTTGCCAGGCTAGTTTTGTGGATCGTGTCTACAGTAGGCTAAACGGTTTGCAAGGTATATATATATATATATATATATATATATATATATATATATATACTTATACAGATTTAGGGGAAGAGGAACTATAAAATTGGTGGTCCCCTTCAACTAGACATCTATTTTCCCAATGTTCTTTTCTTAGCCTGAAGATAAAATGTTCATGTAAAAATATTTCTAAGGAATAATGAGCTGCTTTTTAAAAAAAGATAAAAACATTGTAACGGCACACAGGCAGTGTTTTAACCTTAGTCGGTGGTGGGTTTGTTTTTCTTTTCAACAGCATGTGTAGTCATTTTAATTATCATTTTAGTATTCCTCCATAAGTGTAACGGTAATTTTGCAGCTGCACCTATAATCAGAATATGGCATTACAACAGTCAAGTTACTCAAAATCATGTGCATAGCAGGTAGCGGTTTACTCTGTGTGTGTATTCTTCCCCAATGGTACTATTCTTCAGTAGGATATTCTTAACCAAAAGGTGTGTTAAAGTCATGGCATGAAAAATTGTAAATGTAAACGAGTACATGTAATGCTAATTTAAAAGAATTTTCTTAAATTTATGTGATGCTTAATATTTCCTTAGAAAATTTGTTTTAAAGGTAGATCACTGTTCTGAAGGATGTTGGTCCTAATGGAATAAAAATAATGGAAATAAAATGCATGTGTTACAATTGTAGACATGGTAAAGAATTAAATGTGAACTTACTGTACGATACCGACTCTGTTTTCAAACAATCTGTTTTGCTGTTCTATTGTTAACATATATTTAAAAAGCAAATGTACTGTAACTTAGCACTTTTTTTCCTATGTGCCCTGTTCTCACTATACTAGAGGTACAAAATGGCATAGGTGTGGAACATGTAATCATGCCTGCATGTATATTTCAGGGTTTTTGCTTTTCTTGATGTACAAGACTGGTCTCTGCAGACATCATCTTAAGTGCAAAACCCTCTCTATCTATTGACTTATACTGTTACCTTACACAGTTCCAGAAATGTTTTTAAAGCAACTTAAGTTCAGGGTCTCTTTACATGATCTCTTTTCTAAAAGATAAGCGTTGGCCATTAAAGAGTAGACTTTGGGGATAATTCGTTTGAGCTCCTAAACACCTAGCTGAGGATGTAATCACATATGCCTTTAACAGGATGACATTTAAAGTTTTTGAATGTGGCATCCCCACACTTGCCATCAAGCAAGTACAGATTTGAAAGGGATGTACTGTATACTGCAAAACCCAGAGAGAGATCATGCCAACAAGAAATGGCCAGAAATGACCACTTTGCCAGTATGTCTATATGCATGGAGTGGGGAGCAAAGAAAAGAAAAGTGGAATTGAGTATTAAGGGCATATGCAAATCTATCCTGAGACAGCACCACATATAGGTGTCACAGTAAATTTGCTTAATTTCATTACAAGCATTGCAGAACATCAGAAAATGAGGAAGAATGTACTCTTGTGAAGAGACCTCTCAAGCAGGACACAGTAACAGGCTAACAATTAAATTCCGTATTTTGCTATCGCTTCTTGTTTGGGTGAAAGAATTAAGACTCGGGGTCCCGTTCACTTGAGGTACTTACAAAAATGAAAAGGGAGGCATTCAAGTACATGGATATATTGAATACGAGCCACTGCTTATTGAAGGAGGGTATATTTTTCCCAGAGCAATGTGTTGAGTATGGACAGGTAAAGCGTCTTAGTGAGAGAAAGGATGCTTGAAGAGGAAGGAATACAAATTATTTTGGCTGTGCTGCAATCAAAACAAGCCTTAGGATAGATAAACACACACACACACACATGCACTGAATGACACATTTCAGAGCAAGGCTGAATATTCTCTCACATTTAAAGAAAATCTGCATGGCTCTAGTAAGCTAGCATGACAGAGAAAAATGGTTCTAACCAGTGGCGTAGCGTGGGGGGTGCAGGGGGGCCGACTGCACCGGGCGCAACATCTGGGGTGGGGCGCTCTCTCACTCGCAGCTCTCTGCCCCCTGCTAAAATCCACGGGTTAGGGGGCGCAAATTACTTGCCTTGCCCCGGGTGCTGACAACCCACGCTACGCCACTGGTTCTAACACAGCCTTTTTCTGATATGCTGATTTTTCTGTACAGGAGTTTGTAATATGGAGAAGCTTTAAGTCTTGTGGTCCCTTGTCTTCTGAAGTAGCAGAGTCTTGGCAGGACTATACTGCATGCATTTTCTGAATATGTGGGTGAACTCTCAGCTAGTCAGCACATGACGACACACAGCTTGAATGTGTGATCCACTTCCATTGAAGGATTACGTAGGATGAGAGAGCTCCGATTACCTATTCAAATCCATCTATATGGTCATCATTTTAATCAATGTGATAAACATTAATGCATGAAGTTCTTCAAGTAATTAAAAAGCTCTGCTTTTTAACTAGGCTGGGATTGAGAAGGCACTGAATTTTTGCTGAGAGATGTCAGTAAACCAGGATCAGATGTGAAGCGGGAAAGTAAGGCTTATCTGTAGAGTAGTATGTGCTGTAAAGCATCAAGCTCAAAACTAAGCAGCCAGGAGTCAGAAAACAAAGATCACAACCAAACGTACATGGATACTTTGGGGCTCTCTTCAGAGGAAGAGGGATTCAAAAAGGCAAGGTAAGATTGAAATAGTAATCAAGTTGCTTTAAATCTTACAGAGGAGATAGGCTTCAAAATCCATGTTAAAGGGAAGACAGGAGATAAGGGTGTTTAGGTGGTGGCAGGGTTTTAGTAGTGAAAAACAGGCATATCAAATGAGATATAAATGGCCATAATGGATGGCAGAGATATGTACAAAACCAATGGCAGGCACAGAGTTAAAAAAAATGTCCAAGATCAGAAGACAGGTGTTGTTCCTGGGATCAAAGGGAGCAGGGAGATGCATGGAGTCAAAACTTTGTATGGAGAAAATGGAACTAGGAGGCTTAGTGATGATAGTCAATGAGGTAGAATCATTATGGCTCTTGTTACATTCCAAGGCCACTGCTATGTGCAGCGAGAAGATTTGTAAAAAGGGAATATTCTAAAGATTTCCACCCTGTGAGCAGTTTTTAGCTCTGTCAGGGTACAGGGCTAAAAGCTTGGTAGCACCCAAATCTTAAACTATCCCGTGGTCTACTGTAAGTTTATTCATAGACTGATGACTGCTTCCAGGCATTTCTCTAATTATTCTATAGCATTTCTTCACATTGGACTGTTAAAGGTAAACACACAAGATGAAGTGAAGCTTAGATTAAAAATGAGTACCTAGAGCTCTAAGTTTAAACTACTTAATAGTTTATCTCACTTTGAATTTTTTAAAAAGTTGAATCATTTGCCACTGATTCCAGCTACCCGTACAATGCTTCATTAGTTTGGTTTTTGAGGCCATGTAAATACCCGACCCTGAAATTCAGACTAAGTAAGCCTATCAGCAAACTCCCTGTGTTACACTCAAGATTTGCTTCTAAAATCTTCAGCATACTCTAGTATTAACGGGGTGTTCAGATGTGACTTGTCATGTACTGTACTCAAAGGTTCATTGATCAGTGACTGTATTGTACTGTATGAATAATCATAAATTGCCTTGTATTGTTTATAATAAGACTGTACTAAGTACCACACAGATTTCCATGTTCCAAGTTTGTCGGCAAAGCATGTGGGCAGTTAGGTCCTGAAACTATGTGGTGCTAACTCTTACATATCTAATGGTGCTTTTGTGGATGCTAACTGCTGACATGCTGGGGAGAAAAAAAGCTTGAAGTTGAAAAGTGTCTCATCCGTTCGTAAAAGTAAAAAACAACCATGATTTAAACTTGAATTGTTTCACAGTACCATTGACAATCCGGTGTTTTATATGTGTGTACTTTTTATTGGGTTTTCAGATGATTCTTCAAAAAGCAGCTCCCCCATTTCTCCTATAAATGGATTTGTATTTGACCCAGGCAATAGCCTTTTCATGTTGACTGCTTATCCCTGCATCTCTGTTTGAATCCGGTGAATATTCAGCCTGCTTATGTATTTTCAGGGGGGTGGGCAGGGGAAGTCACATGAGATGTTCTTATTCACACAGTCATTCCAGAAGAGTAAGGCAGTTTCTTCTTAAAAAACACTTATACTGAGGCCAGATCATATATATTCTAGAACAATTAACCATTGGGTCTGATCATCCTGCTTATTATGAACCATAAAGCTGTTTCATACATTGTAGTCAAATATGACTGAATAAACACTTAAAAGGAAGCTGAAACCAATCATGGCTCTTTGCCTAGTGTACCTGTATAACACGTTTATTTGCTGCAATCACGTGTAACATTTTTAGATGTACATATAAATTGTACATCTTAAAATATGCCTGCAAGTAGAAGCGGAATGATAAAAGTGAATCAAACCAAAGTTTTCAGAGGTTGAGAGTTTAATGAATAATAAAATCATGTCTCTAGAGGTCTAATGAAGGCAAAATGGAGCAAAGCTTAATTTTCACATCAAACGACGTGCTTTAATGCTGCTCTGTATCCATTTATGTGAAAAGCTGCACATACCTGTAGTGGTGTTCAAACATCTATGAAGGGGGGAGCATAATTCTGTTTCCCACATGATCTTATTTCACACAAGAATGGGAATTGCCTGATGACATGAATTGGCCTGTTGGTGATCGTTATATAGGCTCTACAATTTATAGAATCCTGGCAAATCAAAATACTGTAGTTCTGTTCTTTTACAGTTCACCTACACTTCGAAGAGATGGGAATATTCCTTGTCTGCCAGCAGTGTACTTACTACTTTTTAAATAAAATGAATAGAATTGCTCAATTTTATCTCAAATACTATAAGGGAGATCGCAACACGTTAAAAACCAAACAACTCTTACGGCTCTGGAATAAAACCTGCCCCCAATTCCAATTTTAACCCACTCAGGACTCCAGGTTTAAATGACCATCAATTGGACATACTATTGTACAACTAACTCTGTTTCCAAGTGTAATTAAGAGGGTGGGGGTGGGGTAGATAGCACAAAGCATTGTGAATGTGGATTCAACAAAGAGGCAGAGAAGTAATATCCCTAGATTGTGTGAGGGGGAAAGAGAGGAGGTAATGTCCAAACCCTGGTGCAAATATAATGGCATCAAGTTAACTTCAGAAATACTTAAAACACCTCTAAAAGTACAGTAGTATATGCCATGCGTAATGTAGACTAAATTCTGCACTGTACCATTTCAGACAGGAGGTAAAAGGTAAGTTGCTTTTTTTTTTTAATGCTACCTCGTGTAAAAAAAAACAACTCCCTGGTAACTTGTCTTGCCAAGGAGAAAGGCATGCTGTATGCTACATGTAGGAAGTTACCTTTGTAAAAAAATTCATATTTTTTATTTACTCATACAGGGGAGCATTCAAAGATACATTTCTCCCCACCTGTTGTCTTCAACTGGTACCGTCCAGAAATAAAGCACCACATTCTTCATCGTATGTAAAAAAACCACACATTCCTTACTCTGTGAAAGATGATGTCCAGTTATACATGTCTCCTTATGAGGTGTCTGGATAGGTACCCAAAGGAAGAAAACTCATCACTTAAAAAAACAAAAAAAAAGCCAAAGTGTTTCCTGCCTCCATTGCCACTGCTCTTCCTTGCAAACATATTTGTCATACCGGATTTCCTAAATTTTTTTGCTAGAATATATATTTTTTAAAAAATACTGAGCTGCTTTTTGGAGGAATATTCATATATAGATATATATATATTTGTCAGTTTGACAAGTCTATTTGCCCCATTATCAACTGAATTTACATGTTGTTTGCCACTGTTTGTTCTGTCTTACAATAAATTGCTTACTTGTGTAGTCTTACACATTTATTCTGTTTTTAAGCTAATATTGAATATATCAGCTTCACTGAATTTGTAGTATACATATCCCTGATATTTCTATACATTTAGCTCAAATGCTTGCACAAACGTGTATCTTAACTATGAGAAGAGAGGATCTCACAGCCTAAAAGCCTGTTTCTTTGTATCCATTTGATTATTCCAAAGAGCTGCCAGAATGTTTTATTTTAGCGATAATACCCCAGTAAACTGGAAGCACCACTCCTCAGAAGCTTAGTGGCTTATGAAGAAAAAAGTGCAGTTGGTCTTCTAAACTAAAGTAGTGATTTTTAACTGAGTAGGAAAAAGAAGAAGAGTTTGGATTTGATATCCTGCTTTATCACTACCCGAAGGAGTCTCAAAGCGGCTAACATTCTCCTTTCCCTTCCTCTCCCACAACAAACACTCTGTAAGGTGAGTGAGGCTGAGAGACTTCAGAGAAGTGTGACTGGCCCAAGGTCACCCAGCAGCTGCATGTGGAGGAGCGGAGACGCGAACACGGTTCCCCAGATTACGAGTCTACCGCACTTAACCACTACACCACACTGGCTCTCAGGAAATCATAAGTACAGTGGTACCTTGGTTTGCATACGTCTTGGTTTGCATACGTTTTGGATTACAAACACGTCAAACCCGGAAGTGCGTGTCCCGGTTTGCAACCTTTTCTTGGGATTACAACCCAATTTTGGGGGATTACAACCCAATTTTTTTCAGAGGCCCCATTGGCGAAAGCACTCCTTGGGTTACAACCTGTTTTGGTTTACAAATGGACCTCCGGAACGGATTATGGTTGTAAACCAAGGTACCACTGTATAGTCACATTAGAACCTGCTATTCATGGTGCAAAACCATGCTGGTAAATGTCATGTAAGTTAACAATGCTGAACTGCAGCAGAAGATGGAAGTAACTGACCCTAAGGGGTATTGGCTCATAATTGTTAATTGTTTGTCATACCAAATTGTTGTTAACAATTGTTAATTGTTGATGAGCAAAAAAATCTCCAAGACTGATCTTCTAGTATTAATGAAGGGCTTCATGCAACGTTCATAGGTTTGAGTTAACCCGTAGCCTTTGAGTTGTGATGTCAAATGCTCCAGCTCCTATGGAAGGAGAGGTAACAGGCCTAATTCAGACATTACTACTGCAGCATGGGAGCGGCTTTCATATGGGGTGATCCCAAGTTACACTGGTTGGATATGGAAAAAGATTCATATTGGTTGGGAAAGTTAGTGGTTCCTTCTCATATTTATGCCACAGCAGCCTCCTGGGAGAAGTAGGCAGAAATTGCATTCACCCATTATTACATAGATCTGTCCTTATTTCTCCTCAACTCCCCTTTTCCCAGACCATTTTTCTCATAGCTGAGTTTCATTTCCAGTTTTGAAGCCTGGCTGGGAAACAAGGACCAGCCAGGAGGAGGCTGCTGAGAAGAATGGCAGAAAGCCATGGAAACATTTGGCACTTAGTCTGCTCCTCCATCACTTGAAATTCATACACCCTCCTGCCATCTTACCTAAAACCTAAAGGAAATTCTGTTTGTTCTCCTGCCTAATATAAGCTGCATAGAAATTATATGTGGGATACTTTCAAACACACAGTCTTGTTGACCATGTAACAAAAGAGATGGGCAGACCAGAATCTGGGCTGATATAAAAAGCGCACCCACCCACAGACTGACACATCACAGCCTGACCCAGTGATGTAAGGGGGGAAATTGGCCCACCTCCATGCTTTGAATGTTTGCGCAACATTTCTCCACCCCCATCGTTTAGCCCGGACACAGAGATCCAGTGCCGAGGGCCTTCTGGTGGTTCCCTAATTGCGAGAAGTGAAGTTACAAGGAACCAGACAGAGGGCCTTCTCAGTAGTGGCGCCCACCCTGTGGAAAAACCTTCCCTTCAGATGTGAAGGAAATAATCAGTTATCCTATCTTTAAAAGACATCTGAAGGCAGCCCTGTTTAGGGAAGATTTTAATATCTAATGCTGTATTGTTTTTAACATTTGGTTGGAAGCCGCCCAGAGTGGCTGGGGAGACTCAGCCAGATGGGCGGGGTATAAATAATAAATTATTATTATTAATTATTATTATTATTATTATACAGTCATGACGGACCACATGATCTGAGCCGACTTGCATACACTACTATGCACATGTTTGGTTAACACGTAGAGGCTAAGCGTTCAGAGAAACTGGTGCCTTCTATTGTATTCATAATCCCAGCATTACAGCAGGGAGAGAAAAACAGTACAGGTATACAGAAAGCATCTACATTCGATAACTAACAGACTTAATCTGATTTCAGAAAATAACTAGTCTGTTTTCAACGTCAGGAAAGAAACATTTATCCTGATTCTGGCTTCTACTGCTTATATCTTTTTTTTTCCTTTTGGCCTCATTCTATCGTGCATCTACTGCAACTACATGATAAGCCAGGGAAAGGGAGCTGAAATGTTCTTAGAAACAAAATCTTCCAAGTACAGAATCCAAATTCTGCTACAGAAAGAAACCGCAAATTAAATGGATAAGGTAAGAAAAGGTCAGTATGCTTTCCAAACCCACCATTACATACCCAAAAATAATATGAAGGCTTTCAAGAATGACTGACATCGAAAGGACATTAAAAGCTGTGGACCAATATATGGTCAAAACTACGCAGGTGGCGCTGTGGGTAAAAGCCTCAGCGCCTAGGACATGCCGATCGAAAGGTCGGCGGTTCGAATCCCCGCGGCGGGGTGCGCTCCTGTCGCTCGGTCCCAGCGCCTGCCAACCTAGCAGTTCGAAAGCACCCCTGGGTGCAAGTAGATAAATAAGGACCGCTTACTAGCGGGAAGGTAAACGGCGTTCTGTGTGCTGCGCTGGCTTGCCAGATGCAGCTAGTCACACTGGCCACATGACCCGGAAGTGTCTGCGGACAGCGCTGGCTCCAGGCCTATAGAGTGAGATGAGCGCACAGCCCTAGAGTCTGGCAAGACTGGCCCGTACGGGCAGGGGTACCTTTACCTTTACATACAAAAATACTACTTACAGGTGGGTTTTCCTTGGCTCTTTGAATCTGTTCTGCATCTTCATTTGCAACTAACTACAGTCAGAGGAGAACCATGTCTGCTGGAGACTGTTTTGGGGGTTCCTCACTGGGGAGGACTCTGTATACACCATATGTCAAATGCACACACATGAAAAATAATGCTGGAAACTGTAGTCGTCCCCCCCAGGATCTTTAACAAAACTACAATTCCCAGAAAATATGTGTTCTTATCAGTTGGTGAGCTTCAGAGCAAGACTTGTATCTCAAGTCTCTGGCTTCAAAATGCCGGAGAGGATGCCCAGGAACAATTGTGTCGGCCACCCATTTCACCTTGCCATTCAATAGTGAGACCAGAGCTTTGCTGGGGTCATCAGCTTTCTCCACTGCCAAGTCCCCTATGGCATTTAAAAACACATCCAGTTCCATCAGTCTCTGATGATGAACCACCCAAACGGGGCCCCCACCCTTAGAGGGGGGGAAGTGTCCCTGTTGGTCCAAACTTAACCAGGTACTGGTCTGACCTAACAAGGGAATGCATTGCACTCTCTCATATCACCTGGAGCAAATATTACATCAAGGGTGTGCCATGCTGGGGTGCTGGACCAATGACTATCTGAGAATGACCCATAGTTGTCATAGAGACCATGAAGTCTCAAGCTGGCCTGACAGCAGCCTCCCCGTGGATATTTAAGTCACCCAGACTTCTCATTTTAGGACCCTCCAACAATACCACAGAGACTACCATGGCCAGCCAGATCAGAGAGTCTGCCAGGCAACAGGGCAGTTGGTAGACCAGCAGCATCCTCATTCTCTCTGACCAGGTGCAGACCCTCTAAACCCATCCCAAGATCAAGAGACTTCCTCGTCAAGGAGATGGTGCTCTTACAGGCAATAGCCGCACCCCTACCTCAGCCTCCCAGTCTAGTCTGGTGCAGTACAGAAAACCCAGGTGGGCGCAGCTGGGTAAGAACGTGCCCGCCCAGCTCACTCACCCAAGTATTGGTAATGCAAGCCAAATCATCTTATTCACAATCAAGTTGTGAGTGAACATTGTTTTTTTACAGACTGATCTGGCATTCAGCAACAGCACCACCAGACCAGAGGGCTTAGTAGATATGCTACCAGGGACATCCAGTGAAGTGAGAGGACTAGAACAAGGAACAGAGTCCAAACACCTAGGTCTCTGCCCCAGATGGTAGTCAGCCCTGCCTTCCAGCTGTGCCTTCCCCTGCCTACCACCACTGGAATTGGGGCAGCATCTCAACCACTCCCTGCTACCTGCCCGTCCAGGAGCATTCATGCACCACCATTCACACCATAAGCAGATGGGTTTGCCTTGAGACAGTCTTTAAACTTCTTTTGTTGACCACCAGCATTACACTTTCCATTTTTAAGTTCTCAATAAATAATAGGTATAAGCAGTGCTTTTTAAAAAAAAAATGTTTAGGGGGTACTCTCCTTTTGACTCAAGAAAACCACCATTTTATAGTTCAAATCAGGGAAAATAAATACAGTAAATGGACAAAGATTCACAAAATGTTTAGCACCGGCTATAAGCAGCACGGGACGCAGGTGGCGCTGTGGGTTAAACCACAGAGCCTAGGACTTGCCCTGTGACAGCGTGAGCTCCCGTTGCTCAGTCCCTGCTCCTGTCAACCTAGCAGTTCAAAAGCAGGTCAAACTGCAAGTAGATAAATAGGTACCGCTCCGGCGGAAAGGTAAACGGCATTTTCGTGTGCTGCTCTGGTTCGCCAGAAGCGGCTTAGTCATGCTGGCCACATGACCCGGAAGCTGTACGCTGGCTCCCTCGGCCAGTAAAGCGAGATGAGCGCCGCAACCCCAGAGTTGGCCACGACTGGACCTAATGGTCAGGGGTCCCTTTACCTTTTCCTCTCCTTTTGACTCAAGAAAACCACCATTTTATAGTTCAAATCAGGGGAAATAAATACAGTAAATGGACAAAAGTACAAAGATTCACAAAATGTTTAGCACCGGCTATAAGTAGCAGAAACACTTTTGCCTGCAACCAGATATTTCACAGGTCAAACTATTGTAGCACAAAATACGCAAACACCAGCTGGCTGAGACAGCAGGGTAGGCAAGGGTCAAGCTGCTGCAAAGTCAGCTCCTCACTGTTTTACTGTGCTCTAGGAGGGAAAGGGCAGCAGGGCTTTTATATTAAGGCAGGTCCTGGAGCACACTCCCCACCCCAGCTGCTTTCAATTAGCCAGCACTTAAACAATAACCCTTCTTTTGAAGTTTAATCATCTGATGTCAGGTGACTTGCAGGAGGTAAAAAATGGCTGCTGAGTGTGGGCCAGTTCCAGCAGAAGGAAAAGAAGGTAAAGTTATTTGAATATACCTGTATACAGCTAGCTAAAATGACAGAAACAATTAGGAATAGAACAAGCCAAAAGTTTGTTAAGGGATGGGAGTGTTACAAAAACTATCTAGAAAAACATTGTTCTCAAATTAAACCTTTATTACACTTTGATTAATTTTTGCAAAAGACAAAACAGCTATTATAACCAAGAAAGTTAATACCAAGAAAGTGGAAACATTTAAAGAAGGCAGGTGAGGAAAGGAAAAATTGACTCAAATTGAAGTAGTAGACGGAAGTCAAATAAAATTTTAGAATTTTTAAGGTTTGATAATTAAACACAACAAATATGGATTATGGGTGGTGGGAAATATATTAAGTGGTTATGCAATTTTGTTTTCTCTTACGTATTTGCTTATTCTTAGGCTAAGCCTGAATTATGGATGGAAAATGTTTATGGATATATGCAAACAAAATGTAATATAAATTTAATTAAATAAAAATAGCAGAAACTATGGAAACACTTGGCAACTGGTGGCTCCCTTTCATAACTCTTTGGATGTTTTTTCCAACCTCAGAACAAAATTTTACAAATGCTGGTAATCACTCCTTCAAAGTTAGCTCCCAAAAATATGCCATATTTTGCTGTAGCCAAGACGTTTGCAGATACAGGCTGCCTCAGTTCTCAAAAGCTCCTAATCAAAGTATGTGCCATAATTTCTATTTCTCTACAGCCCATATAGTTGTGAAATAATTCTAAGTTTCCAGTGTATAAGAGCAATAAAAATTCAGCTATCAAATGTAGGGCAGTGGACCAGATCCTGTCCGAAGCATAGGCAAAGCATGTGAAGCAAGGCCAATAGCAGCAAGTAAGGAAACAAACACATCACCCCCCCCAAAAAAAATAGTACAGTAGTACCTCAGGTTACATATGCTTCAGGTTACATACGCTTCAGGTTACAGACTCCGCTAACCCAGAAATAGTGCTTCAGGATAAGAACAGAAATCGTGCTCCGACGGCGTGGCAGCAGCGGGAGGCCCCATTAGCTAAAGTGGTGCTTCAGGTTAAGAACAGTTTCAGGTTAAGTATGGACCTCCGGAACGAATTAAGTACTTAACCCGAGGTACCACTGTAATAGAATAACAATTTATTTTAAAAAATTAGTATGCCTTTTATAATAATCAGCAGTGGGCCCAGGGGATATGGCCTTTCCATCAAAATTTTCTACCAATTTTACTGCTCGTATGTGTGGACCCACATAAAATGAATTACAGTGGTACCTCGGGTTACATATGCTTCAGGTTACATAGGCTTCAGGTTACAGACTCCGCTAACCCAGAAATAGTGCTTTAGGTTAAGAACTTCGCTTCAGGATAAGAACAGAAATCGTGCTCCGGCGGCATGGCAGCAGCGGGAGGCCCCATTAGCTAAAGTGGTGCTTCAGGTTAAGAACAGTTTCAGGTTAAGTACGGACCTCCAGAACGAATTAAGTACTTAACCCGAGGTACCACTGTACCACAATCCTTTTTTTTTAAAAAAAATTATTGTTAAAATAGTTCATCATTAATACACATATATTACAGATATACAAGCATACAAACATACATTTCATACTTGCACTCAATCCCACAAATAATTCCTTTTCCCATCACCATCCACCACCCCTCACCCCACCTTTGTGTTAGACTTCCGCACTGTACCACAATCCATTGGGGGTGGGGTGGGGAATGAGCAATTTGGACCAATGTTGTATAAGCAGCTCCCCATGCCGGAATCCCCATGTGGACACACTTCCAGCATTGCTTTCCCAACACATGTTATGCTCTCCCTTTTGTTCATGTGCGTTACATATCTGGGGTGTCAGAGTTTGGGTGTGCAAGGGCACCCGTCCCGGCAAGTGTTGGTGAATGTTACAAATTAATAAATGGTAGAATTTGGATAATATTTTGAGTATTGAAGGGAAGATGGCATGCCAGGGCCTCACCTGGGATAGAAGTTGTGAAGAATGACAAAAAGTCATTAACCAATGGTAACCAGATTCTTTTCAATGAATCGGGGGACATTAAATTTATTTATTTTTTTAAGCTGAATAGCAGCTGGGAGTCAATAGTGGGGATGGATGGTGAGGCAAAAGACCCCGGGCCCAAGCACACATTCATACAGTGGTACCTCAGGTTACATACGCTTCAGGTTACAGACTCCGCTAACCCAGAAATAGTGCTTCAGGTTAAGAACTTTGCTTCAGGATGAGAACAGAAATCGTGCTCTGGCGGCCCGGCAGCAGCAGGAGGCCCCATTAGCTAAAGTGGTGCTTCAGGTTAAGAACAGTTTCATGTTAAGAACGGACCTCTGGAATGAATTAAGTACTTAACCCGAGGTACCACTGTATTGTATAGAGGTGCAAAGCCCTTTTTTCGCACCCTGTGAAACATAAATGCGCAGAGTTTTAAAAAAACTGGGCAACCAGCAAATGGCATTCACCACAGAGCCCACCACCAAATTGCATCCAGCACATGGTGGCAGAAACATGATCCTTAATCCAAAGAGGAGCCCAGACCCAGGTCAAAGATCAATTTTTAAACAGAGCAAGCCTGGATACAGGAGAGTAGATTTCCCCTTTAGCCAGTCAGGGCTGAGAGAGCCTATTCCCCCCCCCCCCCCCAAAGCAATAGAGGGCCTGGAAGCTAGAAGATCCCGCAGCTGCTAAGTGGGTTTCTTTCTGCAGGGTCACTGTGACCCTGACCAAACTTGCAGTACACTTTCTATAAAGGTGGCAAATTCAGCTAATTAGCGGGAACTTTCTTTTCCTCAGCAAAACAGCATCTAGAATCCTAAGTAAAAAGCCATTAAAATGAAATAAATAAATTGGCATTCATTTACGCCTCAGATATTTCTACCGTGCCATTGAAAACAGTCCATACCACAAACAGCTTCATCGGCTGGTTTCTGCACATCACTATTGTATGTACTCAGAAACCTGGGGCTTTTTTCAATGAAGAACCTGGACTGAGGCTTAGAGTAAGTGAAGAGATTTGTTTAAAAGTTTATTACAGCTGTTCTTCCTTCCAGGATTCTCTGTAAGTCTTGGGCCGGACTTGTCTATGCCTCTCCCAGAGCATTCCAAAATTCAGGGCTGCATCAAGGAATGCGTCAGCATAGACCGTACACAGTCTAGGGCTGCCATATGTCCTGATTTTCCATGACATGTCCTGGAATTCGCCTCTGAAAATGGCGCCCTGGAATATTTATTGGATAAATCTCCGTCAAAGAGGGTTAAATTGTGCCGAAAATGCCAAAAAAAGCTCCAAAATTCATTGTAGCTTCTACTAAAAAAAGCTCAACTTTTGAGGTGTCCTGGTTTATAGTTTTTGTAAAATATGGCAACCCGTTACATAGGAAAATCAGAAGCTGGCTTACACAGTACAAAGTCAGACCATTAGTCCACCTAGCTCAATACTGTCTGCAGCAACTTCCCAGGGTTTCAGCTAGGCGTCTACACTAGCTTTACCTGATGTTAAGGAGTGAGCTTGTAAGCTTTTTTCTGCTGTTACTACAAAACCTGTTAGGATGGGAAACCTGGTGTAGAAATAACCCGCTATTCAGCCTGAGGTCCCAGGGCGGGTTGCAAGTTTGCGGGTTTGTTGGAGTTATTTCTTAAAAAGTGGAGGATCCATGAGGATCCGTGTAGATCCGCCTTTAATCCAGACCCCGTTTGCAACCATTTTAAATACAGCGTTAGGAACAACTTGCAATTACAAGATGCAATCACACACATAAAAAAAACACGGCGTGGGTCCTGGAAACACGCAACTCAAAACCAGGGCAAAGCGGTGTGGCTAGTTATGTTATTTTTCTACCCTTTTTTTTGACCAGTCTCCAAATAGTCATGAAATTCAGCTTCCGTAAGAACTTTGCAATTGCACAGGCTTCAAGCCACAGAAGAGACAGATCTGTGAGGAAGAAATGGGAGAAAGAACGAATGGGGTGGGGAGCTTTCAAAATATTGGAACTGAAAACGAAACAAGACAGAAAGTGTTGACTAGGTCCTAGAATATCCGACGGCTTCTAACGTGCTGCCTTGAACTGTACTAATCTCGGGAATTTCCAATCTGCTTGAACAGTGTGTGTTTTTGTGGTGAAGTTTTCTCACTTGTTTATGCCATTATTCAGTTCGGATGGGGTTTATTATGGCTGGACAAACCAACCGTCCTTGGGCTCGCTCTACGCCTTGGAGGCGAAAAATAAAAGAAAATAAGCTTGCAACCGGCTTCGGGGGGGGCGGGGCGTCGGAAAGCGGTTATTTCGGAGCGCGAGAACCTCCGTCCCTTGGCTCCTCCCCTCCCTCGCACCGCGCGCCGCACGTGGCGGGGGCGGAGCTTATAAAGTCCGCTGCGGGAGCCGGCTCTCTCCATTCGCTCACCGGCCGCCGCGATGGTGGCGGTGGCGCGGCAGCAGCGGACCGAGGCCGGGCACGCTGTGGCGACAGCCGGCGTCGCTGGCGCCCTGAAAAGCTCGCATTCGAAGCGCAGGCCGGAGGGATGCTTGAAGCCGACGGGACGCGACGAAGGAGCGGGGAAAAGGGACGGCGGCTGTGGAGACGAGAAAGTGAGTGACCGGCCGACAGGTTGCTTCGCGGGGGTCGGCTAACGGCTTCGCGCGGTTTTCCCATACTTGCGCGCCCGCCTGCGGCTTCTCTCTCTCTGGCCCTCCGCGGGTCTCCTGCTGGCCCCTCAGCCCGAGCGAAACCTCGCACTCGAGGGGTGACCCGTTGAAATCAACGGCGAGGTCGCTCACGACTAGCTAGCCTCCGTTGTTTTCAGCGGGTCGACGTTTGCACTTCTGGATCCGTCTGGCCCCGAGTCCCGTTTCTAATAGCCGAGGGCAAGAAGGGCTTGAGGGAAAACCACCCAAGCCCTCTTCACGTTTCTTGTTGCTCAGCAACGGGGTAATGCGCCTGCAAACTGCTCCTGAACCTGGAGGTTCCATTTTACCGCCCGGGCTAAAAGCCGTTGACGCGAATCCCATGGCCACGAATTTCGCAGCGACCTTTTATATACAGTGGTACCTCGCGTTACATACGCTTCAGGTTACATACGCTTCAGGTTACAGACTCCGCTAACCCAGAAATAGTACCTCGGGTTAAGAACTTTGCTTCAGGATGAGAACAGAAATTGCGCAGTGGCGGCAGCGCGATTCCCCATTAGCTAAAGTGGTGCTTCAGGTTCAGAACAGTTTCAGGTTAACTACGGACCTCCGGAACGAATTAAGTACTTAACCCGAGGTACCACTGTAAAAGGGTGCTGCGAAATTCGTGACCACTAACATAGACGGCACCCTTTTATATATAAAAGGGTGCCGTCTATGTTAGTGGTTACTTGTATGCCCTGCTGCGGAACCGAATTGGGCACATTTAACTTTGCGCCGGCCGTCGGTGTGAGAGTGGTTTTTCCCCCTCCCGGGTGGATCTGGACCCTGTTCATTTCCCTAATCCCCGCGAAGCCCTCTTGTTTCTCAACATCGCTGAGGTTATAAAGTAAATCCTGTTACTGTCACTTCGGTTTTGTTTGGTGGTGTTAAGATTTGGTGGTGGCAAGATTTTGGTTCTTGCTCCAACTCTTGATAGTGGTGAGGAAAATGTTCAACGTGCGCAGCAGGTTTTGGATTTCGTGTCTCTTAACAGTGGTAGGGCTGGGAATGAAGGAAGAATAAAGGACGGTGCTTCTGTATTATTGTGGGAGTTCGTAGTTACAAGTTGTGGAACTTAAGCCTAGTCATCTGTCTCTAGAAAGCAGAAATGCAGTTCTGAAATTGAGAGTTGGAACCTGTTTGTTTGTGTGTGTATATGTATGTGTGTGGTTGGTTGGTTGGTTGGTTGGTTGGTTTGTCTGTCTATTTGAAGTGAGAGTAGTTAGTCCAGTTTGCATCTTGGGTCCTTTTCAATCGTATCAATTAAAAAACACCCTTCTATGTACCCATGTTATTAAATCTAGAATAAATGCCTTGCCTTTGGTTCTGAGCACGCACACCATGCCCTCAGTTCACTCAAATTAAAACCTACATGTTGCCCATACATATCTGTTGAAATTAGTGGGAAGAATTACCCATTTACCTTGATAAATATATTTAAGGTGATTAAATTATTTTAAGGGCTAACTTAACTGGTGATGTGTTATTTACACAGTGCATCCCCCATTTGTTTCTTGTTTTATTGCTGAAATGCTCCCACTACTGTTTGGAGGAGTATGTAGGGCCATCACAATTTACTGAAAATTAAGTTCAGTGTAAGAGGTTGAAGATCGCAGCCTGATTTGCTGTAATGCTGTCCCCTCTGGTAACACTTTGAAAATGATTATTGTGAGCATTCAGATACTTGCTGAAGTTCATAAGGTAAAAGTGATCACTAGGTGAGCCTATTCCTTACTATGATAGTTTATTCTCTCATATCCAGCTAGTTACTTTACCTGTGTAAAGCATTTTCAGAAATTTGTTGCTGATTGATATTGTTTTTACTTTTTTAAAAAAATTCTGCTTTATTGGGTTTTCTAAAATTACAATGAAGAAGTGCAAAGTTCCCACTCTGTCCTTGTTCATAAAGGTAAATCAAATAGCTAAAACAGAGTAAGTGCATGACTTAAATGAACCCTGAACATGTTAAGAAGAAAATCCTTTTTAACAATCTGTGGGGTTTCTGAAGTTAGTTTGATTGAGTTTTAGATCTTTTTGGAAACTTTTACTTTAAACTAGCATTGTGTTGTGGTCTGTGTTTGTTTGCATAATGGACAAATATAGTCTCAAAAGGTTAAAAAACAACTATATTATGACAGTTTGGTTTGATTCATTGTTGATGTAGTGTTTAACTTGCCATAGAGTTAAGTAACTTCCAATCCAGATTTTTTTTAAAAAAGAATATCTTTCCATGAAAGGAAGTATTGAAAATCCTTTCCAAGAAACGAAAATCTTCCCAAATAATTGGTTGAAAAGGTAACTTTAAGCAACATATCTCTGCTTGGTTTTGGTTTTCATAACTTGCATATTTTAATTGTAATATTTCAAAACGGTCCAGCTACTCCTGAAAGTAAGGGATGGGGGGTAATTAGTGTAGCAAATGGAGGAATAATATTTACCATAATATACCCTTGGTTCAAATATTCTGTAGAAAATGTTATAAAGTTAACAGACACAAAATACACCAGTTTTGTTACTAGCATTTTCAAGTGCTAATATTTGGATGTTTTATCTTGCCGCCCAGAAAAGAATTAAAGTACATAAATGAGATTACGTTTAAGAATTCTACACTTTTATAGAATGCCTAGCTTTTAAACTTAGGGTGATATCATAAGGGAATCTTGTTGTGTCTACATGCTATACCTTTAAATCACATTCAAAACACTTTTCCCCCCTCAGAGTTCTAGGTATTGTAGTTTGTTAATGGTTGCTTGGAATTGTAACTCTGTGAGGGGTAAACTACAGTGCTGAGAATTCTTTTGAGGGGGAAAATGCATTGTAAGTGTGTAGGAAGGTTAATATTAAACTTCTGAAAAGTTATTAGGGGCAAAACATAGAATATGTCAACTGTCCTTAATTGCAGCAAAGTGAACACCACATCAAACTAGATTAATAGATTTGCAAAATGCAGCACAAGCAATTGAATATGTTGTGTAGATAATAAGGCAGACTTACTCACTTCTGCATGGCTTTCAGAAACATGATTCTCTTTACTAGGAGATATGCCAAAAATAGAATTAGTTTCTATTTTCAAGCTACATGGATATGACTATATTTATACATGATCTATGAAACGTGTATCCTGTTTTTAAATCTGATTTTGATTAGATTGTATATTATAGGGAGTATTTTTATATATTCTACTGTATTAACTAGCCATTATAATCCTGTAGCATGTGGTGGAGGAGTGGTACTTATGAGTTCTCATCTTCAGCATTGTTGTGGCTTATTGAGAAGAGAGCTGAGGTTGGTATTGAGCACATGCACCAGCAGGAACGCTGGATGAACTCCACTGGTGCATTTGCACCATATTACCACCTTGTTCCTCTCCTCCCAGTAAGCTGCAGACTGGAGGTCAGGACAGTGCTGCCACATCAGCAGCTGCTACTGTGGTAACTCAGTGTGAGGAAATAATTGAGCAAAAGCATAACAGACATGTCAAAAATATAAAAAAGATGGACACTGTGATTGGCAGTTCTTAAAGAGAAATCAGAATTTTGTTTGCTCTAGCAGGTCTGGCAAGATCGGTACATAGGCAATGGTTTAGTATTGTGCCATGCAATATGGTGTAACTAGTCTGTCTTTTTTATTCTGTATTGAAATGCATATTCTTCCTAGAAATATAAAAAATAAACTAAGCTTGATTTCAGAAATTCGTTACTGTAAAAAATATTTCTGTATGTTTAATATTCAGGGAAGGAAACAACTCTTCTTTAAGTGACAACTGTTCTGGGATGCCTTGTGCCCAATGTTAATTGCACAGTTCATAGCCCTCTAAACATAAGGGTACATTTTAGGAGGAACTCCCAAACAAACCTTCTTTGTCACAGATTATACTTTTTTTATTAGTAGTTTCTCAGTACAGTGTGCTAAATCTGACCTTTTAGTATCAAATATCAACATGCTTACACGTGACTTTAATCTGCATACTCTCAATGATGGTTTTGAATCAGAGTTTAGGAAGATAGCATGCCAAGAAAACTGCAGTGTCCTGGAGGGTGAGAATTAGGGTTTGGCTGGGTGCATGCTGAGAAGCTGAAAATTTCCGGAATTCTCTCTTTGCCTGTATGCTATTAGCTATTGAATGTTCAGGGTTGGGGCTAGAAGCCCTGTAGCACTATGCAGCAGAGCAAGAGTTTGGGGGAGACATGAGTTCCATTTATTTCTTTAGCACATCTGAAGATCTCCCCCCACCCCATCCTGCCAGCCTGAATAGACATCAGATTGGCCATTCTGGAAACAGAATGATAGACTCCTGGACTGGTACTGTGAAATGATCCAACAAGGTTCTTCATGTTTTCTTGATCTTAGTTTTTTTGGAATGCTCATTGATAGTATGCATCCCACAAATAATCTCTGGGCCACCACAAATCATACACCCACACCTCCAGAAAAACTTTATCTATAAGATGGCATTGAATCTTGGTCAGGGCCACACTGAGCAGAAGGCACTGATAAGTGCATGTACCCAAACCCTTTACAGTATCTTGCACCAAAAGTATTTGGTCATATGTCAATCAGTGTCATCTCATAGAGGGTGTTTGGGGTTGCCCAAATATTATTTTTTGTAATGGTCATATAACTGTTTTGATTGGAGAAAATTAGTGTTGACCTTGAAAGCTATAGCCATCCAATCATGGATATGCTTGTTTGGGAGGTTCAAGGACAGACTTTGATTGGTTGAGCTTTATTTTGATCTTCCAGAGCAACAAAGAACTAAAACTTGTAACCAACTTCAGTAATTCAGTATGCCCACACACTTTTCTTTACCCTCACCCCCATAGACTGCATAACACTGTGATAAATCATAGAATCATAGAAGTGCAAATTTTCTGCAGTTGTATTGATATTCAAAATGTTACATATTGCTGGTGCTAATAGACCTCCATGAATAGTTTATGGTCCTTGGAATACAAGCATCCTTGGAATACAATTTTGTAGAGAATGAAAATAAAAATGTTGGAGACTTCTATGCCATTGTTTGGCTGGGAAACATGTACAGTATCTCCCTCTAGTGCCTAGTTCATAAATAACAGCCCACCATAATTCATTCCCTTAGCTCAAGAGTTACCGTACTGCTGTCTGTAAACTTAAACTAATAAACAAAAAAAACACTCAGAATTGCTTCTGAAATACTAATAACAGTATTTGGTTGATTATTTTACCTTATAGGGTTGTATTCAACACCAGTCAAAGTATACCCATTGAAATCAATGGATAAGACTAACCTAAGTTCCTGCCATCCTAGCAGTTTGAAAGCACACCAAGAAAAGTGCAAGTAGATAAATAGGTATCCCTTACCTATCCGGCAGGAAGGTAAACGGCATTTCCGTGCACTTCTCTGGTTTTAGTGTTCCGTTGCGCCAGAAGCGGCTTAATCATGTTGGCCATATGACCCGGAAAAACTGCCTGTAGACAAACACCGGCTCCCTCAGCGTGTAAAGCAAGATGAGCACCACAACCCCAGAGTCATCTGCAACTGGACTTAATTGTCAGGGGTCCTTTACCTTTTAAGGTTCATTTAGTTCAGTGGGTCTACTCTGTAGAACTTAGGATACAAACCACAGTTGTGAAATGTGATACTTCAGATAAAAGTGCAAGAATAAAAGCAGTTGCAATTTTTCATATGCTTACACGTATTTTAAAGTTCTACTTGCATCTCTCATTTAAATATGTTGCTGCATGTTCTTCAGTGCAAAACAAAAGTAACAACTGATAACCCAATTTAATTGCAGTTACCGTAGGCAGTTACTGAGCCTAGTGGTATTGGGGGGGAGCCTTAACTTGCCCGCACTGAAATGCATTCTTTTATTATTAAACTTTTGGGGTGGAAAAGAGGCATTCTTGCTTCAGAGTTAATAGGGAATTTGAACATCCAGGTGCAGTAGGAATTAAAAACAGAAACGGAATGGGCAGTGATGGAAGATCACTTTAGAGACAATAAAGTAATTGTGTAGAAAGCAAATGTTACTACTACGGTTATTGACATTTTTATTCACTTTTCAGTCCACAAGAGTTCCCAGAGTGGTGTACAAATTTCAGTGAGGACACTCCCTGCTCTCAGGCTCAATATTTATGGGACAAAAGAAAAAGAGACTGGGAGGGAGTAAGAAAAAGCAAGTTACAGTTTTAATAACAGTTTCTGCAATTCATTATTGATTCAGGTTGAAGACAAAATAGAAAAGGAACCAAAGATGGAAGTGATACAGAAAAACAGAACGTCAAATACCAAGGGTATATTTTTGCCAGATCAAAGTCGTTTGAAAAAATTTACCATTCCTAAAAGAGCTCCTGATAAAGGTACAGTAGACAAATAACAAAATACTCATTTTTGATCATGTGTTATAGATCTGTCATAATTTAATAAGCAAAGAAACAATGTGATATGTGATAAAAATTGTGTCATTTTCAAACAGTTCATGTCATTGTACTTCAGAAATGTATACTTTCCCAAGTCAGTTGTATCCTGACAGTTTCTGATGTTTATAATAGGAATTGACACTACCTGTGCCTTTTCGTGTCTCCTCTCTTCTGAAGAGTTTTCCCATATGATTGGCTGTGGTAGCATCCCTGTCAGGAGGAAGTAAAGTTATTGGTTCCACAGGACAGAGCTTTCTGCCATAGCACCAACGTTATGGATTGTTATCCCTAAAATGAGTTGCTTGACCTTGTCACTACAGTTCTAGTCAACAAATCCAAACCTTTTTATTGTGCCAGGCCTTCAAATTTTAGGTTTAGCTTTTACCTGTGCTGGATTTATCCTTGTTTTCAACGTTTTTTTATTCTAGTTCATCCCATCTTCAGCCTTTTTATTCAATAATACTATTCTGTGAACTCCAACAGAGATGTACCTTCATTATCCATTATAATCTTTCAATAAAGATTGATCGAATTATTTGTTTTTGTAAATTATTCTGTATCAGATTCAAAATTAAGTCACATTTGCAAAGAGAATCTTAATGGTTTACTTGTGTTTAAGCATCCTTGCCAGTTGTGGGAAGTGGCAGATGCTAATACTATTATTATCATTATTATTAAATTTAAATCCTGCCCTTCCTCCCAAGGAGCCTAGGATGTCAGATTCTTCTGAGTACAGTAGAACCTCTACTTACCACCGGCTCTACTTGGGCCCAATCCATGTTGTGACCGCAGCAAACCCGGAAGTAAATACCGGGTTTGCTGCGATTCATGCACGTGCGGAAGCGGCTTCTGCCGTTTGTGCACACACAGAAGCGGCTGCCGCGCCGCCATCTGCACATGCGCAGAAGTGTGCTGCCGCCGAATGCACCTGCGCACAACGGCGCTTCTACCAGCGACCCAGATCAACTTACAGACGGACCTCCAGAACTGATTACGTCCGTAAGTAGAGGTTCCACTGTAGTTCTTCTTGCAAGGATTCCCACCTTCTGCTTTATATATTGTCCTCCACTATGATGTGCCACCACTTCCTGAGTAATTGTACGGAGAAAAAGGGCTGCTCCCGTTAGGGATGCACAAACATGCTTCAATCTATTCCAATATTTATCTGCACTTTCATCTGATATTTTCTCTTCCACTGCAGTTGGTTTATTTTGCACAAGTCTATGTTCCGTTTTATCTACTAACGCAGAAACATGTGTAGCTTTTATAGAGCACGTAGACATGCATGACTCAACCACCAACAGATATTTACAAATTTGTTACCTCTGTGTATTGCCTTTCAATTTTAATTAATTTCTACAGGGAATGCCCTGTTAGTCTTTTTCAGCAAAACAACAAAGGGCTTAAAAATCAAAGTTAATGAAGTGCCTAATTGACCATCATAATGCTATCCATGGTTGCAAACTTAGTCGCATTGTATTCAGAGGGGCTTACTTCCAGGTAAATGGGGTTAGGATTGCAGCTGCTCTTACTACCTTGATTTTGCCAGCCCAGCCACTATAAACTTGCCATCCTATCTCCTTTCCGTCACCCAGGCATCAGCTACATTTCATTTAGTAGTTCAGTTAAAAGTCAAGAAAATCTGAAGGATGAGGGAAAGGAAGATAATTTTAAATTTAATGTCACTTTTAAAGCAGAAAGTTAAGGTGGTCAGTAATGGGTAGTCAGAGCCAGATGATTCTTTCTACTTTGACAAAGGGACCTCTTTCTATAGGGAAAGAACAGCATGAAATGATGCATTCAAATGAGTTTGAAAACTCATAAAATGTAGCAGATAAGGCTAAATCCTAACCCCATTTACCTGGCAGTAAGCCTCACTGAAGTTCACTGAGATTTACTTCTGAGTAAACATGGTCATGATTGTAGTCTTGGTTGTAGCAAAAAATAATTAAGAGCAAGAAAAGTAAAGAGGCTCTTGTATACCTCAATAAATATGCAAAAACTGTATGATGCAAAACAATTGACTTACGTATTTATAACATGTGCATGTTAAAAAGTTAGTTGTCAAGAACAAAGGTGAAAGCTTTCACAGGAAGACTCCTTGCCACAATGGGGGGTATGCATGAAAAATGGTTTACAAAGGGACATGAACCACCTGAATTTTCTCAATCTCTACTTGTATTCTTTCAAATAAAGGTTGACTTGAAGCCTGCAGCCAAATTAACTTAAATCAGTATGTGAACTTCATCCCATATCCCTGTTTTTGCACCTTTTTGCTTCCTTAGTTTTGCAAGGTCACAATGCTGCCATGACAGTAGAAGCCGTAGCTAGCATAATCCCTCTGACTAAGCAACCATATTCTTTGAACTGTTGACCAGCCTTCCTATAATTCCTGTCTGTCTCTCACCCTTCCATAACACCTGTTCTTATGCACCGTGAATTTTCTTCAAAGCTTGCTTTCCGATTACCATTCTTGCCTGAGTTTCCTTTCTCTTCCTTTTCTGTTTATTTTTACCACATAGAGGGGGACACCATTCCTAATAGGGATGACTCCCCCTACTGGAGAAAGGCAGGGTCTTCAACTTGCAATGTCGTCTCCAGAGGGACAGTTAGGTCGTCATGTTTTTGTGTGTGTGGAGAGAAATGCTTGCTTGAGTGGTTGTTTTCTGTAAATTGTCCCTTTGTCTAGTCCTTCCTTCATCATGTTTGCTAGATCATCTGAGTAAGTTTTTTCACTGTTTTTTCCTGGTTGGCTGCCCCCCTTCTTCGTTTCTTTATTTTAAAGTTTTGTTCTCGCCCTCCACCCTTCCATCCCACCCTCTCCAACTTGTATCCCACAGATTGGTGGAAACACAGACGTATATTGAGGGGCCAGGAGAGGAAATAGGAACCCCGTGGTTTCTTTATATCCTAGGACCACTTCTCAGTCCTTTCGCTGCCTCTGTGCAAATTTTAATCCAAGCCAAACTGGCAGCTTCCCTTTCCTTACAGAAGCTGGATTGGAAACTCCTTAGTACCTAAGCAGCAGGATGCTTCATGCCACCACACCAGTTCAACCAAGCAGTGTCACGTGTGTCCCTGTATAACATAGATACTACTTTAACTAGCAATGAATTAATTTCCATGACCTAATTTAAGCAAGATTTTCTCTCCTGAGATTTTTTACTAAACCTTGTAACTTGACAGTAATCTCTTTGGGAGATTCCTTTGCCTGTGACCATCACTGTGTTGCCAAGAATGTTGCTTAGTAATCCCCATGACTGTAATTCTAATAGATTTCTTAAAACTTTTTATTTATTTGTGTTTAGGTTTACTAACGGAGTGTTCCAATAATCAGAGAGACAGTAATGAGATTAAACAACGGCTGATTCAAAGTTGCCTTGACAAAGAATGTAACCTTGAGTCTTTGTGGCAGTTCAATAAGATAAAAATGGTTCACAATAAAGATCTGGAAGAAGAATTCGTCGCAAAGAGGTGAATTGTGCTTATATGAAGAGAAATTAATCCATTTTATTTTATCATATTTGTCTTCCATCCTTACTCCCAATAAGTTTATATGTGGTGTTTTCTCACTGTATTCTAAAAACAATTACATGAAAAAGAGAGAGAGACTGACTTGCCCAAACCCACGTAGTGAGCTCCTTCATGGCTGGGGTTTGAACCCATGTCTTCTCCATTCCAGATCCAACACGCTTGTCCATTACATGTGCAAAAGCTATAGGAGCCCTATCAGAAAAATCAAACACACAACTAGCTATCCATAGTCATAATTGAACACAGATGCTGAAGTTTAGTTCTGGTTTCTCCTAGTCCCATGGGCTTAGGCAGTTCCTTCTCCAGTCCTGAGCCATACACATTGGACTGCGTGATGTGACTCTCTAGGCCACCTGCTTTCCCTTTTGTTACACCCCCCGCATCCTGAACCACATATGCTAAGCTCCATTCTGCAGGAAATACATGCCCATTCATCCTGAATCATCCACCTCCTTGAAACTCACATGGTTCAATGGGTTGTAATAACAAGATTAACAGTATTACATTTTTTCAGTTTTAGAGATAGGCAGCAGCTTTACTCATCAGACCAGACTCTCTTTCTTGGATATAAAACAATCCATGGCATGTAGAAGAGCCATCATACTAAAACAGCCAATTACAATGTACTAAAGAAAACCATCAACTATTAAGCAACCATCCATTTGCAATGTGGTCAGGGCCAGATTGTTACCTTTTCTTGCAAGTGGGTATAAAGAAAATCAAATACACCAGTATTATGAAATTGCTTATAATCTAAAAAAGTGAAGAAGAATTTATCTGAAATGTATATAATTATTTGGAAATGTGTATAATGTGTTATTTTTTATTGCTAGGACTAAGTTGCGTGAAGCAGGAAGGCAAGATAAAGAAACATCTAGCTTTTTACTTGTCTCTAACAAGGAAGTCTCAAACATTTGTCAGAATGGCCTGCACACTGGTCATTCCAAGAAAGAACAACTAAAAATTATGAAGGAACTTGGAAATCCTCAACTTGGCATATATTTATTCAGACACATTGATGTTGCTCTGAATTATGCATCCGAACACTCAATCCCAATAGAAAATATCATTATTTTCAGGGTAAGTTTTATACAGAAATGGTAAATGCTAGGCAAGTGTGTAGCATGAGGAGTCGTTGTTTTGTGTCCGAATCTTTTATCCCAATGATTATTTTTTTCTGACTATAATGCATTTTTGTATGCAGAAGCCAAATTTAGGTTGCTAGGTAGGATGCTGAAAGTCGGGACCGTTCTCTGAAATGCTACTGGCTCCATGCGCAAGGCCAGCTAGACAGGTGCAGCTTTATAGTCTCAATGCGTGGGTCAGACGATGGTGTTGGGAGGAGCAGTTTGGATTTGTTAAGCGCTGAGTTTGTTCCAGTCACAACAAAGAGGTAATTACAGGCCATCTTCAAACTGAGTGAAAAAGTGGTCCTCATTCATAATCTAACACAGAAATACCTTCAGATAATAGTGGTTAGTATACCTCAGATTCATACACATTTTTACTAAACTCTTAAGAATTTATATTTTCATTTCCTTTGCAGGATTTAAATACCTTGCACTTGGACAAGTGTTATGTCTACTCCAGCTATTAAGTTTTTATACTGAAGCCTCTATGGTTGAGTGATAAGATCACATACTGTGTTTTTTTAAAGAAACCCTCCATCTGAAATCAGAATATAGGAGTGCATTCTTGATATTTGTCTGTGGTGTATATTTTATTTTCATGTTTGTTAACTCACAGTTCATTATTTTACATTGACTTTTTTTTTAAAAGTTATATGCTCTTAAGGGGAGTGGAACTTTTTGCTGTGTTTAAAAAGCACTTTGTTCCATATACTTACTTTATAGGAAAAGATGTCCAGCTAGGTAACTGAATGCAATCATATGAGCATTTTACTGAAAATAACTCTGTTTTCTTTTATTTAATCTGATAGGTTCTTTTAGGAAAAGTGAAAAAAATTCAGCCTCCTAAAGGCAAGAAGAAAGTTGCTTTGGATCCAACTCCAAAATTTGATTGCCACATGTCCAGAGTTCATCCTTCAGTTAAGGATTCATTGGAGGACCAGGCCATTGGTTCTTTGGTAGGGAATCCTTAACTTTTGCACATGCGACCTAATCAGATGTCATATTTCATTATGCTTGTTGTATTCTTGAAACTTTGTTCTTTTATTTTTAATTTTTATATTCTATTATTAATTTATTATTTTGAGTGCAGAATACAACTTAAAAACAGTACAACTATCAGAGGCTGCTGCAAAACTAGAAAACTGTTTTGTAAAAGTTGTAAAACATGCTGGAACGCCCACCTTAATAAAGTCTTTGCCCAACACCCAAAAGACATGTTGACACCAAACTATCTTCTCTGAAAAGGGCACTCCATAACTGAGACCCCATGACAGGGAAGGTCCCCTCTCTGGAGGAGGTCTTCAGATGAAGAAGGAATGGTATTTATTGTTGCTATTGGGTTGTGATGGGATTTGAAATGTGAAAAAAACACAGACTCTGACCTGACCATTTTGCAGCCATCGAAGTTTTGAAAGCAGACCCACAAAGAGCACATCATAGTTTAAGGTGATAAAAAGCACTCCTGACCACAGTCTGCACTTGCTAGTATTAACTCTAGAAACACTACCAATCTGCAAACTTGGTGCTTTAGGGGGAGTGCATTTCCACCCATAGCATGTCTCCCAAACCACAGCGCCCTCATCTTTGAAGATTTAAGTATAAGATAGCCCTTTTTGCAGGTGGCACATTGCTTTTTTTAGTGGACCTGCAGATCTCTATCCCCAAATTTATGACAATCATGTAGGTTTGCCTCTGAAGATGGTTTGGAAACTTTAGCTAGTGCAGAATTTGAAAGCAGGTTGCTTACCTGAGCAAGAGGGTTTGAGCATATTACACCGATCCTGGTCCAACTGCGCTGGTTTCCAATTAGTTTCTGGGCCCTATTCAGAGTGCTGGTTTTGACCTATAAAGCCTTAAATGGCCCAGGACCGCAATACTTCAAGGACCACCTCTTCCCATATGAACCTACCCAGACCCTGAGATCATCTTTTGAGGTCCTTTTTCATGTGCCTCCACAAGAGATCCAGAGGGTGGCAACATGAGAGCAGGCATTCTCTCCCCAGCGAGGTTTGCCTAGCACCTTCATTATACACCTTTAGGCGCCAGGCAAAAACAATCCTTTGATCAGGCCTTTGGTTGATTGACATCATATGCCTTTTAAATGTGTTGGGGGGGGTATTGTGGTGTTCTTGTTTTTATGCATTTTGTGGTTTTATATTCTAGTTTTATCCTAGGAGCCAGTATTAGAAACTGAGTTATGAAAGCTAGCAGCTAAATGGCACCTTAAACCTAGGTTACAGGTGCAACAACAGAATGTCTAGGCACACTTTTTTATAACAAGAATACAAAGCTGAAAATGAATGAACTGCAGCTAAAATATTATGTTCATTTTTCACATGATCTAGTCCTGTTACTCACCCCCCTAATAGTCTAAAGAGGGCCTCTTCTCCAGAGAGTAGCTGGAAGTGGAGAGGCAGAAAAAGGGCCTCCTTTCCTTCCACGCTGCAGTTTCAGTCTGACATCTTGGGCGCAGTACTGCGCCCAGAGCTCAGAAAGTGCTTGCGCTAATGAAATTCTCTGTCGCAAAATGTGCCTAGGACAATGGGAGTTTCAAACACTGCTGGGAACCGCCCTGAGACCTGTTGGTATAGAACAGTATGTAAATTTAATAAATAAAATAATAGACTATTTTGGCCACTTGTACGGATACAAAGTTAACTAGCTGAAGTTGGGGGCAATGTCCATAGGGCATGGGCCAATATTCACCCACCATACAGACTGGCCGCTGAAGTGGAAAAAGATGATGTACTTGGGTCTCCCCATTTCTAGGTAAAATTCAGTATGGAAGAAACACTTGTTAAAATATAGGCAGGCCTAGACCTAGAACACTGAGCCAGTCTAACAATAATCCTGTGGACAATAAACATAATTAAAAAGAACATCTGGCCAGACTGGTATATGTGCTTAGGGGCCTCCCACTTACCCCCCCCCCCCCCGCACTGGAAATACTTCATTCCAACTGATGTATTTAAAAAATTGTGAGCTGCAAACAGACCTCATCTGGCATATACCAAACTACAGCTCCCAATGACAGACTTATAAGTATTATCTAATTGCACAAGTTCCATAATGGCAACAGGAAGCAGATTATGAAATCCCACAGTAGGCAGATAGAACTAGATTTAGTCAGCTAAACAGCTGGGCAGCACTAGACTCTAAGCAACTGGGAAACTCTGCAACATAAACTCCCATCATAGCTGCTATCGCACAAGCCTGGCTGGCAATAGCAAACCAAATGCACTTTGGCCCATTTGCCCATCTTGCCATCAGACGCAGTCCACATATAACAGCCAAAAATCTTGACTTAAGAAAAGCATGGGCAGAGTGAGTATCTCTCTCAGAACATACATAATTTTTTTTGTATGGCGTCTTTTCACAGTTCAAGTCCATGCTCCAGGCAATGGGGGACTCTAACTCAAAACCCTGAGATTTAGTGTCTCGTACTCTACCAACTGAGCTAACATCAGAAAATGCACAACTAAGTGGAACAACTTCCACATAAATCACAAGATCTAAAGTAAAGATAATATAATAAAGATAATAAAATATATGAGCAAAATTTGGCCCAGATGTCCTGAGTGCAGCAGACACACCAGATCTCTTGCAAACACCACATACCATCACCTCAGGAAAACTCAGTAAGTCCCTATACACATTAGTATGTAATACACTAAGGCCAATTAGACATAACTGCACAGTGGGGAAAAGACCTGTGTTGTATCAAATCAGGTACCCATGACATTAGACTTAGAAAATATTCCTCCAGGCTTACAGGACATCAACACATCTTGGATGCATGGACCTAACATCCACAGATCATTGCTGTTGATGTAAATCATGGGTAGGCAAACTAAGGCCCGGATCCGGCCCAATCACCTTCTAAATCTGGCCCACAGATGGTCCACATGAGTAGAATATGTCCTTTTATTTCAAATGCATCTCTGCCCTGTAATCAAACCCTTTGGGGCAGAAGTACAGACTAGAATTAACTTGGTTCCGGACAAATCCCTGTTACATAGGAGGCACCAACATAATAATTGGCTACATACCTGCCAGGAAGGCAGGTTTCATTGAGCCATGCTCACAGCAAAATGAATAACCCTCCCAACATTGAAAGCCCAAGTCACACCAGGCACAGAGAACTGGATACAAGACCTACACAAGAGAAAATTCTCTTCTAAGAGATTTGGAGGACCATTTGAGAACTTTTCACCAAGTAGTACCTATAGCCAGAAGAAGTGGGAGACATAACAAAGAGATGGAAACTTGTCCAGTTCAACAGTTCATAATCTGGGACTCAGAGCATTGACATCCGTTTATCGCCACCTTTATCTGAGCACATGAGCCTGAACAGTGAATAACTTGCCAAACAACCAAACACCAGAAATTAAAAAGTCGTAAAAAGAATAACGAAGGGGTGTGTGTGTGTTTGTAACTGAAATCCAATGTGCAAATACCAGAATGGAAGGGGATGAGTTTGGGCCAGGCCATCATCTCTCACGGGATGTGGATGTCTGCATATGGCTAAAGAGTTTTGTGTGATGATTGTAACAGCTTGGGGGTTGATTTCATTCTAACCAGCTTGCTTTTACAATAGCTTTTCATGATTTTGGTAGCAATTGCTTTATAGCAGGGATGTCCAACCAGTAGATTGCGGGATCCTTTTCGTGTACAAAAAGTTACAAGGGGGGTGTCGGGGAACTGCCATCGGAGCCAGGGGGAGAGGGAGGGCTCCAGAGGGATTCCGAAGAGCGTCCCGGGAGGGAGAGAAGCAGCACATCTTCTGGGGAAGGAAATCAGCGTAGCACCAGTGGAGAAGGGGGGCAGATGGGGGAATCGGCGAGGTGGCTCCATGACCAGCAGGGAGAGCACGGGTCCTCCGCTGCCCGCACCCTCCCTGCGCAGAAGGCTTCCGCGCAGGGAGAGTAGGCGGAGACTAGGCGTCAAAGAACTTCTTTGCTGGAAGAAGTTCAAGGAACGGCCACTGACGGATTCTGCCAGCGATTGAGACAGCCACGGGTGAGTGGCTGTCCGGACAGAAAAGGTTCACTCAGGCAACCCAGCCAGGTGTGGCGCCGATTTACGCACGAGCAACCCCTAGAACCATTACAGGGGGGAAAGCTTATAAACTCTGTGCAACCCTCTTCCCAAAAAGCTCAACAACTCTGGGCAATCCACCCATCCTCCCTCCAATGACAGTGGGTAGATCACTGCCAGTTTTTTTTATATACTGGGAATAGATTGCAGTCTCTTGGGAGTTGGACATGCCTGCTTTATAGTTTTGAATTCATACAGACAGGGATAATGCTTCTGTAATTTATTTAGTCGGACTCCTTTGTGGTGCTAGGTGCACACAGCCCTCTTGCTTCTGGCAGGACTGACAACTGGGATGGGGGCAGTTCAGGAAACTGCTGCGGGAAGCAGGATGACTTACTATTTTGATTACTATAATGCATTGTATATGGGACTGCCTTTGAAGGTGGTTCAGAAGTTTCAGTTGCTGCAGAATATGTTCCTTTTAGTATTAGAGCATTACAAGCACATGACAGTACTGTTCTCATCTTTACTGGCTACTATTCTGTTTCATTTACCCATTCAAAGTGCTGGTTATGACCATTTAAGCCTGTCAAGGCTTGAGAACTTGGTATCTGAAGAATCAGCTCTTCACCTATGTGCTAACTAAAGGCTCTGGTGCAGAGTGCATTGCAAGCCCTACCTTTATAACCCCAGAGCGGACCTGACTGGGCCAAACCTTCACTCAGGTCAACTTGGGAGCCTGGAAGCCCAGTTTTATTGCTGATAGGCTCCTGAGTTCTTGCGGGAATTTTGGCACAGGAAGACAGAGTTATGTCTTCTGTGTTAGAGGCCGGAAATGTTGGCTGTGCAGCTGAGCTGCAAAGACTGCTCTCAGTAAGATAGGGAACAGGTGTATATATAAATAAAAAAATTAAATAAAAAAAATTTACCCTTTTCAGAGTTTAAGGCAGCTTATAATCAAATATTGAAATTGCAATAAAATAACTAGTAATTCAAGCTCTTCCATTAAATATTTGAATGTTTCCATAATAACTATAGTGTTCGATTTTAGATTTTTTTCTTTAATTTTAGTTTTGTATTATGTTATAAATGGAAGGAGAGATTTTTTTTAAGTAGTGGATGTTTTACAAGTCAATTTTGCTGAAATATGACCAAAACCTAAAGTTATTTTAGCAGACTTTGTCTAGGATGCAATTTTACTAATCCTGCAAGTAATATTCTTGTGATATTTTTCATATTTGCAGATATATTTTTATGAATACAATGAACATTCAAAACCAGTGGACAAGCCTAGGCAGTGCCTTCCATATGCAGTAATAGAACTAAAACGCATTAATCAGAAAAATGCAACTGTCTCTGCTTCAACACCTTTGCAGTGCAGACCTCAAAAATTGCCTAAGCATGTGGGTAAGCTGATTTTATAAATGTGTATTTCATATTCTTAAATTAATACACATGCCTGTTTCCGCCCCCTCCCATTTTGTATGACCCTAACCCTAACCATGCTTTGTTCAGCCACTCTAGATGCTTCCCTATGCTACAGTGGCACTGGGCTTTGCTCACCTGTGAAACATCTCTTGTTTGTTTGTTTGTTTGTTTGTTATTACCCTAAGGTCCCTGGGCAGGTTACAGCATTAAAATACAATATTGAAAACAATTCAAAACAGCTTATAGCCAATAAGATGGGCCCTGAAAACATACATATTTCGAGTGTCAAAAGCAAGGGTCTTCCGAATTCTCCGAAACCAGATGCACCTCCGTGGGGAGGGAATTCCACAGCTTAGGGCCCACTACAGATAATGCCCTCTACTGGCCTACCCCGACCCTGAGTCTTTGACAAACCATGGGTTAATGTGAATGCAGCTGTTTCCTCAAGTCTTTGTCTATTTAGATTGCCTTTTTTTTCTTGTGTCCTTCAGCTATTCTGTTTCTCTACCAATTCCCCCTGCCTGCCTAGCACTGTACTCTTGTCTGTCGTCTCGCCTCTCTTTCTGGCAACAAGGTTTAGCTTTTTCTGTCCTTAGATCTAGAGTAGTCTTCAAAATAAAATTAAAAATCCCCTTTTATTGCTTTCACCTGTCTTCTCTTGCAATTCTTTCCTTTAGGCAGCAATCCTAAACTTATTTGGGAGGAATTCCTATTGAAGCCATTGGAACTTACTTCTGAGTAAACATACACACACACCTTATTTTTGCCTCCTGGTATTCCTCCCTGTTTATGATCCTGCTGCCTATTCCAGCCGAGGGAAACTTCTGGCATAATTAGGCTTGTCAGGCCTCCCCAGTTGGCTTACAACACTGCTTTGGACAGGCCACACCCACCCGTCGCTAAACTGATGTATGTTGCCACGCATGGCACTGGTAAAGCCATGGCAGCAAGTGCTCCCAGTTGTGCCTTTGCAACCACAGCTTGAATTTGATGTTGTATAAATCTCTGGTGAAAGCAGCATGACTTGCATATGGTGCCAAATTAAAAAGGCAGAATGCAGGCCATGGCTACAGATGAATCATTGTGAGTGCACTCTTAAGTCATTTACTCCAGTTGTTCCTTTCCCATGCCTGAACTCAGATGCTCTCTAGCTTTTCTCCCCTTCTTCTCTTCCCGTCTACTCTCCTTGTCCGTGTAGCTGTTCCTTCCTTAAAGTCGGTCTACGCAAAGTTATTTTCCATCCAGACTGACCTTTATCCTCACAGAATGTTGTGAATGTTCACTTTGTTCTTTTTAAAAAGAAGATTAATGGTTTGTTGAAGTGTTAGGCACATCAATTTGTCAAGTTTCAGTTGCTCAGTAGCCAATACTTCGCAACTGTTCTTTGATGTCATAGGAAGCATCACTCCCAGAACTGCCACATTTTAACCTGAAGATACTGCACATAGTTTGGTCAAAAATACCTTCACAACCCTATACTTTAATCTGTTTCCTTGTATTTACAGGAAGAGGAAGAAGACTACCACTGGAAAACTGTACACGAGTGACAAGGATAGGCAAAAGCCAACTCATCTATGAACATTTCAGAAAGCCCACGATAGGCTGTGCAGTAAACTCAGAAAATAATGCATCTCCTTCATTTTCTGGAGGCCTACAGAACTGGAACAGCTCTATAGTTGAAACCCAAATGAAGCCCAAATCTACTGGAAGGTGGGATTCCCCACATAAAGAAACAAAGGAAATTAATCTTCATTGTTCCCCTGATCTGGATGTCAGCAGAAATGTTAAAAGTGCCCATATTAAAAACTCTTCTTTGAAAACTCATCCTGAAGTTTCTCCTGCCTGTGATACCGGCTCAAGTACTGTAATTACTTCAAAACTGATTAAGGATCCAAGGTTAAAAAAAAGGGAACAAGTCCTAGAGAAGCAAAATGGAGAAGCAATCTTGGAGAAGCAATCTTCACAGTGTGAGAATGAGCTGGACTATAACTTGGAAATGAAAGTATCTGCTACTCTAAGCATGCCATATCCTGTAACTGAGAATTTTCTTCTTAACTCCAAGAATGCAGTTGGTCAGAAGCAATATATGGAGAAAACATATTGGGAAGAAAATTTGGAAGGGACTATATTGCCATCTGTGTTAAACAGAAATAAAGATTCCCCAGTGAATGGTGAGCAAGGGTTAAGTAATGTCAACAAAAACATTTTGGGTTCTCAGAATACTGATACAGATCACTGTTTGAAAACCTATGTAGGTGATAGTTCTTTAAAATCAAAGGTCTGCAAAACTGATAATTCAGACAGAACCCTTATGGAAGATGTAAGAGGAGAAAAAGGAACAAGACATTCAAAATTGCCCTCTTTAGACCTAAATCCTTCTAAAACATTGATTAATGAATGGACATTTCCAGACCAAAATCCAGAAAGTGCAGCATTTGGCAATTATAAGATGGATAATAGAGGAGAAATGGAGAGCCAATTACAAGAAGATGATGCTTACATTTCTGAAATGCATTGCTCAACCAATTTGGATACAAAATGTGCTCAAAACAATTTTACTTCATCAGAGGAAGAACAGAATGATAGTGCTAACAGTTGTAGTCTCCAAGATTACACATTACAGTCTGAAGTTTGTAAAAAACTGCATATTTCTGAAAATGTCATGGGAGAAGTCTGGGATGAAGATCTCAGTGAGCAGTCTATAGAGAATCAAATGGATGCAGAGAATTTTGAACAAAATGGGTGCCATGCGGTGATAGAATTTGAAAAATTCAATAAGATTGAAGCACCTGTAATCATTAATAAACCAATATATACAGCATGTGAAGTAGCAAACAGCTCAGTAGGTGAAAAAGACTGCTGTACTATAGAGAAAGTAAAGGATAATTCTATCGGAGAGAGAATCGTGCATCAATCCCCAGCTTCCTGTGGAAGTGACACAGTAATGAGAAATTTTAATGGAAATAGTGTGTGTCTTCCTGAGTCAGTTTCATTGGATAAAAATATTTTTAGAGATAGCAAAGAATGTCTTCTTTCCTCAGGAATATTTGTTGATGAACAAAGGAACTGTAAAACAAACACCACAGCAAATACCAGTGATTTTGATCAAATTTACACAAGCGAGTTGGAAGAAAAAGGTAAAAGAGATACCCCTACAATGCAGATGCCTTCCTCAACAGAAAGTTCAGCAGAGGAAACATCAGAAAAAGAAGATTCTGTCGAGGAGGACTGGATAAGTGATATGAAATGCTGTATGGAGACTTCAATGACGCCTGAAATTTTGGATTCAGAAAGCTCAGGTTCTGACTTTAACTTCAGTGGTCAAGGTAGAGGCTCAACAACAGAAGCAAAGCTGATAAACAATAGCAAAGAAAAATGTGAAGACCTGCATAACCAAGCATTTCTAACTAAAGGTACAGACATGGTGACTTATCAAGAAAAACATTACACTGCCTCTGTGATAAGTACCTCTGTTCCTGTACCTTTGGAGAATATAAAGGATATAGAATTTAAAAAACTTCAATCTCAGTCTGAGATTTCAGGTCTTTCAAGTGCAAATTTTGAAGAGTTGAACAGTAATTCCTCTTGTGAAGATGATAGTCTAGAAGCATTTGAACAGGATTTAGAGGTAAAATGCAATGACCAGAACCTGAACATTGTTAGTGACTTTGAAAATACATTAGGAGAGTGTAAAAAATGTATCTCTACATCACAGAAGCCATGTAAAAATGGAAACTATTGGGAGAAAAAGGATGTGTATCATTATTTACAAGAGCGTATGGATTGGGATAGTCTCTTAGAAAAACCTAGTCGGAGTACAAAGGTTTCTGGAAAGCCCTCTGTGGAAGAGAATAAAAATGATTCGGAAGAAAAAGCTGAATTGTTTGTATGTCCTGACCTGCAGATTACAATCACCAACATAATTCAGCCAAAACTGAATTCCCCTCATAGCTCTTTCAGAATGAAGACAGATATGGGGAAATGTTCAGGACATAAAAAGGATATGAAATGGTTGCAGGAGAAAAATACCAAACATCACAGAAGGAAAGAACAGAACAATTCAGAAGAGAAGTATATATTTTCTTCATCGTCCAAGGGACAAGTTGAAACATTTGTGCAGTCTGAAGAGTATATTAAGAGTGTTTTGAATACTCTTAACACTCAAGCATTGTTATGTAAAAACAAACATCTTTCTCAAAAAATAGATGGAGCAATGTTTCACTTAAGAAAAGCACATCGAAGGGTTCAGAAATCTTTAAAAATATTAGCAAAAGCTGGAAGGAAAAAATCAAGTGAATCATCAAAATCATGTGAAGTCCTACAACGTGGATCCTCATCTAGCTGCGTTTCAGATATGCCTTGTAGCTGTGATAACATGAGAAATGCAAAACTAACTAAACTTCAAACAGCCTCCGAGAAATCTATCTTAGATACTATGGAATTGAAAAGTACAAAGCCAAGCAGTGACAAACACATTATGAGCAATGAGCAGAAGATTCATTTAAATGTCATCTCTGGATATAATACCCAAGAAAATGTAAGTACCAGCATGGTAAGCACAGAGCACGACATCAGCTCTGAAGTTAATAGATGTACAAGCAAAGATAGTGCAAAACATTTGAATACAGCTGTTGAGAAAAAGGAGTCATGTGTCAATCGAGAAGACAAAAGAAAAGATGAAAGGACTTGTGACTCTGATATCAAGGCAAGTGCAATTAAACTTGCCATGCCAGTTCAAGCGGCATTAGAATCTTCTGCAAAAGTGAACATTTTAAAACCAGATAATATTTCCATAAGGCTGGAAAATGTTTTTTCTGATGAAAATGAAGCTCTGGAAATAGCCCCAGCACCGCAAATAAAGATAGGTTTGAGTGCCAAAGCTTCATCCAATGATTACGAACTGTCTCCTGTGTCCTTGGAAAACAGCTGTTTTTCAAATGAACCTTTTAATAACTGCAGAGACCTCAGTCATGACATCAAACATCCAGAAGTAGGAGTTGAACAAAAATCCCTTAATTTTATCATTAAAATATCAGAGATCTTGAGAAAGGCAGATGAAACCACATCTTTGAATGTATTACTTGAACAGCTTATATTTTGCAGACGCGTTCTTCCCTCCTTTGTTAGAGCTTTTGAAAAAAAGCAGGAATGCTCTTCTGAACATGTCTTGGTTTCGAGGGAGATACTTGAGAGTACTGAAAGAAAGATGCAGGCTATTAATAAATTGAAACCTTCTGCTATAGAATCCCTGATTGAACTACAGATTATAATGGAAACCATTGAATTCATTGAAAATAAGAAGAGACTTATAGAAGGTGTACCAACCTTCCGAAGCTTGCTTTGGTATGATGATTCACTGTGTAGTGAGTTGTTTGGTGGACAGTCAGGTTACCAACAACAATCAAATTTCTATCCTGCTTTTCAGAGAAGACTAGAATACAATGCTCTTAATGAGTTACAAACCCATCACAAACAATTAGTGGATGCCTTTAATAACACAAGATGGGAACATAATTCTTACTATTCCTTCTTGAAGTTGAGGCGAGAAATAGAGGAATGTGAACAAGCAATGAAAAGCAATTACAATTTCTCTGATTTTTTCCTTTCTGTCCCATATGTTTGTGGAGCTAACTTTGGAGATACTCTTGATGACTTAGAACATGCAAGAAAAAATACAGTAGATTTAATAAGCAAATCTAAAACTCCTGGCATTAATCTGAGGGCAGAAAAGGAAGAGCATCTTTGGGTCATAATGGATATTATTGCTACAAAGGTAGAATTCATAAAAACTTGTGAAGATGTGAATATAAAAGCATCACTGTTTGGACTTGAGCACATATTTTTTGATGCTGCTAAAAGTCTTGCTTGGACAGAAAAAGTTAAGTTTATAAATGGAGATTTTAAAGGTGAGGAAAGACAAGCAATCAAAATAAATGAAGCTGACCTATCTAAGCTCTATGAGACTTATCAGCTTATGATAGAGGAGTTTGGAAGAAGAAACTTCAACGGTGCTGTTGAAGAACAGACTTTCAAGAAATCTTCAGTGGACTCTAGTAATTGTGAAATGGCAAGCAAGCAACAAGAGGCAAATTATTGTATTACAAAGTCCCTTATTGTACGCCAGGATATTGGTTGTATTGGTGAAATATTAGGTGAAGCGCAGTCTTCAGATACTGAGAGATTACAACAGCTCTTGTGCAGATGTACAGAGCATATGGAAATGTTGAAACAGTATTTTCAGATTTTACAGGAAGAGAGTAACAGTGTTTTGATCACAAAAGAAAATGTGCTGGGATTCTTGAAAAATGGTGGCATAAATCCTGTCATTTTGAAACCAGAAGCTGTTGAGGTGTATGCTGAAATGACAATGGTATATGAAACAGTTCTTTTTCTCCAAAACTCAATAGCAAGAAGAGTAGATAAACCAAGATTTCGAAGTTTATTATGGTTTGATACATCACTTACACCTGAACTTTTAAGATGTCAAGAAAAAATGGCTTCCTTCTCTTACCGGAAAGGCAACCTTATAGAAATTATAGACTCTTCCATCTCTGAACTTCAGAATGAGTGGAAAGCTATTCATGGCTTTTCAAAAAATTTGAATTGCTCGTATGCACTTCATCTTTTCTCAAGGGAGCTTAAAGAACTTTCAGAAACTAAAAACGTGCTACAAACATCGAAGTCCTTCAGTTCTATGTGCGTCAACTTGGTACCATATACTGTAAGTTTAAACTATGGAAGTACTGTGTCTGAACTAGAATACAACTACAATCAGTTTTCTTCACTTCTTGACAAATTGATGATGTGTGAAAGGAAGGATTTAGGAAAAATGGCCCACATTATGAAAATAATGAAGACTATTGAGCATATGAAGTTTATCTGTTCTAAACAGGAAAAATCACCTTTGCCGCTGGTTATATATCAAATGGTTAAAAACTGGAGAAAATCTTGCGAGTTGAAAAGACAAGGTCTGGATACCATTGAGGAACATAGCACCAAGCACAGTATGTGCAGCAGTGGCCCACCAGCTTCCCAGGCCTCAGATTCCCAGTCTCAACACAAAAGACCTGCCAGTATTGCTTCAGAAGATGGTTCCAGTTCATCTGATGAGATGAGTGATCCCTCGCGTACAAAAAAGATAAAGGTAAAACCACTTGGCTCAACACTTTTGTTTTTAAAGAACGATATAGTGACAACGATACATACTTTTATTTGGTTCTAAATATATTTAATGTATTATTTTTGTTCACAAATGTGGTGATAGAATTCTTCAAAAATACTGCAAGCATTACACATGGCTACTAGTCACAATGTATGTATATTGCCCAGCATTTGCAATATTGCTTAGAAACACTGCCTCTAATATTGGAAACTGTATTGTGGCGACTAGTGACCGCTTATGTCTTACTAAGTTTTTTATGGGAAGATGGGTAGTATTAGTGGCATTCCAGGAACATTAAGGGCACATTAAATTACTGACTATTTCAAATAGGGATGTTGCAAATATTCAAACTGAGCTTGCCAAAAATGTAGGATTGATGGGAGCAGGGCTGTCCCAGCCTTCCCCACTGCCCAACACCAAAACTCCTTGTTGGGGCATGGAAAGGATGTAGAAAGTGGCAAACAATCCTCAGGTCCTGCAGGATTATCTTTTCCCACAAAGGACTGGGACTACTGCAGTCTCATTCCTCATGAGAAAAGATGTTATGCTAAGGTATCAAAAGTGCCCTCTGCTGCCTGCCTGCTTTCCATGTTCAGCCCAACCCAAGGTATATTATTAGACACCTGGAATGATGCAAATCATCCTTTGTATCTTTCTGAGTACATTCCAGGTCTTTGTGAGGATTTAAATAGAACAGTCTCAAAGAGGTCAAGCCTTTGGAAACATTTAGTCTGAATCTGTCTAAAAGTAATCCATAAACATCATCATCATCATCATCATAGGCCATGGCATCATTCAGAAAATAACAAAAGGAAAAACAGCAATAACCATAAAAAGAAAAAGTAATCACATAGTGAATGAGTTTTGGTCTAGGCTCACCTGGATAGTAGAAGTGTGCATGGACACGAAAGCTCATACCAGTAACAAACTTGGTCACTAAGGTACTACTGGAAGGATCTTTTTTATCTGGTTGGTAGAGCATTGGATCAGTGTTGTGTAAGGCCACCATAAGGAACATTATTACGGTTTTGTAAAACCAAATAAGAAAATAATCTGGTGTTACAAACTAGCCCACATACTATTGCAGTTATGGAGGTTTGAAGAGGTTTCCCCCCCAATAATAATCCTCCTGCCTTTAATTGTATGATTAATATACAATTAAACGCTTGTATCTGAAGATTCTATTAAGAAGGGAAATGTTTTTCCTCCCCCCTTGTTAAAGATTTTCTTGGGTTATAAAAGTACATGCATCTCTATTTTCAGATCATAAAGTCCTTTTTCGGATCAGTTACATTCGATGTGAGAAATTGATGTTGTATATAGTATAAGGTGGGGGGAGTAGGGGGTTAGTAAACTTTACTTCTTTTACATAGTGTATGTGCAAGGCTAAGAAGGAAAATATATGCACAACTGGAATTAGCAAGGAAATTTACATCAGTGGTACCATTACTTCTAATTAAGAAGTTTTGTTTTGCAGAACTGAAATAGAGAATATAATAATTTATTTGTTTGTTTCATAAAAATAATACACCACTTGTAGAAAGAAGAAAACAACCCTCAAAGTGATTTGTAAAATCAATAACTGTGTTTCCCAGACTTGGGTCTCCAGCGGTTTTTGGACTACAAATCCCATCATCCCTATTTAGCAGAGCCAGTGGTAAGGAATGATGGGAACAGAGTCTCATGATCCAATCTGAAGTCTTGTCCAACAGCACAAAACGCTTTCCCATTGTTTTTACAATTTTATAGAACTTACAGAAAAGTGTTAAAAGAATTAATGTGCATAATACACTTACATCGGTTTGTTTTCCTATTTTAATTTATTAGATTGCTGATTCACTGATGACAACCACAGAAAAGATAAACGAAGATGAAAATAGCAGGAATTTAAGGTATAAATAGTAAAACAGTAACAAAATACCAGTGCCTAGTGGACCTATTTGAAACGTGTTACTTCCATAACTTTTCATACAAATTTTGTGGATCAGGCCCTTCTTAGTGTTAGAACTTTATTTAGAGGATTTCTGTCGCACCGTTCAACCAAAAAGGCTCCCAGGCCTTTCATGCTATCAGCTGGAACTATATCGCGTATGTTTGTAATCACCACTTGCAACGACAGCTTTCTAAGCCATCAATATATGGAACTCTGGAAATTATCCTTTATATTATATTGCTAGATTGTTTAATTCCATCTGTCTACCTTATTTCTATGAGTTATACTTTTTATGTTTAGATTATTTTATTTTTTATTCTGTTTTGGTTTGTACTTGTATTTTGAAAACCCAATAAAAAACTACTTATTTATTGAATTTATAAACCGCCCTATATCCGAAGGTCTCAGGGCACTTCACAGAACAAAACCAGAATATAAAACCACAAAATATATAATCAAAATAAAAGCAACAACCCAATAAGCGCCCCCCAAACCTCACCTTTTAAAAGGGCATAGGATTTTAAAATGATTTTAAAAAACAAAATGCCACCGGAAAGGCAACCAGGGTGGCTTTCATAGAAACAATTAAACTAAGACAGTTATTGTCCCCAGGCTTAAAATCTAAAAGAACAACCACAAAAGGAAAGTGGGATAGGTAGGAGGAGGGGGTGAAGGGAAGCAAACTCAGATACTGCACCTTAAAGTTAAATAGTACTTTTTTAAAAATAAAAAGCAGCTGGGATGGAAACAGTTCAGGGACAGGTCTTTCAGAGGTGAGGGAAAGTCCCTGTTTCTCATCTCTCCTACTGTGGCAGGGTACTGTAATGGCTGATTCTAGAAGACAGTATTTGGCATATAATGTGCACATATCTAAAAAGACTTCTAATTAATGTTGTTTGATACACATTTAGAACAGAATGTAAGCAGAGAGGTGGACATGAAATGCCGATGAGTATAGACAGTGGTAATTAAATTATTAACAGTGGCAATTCACAAAAATAGTTGTGTTGCTGATATGACATCCTGGCATTGGAAAGCCAATTAATGCATGCCTTGCAGACAGCACATGTACGTACTGTCTCCCCACATGAACCCTGTGCCATCACAGATTTGTTTCAAAGGGTTGAGGGAAATGCCAGAACAGATTTAGGGGGTACACACTGAGAGAAAAGAAAGTTCCTTTGCACAGTAAAAAGTCTTGCATTGATAGAACAAATGGGTTGATTTCTCCCTGCATTTTTGATGTGCCATATTTTTTTTAGCCAGCTGCTGAAGTAGCCTTTCACGTGAAATTCCTTGTGGACCTTGGTTAAAATAAACTCCATTATCCACCTTTATACAGCCAAGTTGTTCATTTGAATATCATCAGATAGATCTGGTCAAGAAACAGCCTCCCTTGTTCTTTAAAAGTCATCTCTTCATAAAACGTAACCTGAGAAAACATTATTTATCTCTGAGGATTCATGTGTTTTTCTTGAAAGAAATTTTGTTCTTGAACAATCAGATAGATAACTTGAATTTTAAGCAAAATATTCACATTTTTGTTTCTGTTCTCCTATTACATGATTTGTGTGCTCTTGTGTGGAAGAAACTTGTGTTGTCTGTGGGAAGGTCTGCTGAACAGTATTAGATCCTCACGAAATCTAAAGTTGATGAAACATACTTTTGAGAGGTCTTTAGCCTGTCTTGTTTTTGCTTTTTACTTCTATAAATTCCATCTATTAAATGCCTTTTAAAACGTTTCCCTTATTTGGAGGTAGACATTCCCTACACCCTTTGAGGGATTAAGATTGCTCATTTGGGCAGTGGACATAACATTTGAATATTCTGCCCACATAGGCCAATAAGTTTCTCTCACGTACACCTTGAGTAAATTGTTCAGGGTCATTAAAAAGAGATTGTGAAGAGCTCCAAAAAGCCCCCTCCAAACTGAGTGAAAGATCAGTAAAATTGCAAATGCAATTGAATGTAAACAATTGTAAAGCGATAGATGTTGGGGGGACGACCCTTTATTTCACATTTACACTGGCAGTGACAAATCAGGAACAAGAACTTGAGGTTGACACAGTATGTAGCAGCAGCAAAAAAGTTAAATTCTATGATAGGGATCATTAAGAAAGGAATTAAAACTGCTGATAATGTTATATGATACATGATATGATATGATGTGATGTGATGTGATTATACAAATCTGGTGTGACCACTTTTGGAGTACTGTGTACTGTTCTGTTCTGTTCTGTTCTGTTCTGGTCACCTCACCTCACCTCAAAAAGCATATTGTAGAGTTGGGGAAGGTTCAGAAAAGTGCAACCCAAATCACCAAAGGGATGGAGCAACTCCCCTATGAAGAAAGGCTGCAGTATTTGGGGCTTTTTAGTTTGAGAAAAGGGGAGTAAGAGGTTATACGATGGAAGTTTTAAAAATTACGGCATGGAGAAATTGGATAGAGAAAAGTTTTTCAGTCTTGTACACAACACTAGAATTCATGGATATCTTATGAAGCTCTGTGTTTGAAAATTCAGGACAGATCAAAGACATTTATTCTCTATGTAGTATGTTCACTCCCACAGGAGGCAGTGATGGCTACTAGATTGTTTGGTTTTAAAAGGGAATCAGACAAATTCATGGAGAAGAGGGCTATGAAAGGCTACTAGCCATGATAGCTTTGCCTCCACAGTTGGAGGCACCAATCCTCCTGAGTACCAGTTGCTGGAAACCACAGGAGGGGAGAGTGCTTTTATGCTCAAATCTTACTTGCTGGTTTCCCACAGACTTCTAATTGGCCACTGTGTGCATAGGATGCTGGACTAGATTGGCCATTGGTTTGAGCCAGCTGGCTTTTCCATGTTTTTATCAAGCTAACACACGTTTTTATTTGATTATGATAACCCATGCCCGGATCATTTGATGAATCTAGTAACCCACAAGATTAGCTTTTCTTTTCCATTATTCACACTTAAGACAGCTGGAGAATAGTGATGCTGTGTTTCCACCTTGAAATGTTAGTTTTGAAACAAAATATATTACAAGATTATACAAATAGGGACCAAGCAAATGTTTAGAAATAAATACATAAACAATATATGTTTTTGTGCATTGAATAAATTCAGATCAGGTCCGAATTCTAATAGAACATTGATATTCTTGTTTTTCAAAAATCACACAAAAAAGTTTGATTTTTGTTTTGCAGAGTGAGTGGAAAATATAATTTCCCCAAAGAGAAAGAACTACAGTTAAGCATTTCAACAGACAATATGTGGAATAAAAAACCTGGCAATTTGAGAGAGACAGCACCAATCTCACCTGCACAGTTAAAAGATTTGAAAGTTGCTTATCCCTGTGAAAGCATTCAATCTTCACCAAATGACTCAGAACCAAAGTTCATTTGTTCAAACACATTAGCTGGTCAGCAGAATCTAGCAGATCTAAAAGATTTCAACAAGAGCGGCTGGAATGCAAAAGACCATGACCAAGAATATATTGCATCCCACAATGAGGGAGGTGAAAGTCTTTCTTTACATTCAGTGACAGTTGAGTTATTACAACAATCTCCTGAAAACTCTCCTACTAGAGATGATGCTAATTCTGTGTTGGGTACGCTAAATGAGCACCATAACTTAAAATCAGATGTCCTGAGAGATGCTTCACATTTAATGCCTGAATGTAGCACAGCTTTGAGTTCACCTCTAAAATCTGATCGAAACGAAGGGGAATGTGGACAGGAAAAAAATGTGACCCCCAACTGCACAACCCCATATAATTTAGATTCCACAGTGATGACAGAACTAAATAAAGCCATGGAATTGGAGCATTTGCAGATGGAACCATCGTACAGTGAAAATAACAAAACTAAATTTTCACCTGTAAATCAAAATGAACATATTGAGGAAACCTCTCGGTTGCAGAGTTCTCCTGTGCATATTTATGGTGCAGTTTATCCTTATTATTCTTGGTACTTATATCAAAATCATTGCAATACTCACTCAGTAACTCAGACATACCAGGAATTAAATTCCTGTGAAATGAATCCCCTGACACATAGCATGTCCACAACTACAAGCATAATGTATAACACAGAGTCTAGTATGTTTTGTTCACAGACTTTTAGTCATTTCAGTGTTGGAGAATCACAAAGGTTTAACTTAGCCCAAACCTATCCAATGTATGGTTATTTCAGTTCCGCCGTGGCCTTTCCATATAGCAATTGGCAACAGCCATCATGGTATACAGAAAATCAGCCTTGGACCCAAGTTGCTTTTCCGTATCCTTCCAATAACGGCTCAGAAGATTATGTAGGAACTACATAATAGGAACTACATACATACAGTAGGAACTAAAGCAATTTTTAAAATGAGCGTGTGTGTTTTTTTAAAGTGATATTTAGTTGCCCACTAGTATGTGTGTAGTAAAAATCTAGTAAGATCAACATGAGACATTTGACATGAGTCAGATGCTTAAAATACCTTTTTGTGAATCAACAACCATGTCCAGCAAGTAATATGGAGCCAGTGCAATGCATGCATGGTTCTGGGGGGCATTTCCCATGTGAACCAGCCCTTGGAGGCATGTTGAACACCATAGCTGTTATTTTATCGTATTCTTTTAGCTTTCATTCCTTTAAAAGCAGTCCTGAACTAGACCTTGGACTAATGTATCCTAGGAGAGTGGTTTAAGAATTTTTTTAAAGCCCTGAAGGAAATAAACTTTATTTGAAAGTTAACAGACTGGTCCTGTACTGGTTCATCTTTTATAATTCAGGCAGAAACTTGTGCTGTTATAGTAAGCATAGCATCCAGAAATGAAACACCCATAGATGCCCCACATGTTATTTATTGCCAGTATTGTGAAGGCATAACTGCTGAATCTGCCCTTTGGATGTTATGCAAGTAATTATAGATGTCGCTGCACTTTACAGCAGAGCAAAGGATTGTGATGTTACATATGGAACAAAGGCCAATACAGTGGTACCTCAGGTTACATATGCTTCAGGTTACATACTCCTCTAACCCAGAAATAGTGCTTCAGGTTAAGAACTTTGCTTCAGGTTGAGAACAGAAATCATTCTCCAGTGGCGCAGCCACAGCAGGAGGCCACATTAGCTAAAGTGGTGCTTCAGGTTAAGAACAGTTTCAGGTTAAGTATGGACCTCTGGAACGAATTACGTACTTAACCCGAGGTACCACTGTACATTCATTATAATGGTTAAAGGTATAAATCTGGTTTTTCTTTATTTTCAGCTGCCTGACAGTAGTCCTCTTTCTATTCTTGGTTGAATCATGAATCATTTGCATAGAAATTTTTTGTCCCTTCTTTTTTTACTTGATTAAAATACTTATTTAAATTTGATATTAATAACTTAAAGTCTGTTGCCTTGCCTTTTCAACCAAATTAAAACTTAAGAAAAAGCCAAATCTGAATCTTTATAACTTAATACTGGGCAGTTTATTTGGAACACAATTCTGCACAGTTTTACACAATCTAAATCGGGGTACAGGTGAAATTAGTAAAGCATAATAGAAATACTTAGACTCAAGTCACATTTTATTTCAGTGGGATATTTCATTTGTGACTCTGTTCCTGTGAAGCATCTCGCAAGTGATTTCACAATGCACTTTTATACACACACTGAACTTTGACGATGACACAATCCTTGTGTGAAAACAGCAGGTAAAATGGGTGAGCAGAGGTATAATTTCTCTAGAGTAGTTGCTTACTGTAGTAGACATGTTTTTTGGTGAGCATGGACTTTGATGAACAGCTGTATCATATGTAGCTGTGTCATAACATTAACCCAGATAAGATTGGGACTGGTAGCTACACTGGACTTGCTGCAGTTCCTCTGCAGTACTACCACTTTTTGGAAGAGACATGGGTTCATCTCTGCATTCCTCAAGAAAAATGATCAGCCATATCTGTGTGGAAAAGAGAGGTTAACTGCACTCCGCACTGTAACAGAAAGCCAGACTAGGGCTGTTAAAATCTCTTCCTGAGACTTGTGCTAATTCCACAGAAAGTATTTTTTAAAATCCAGAAGACTGCAGCCTGTATTCATGATTTGGGGCATGACATTAGATAGCTGTTGACACTGTGGGACCTGATGTTTAATTCTGCGAACCGCCCTGAGATCTTTTGATGGAGGGTGGTATATAAATTAAACAAAACAGTCTTTTGCAGTGATTGCACCTTTTCTGGGATATGTGCTGACTTGCATTTGCATGGGCCTAACTTTGGTGCAGACCCCACAGCCAGCACAATTGCTCCTGAGCTGTATACCTCATTCAGTGCTGAAGGGGCTCCTAAAACAGTTAAAAGCAGTGCTTAAAAAAAAAAAGAGCACACATTAAAATCATAGAACGTTATTAGAAACCGTGGCACTACAACTTTAAAATTTCAGGACATTTAAAAGGCCGGAGTAAGTAATAAATTCACTGAATGTTCCTGAGAGTTGGTTTCAGGGAAGTCTTGGGACACGGGAAGAAGGATTTCAAATATGAGGCACCACCATAAAAATAAAAAAGTCCAACTTGTTAAAAATCAAGCTTAACATTATTTGTCAGTTCCCTGGACGATGAAAGAAAAAGTGCTTGTAGTGGGCTCCTTCCCCAAACTGCACCCTTCAGGCTGCGGCCGACCAACAATTTTGGGGCCCCAAAGCCTGAATGGCCATGGGGTGGGGCATCTTCAATGGGGTTCTTCCATGTCAGATCACCACAGTTAAAAAATAAAATACATTTCAGATTTTGCTTAAAATTGCCGTACTGCCGCACTCCACCTTCACAACATCTGTGCTCCTGACTCAAACTTCAGGGTTGTTGAAATACAACAACAAAACCCCATTTGAGTTGTGTGACTCAAATTGGGTCTACCAGACACCCCCCCCAAAAAAACCCGCACTAAAGCCTCTTCTGGGGGCCCTCGGGGATTAGAGGCCGTGAAGCTTAAATTTCCTTCGTTTCATAGTAGATCCGCCCCTGCCTTCAGGTTTCGATCCCTTTCCCCCTCTCAACTCAACGACTTGGATGATGGACTCAAGGGCATCCTGATCAAATTTGCAGATGACACCAAACTGGGAGGCGTGGCTAACACCCCAGAGGACAGGATCACACTTCAAAATGACCTTGACAGATTGAAAGGGAACTGGGCCAAAACAAACCAAGATGAACTTTAAGCAGAATGTAAAGTGTGCACTTGGGCAAAAAAATGAAGACATAAATACAAGATGGGGTGACACCGGCAGAGAGCAGTACATGCGAAAGGATCTAGTCTTGGCTGACCTGGAAGCTTGACATGAGCCAACAGTGTGGCGTCAAAAGCCAATACAATTCTGGAGCTGCATCAATAGGAGTATAACATCTAGATCAAGGAAGTAATAGTGCCACTGTATTCTGCTCTGGTCAGACCTCACCACCGTTACTGTGTGTCCAGTTCTGGCACTGGTTCAGAAGGACACCCAGAGCAAACTGGGCATTGGTCAGAGGAGGGCAACCAAAATGGTCAAAGAGCCAGAACGATGCCTTGAGGAGCGGCTGAGGGAGCTGGGCATGTTAGCCTGAGAGGTTGGGGTGATATGATAATATGTTCAAATGCAAAAAGGATGTCGAGGAGAGGAGAAGGTTGTTTCTGCTGCTCCAGAGAGCGGACAGAACAATGGATCCAAACCCTGAAAAGAAATTCCACTAAACATTAGGAAGAACTCCTGGCAGTAAGAGCTGTTCGACCAGTGGAATTTGCGCGAAGGAGTGTGGTGAGTCTCCTTCTTTGGAGGTCTTTAAGCAGAAACGGCAACCATATGTCAGTCTTCAGTGGTGTTTCCTGCGCTGGCAGGGTGTTGGACTCATTAGCCCTTGGTCTCTTTAAATACTATGATTCTATGATTCTCTTCTATGAACTCGCGAACGGAGCAGAGGCGAGGTAAGAGGGCACGTTCTGCCCTCCGGGCGATAGGTGGCGCTGCGGCCGGCCCGTTCCGCCGGAAGCGCCTCGACGTGAGGCGGAAGTGCGCAGCGCCGCCGCCGCCGCCGCCATTACACGGGTGCCGGAGGGAGAGAGGGGGTGAGGGACTTGAGGGTGAGGCTTGGGCCTGTGTCGCGCGCGCGCTCTTCTAGGCGGGCCGTTGGGCTTGTGACCGTTGGTCCGGGCCTCCCCCTCCCCTCCCCCTCTCTCTCTCTGCCCCCCTCAGTACCGTTGGCTTGTCTTTTTTTTTTTTTCCCTTTCCCCCCTTCCTTCCTTTTTTTCTTCTTCTTTCCCTCCCTTTGGGCCGGTCCAGCCTGGACCACACCGCCCTGGCCACGCCGCCCGGCGCTGCTCCCTTCTCCCACAACTGAGCGGGCGGCTGGCCAGAATGGAGGACAAGAGCTTCACCAAGGAGCTGGACCAATGGATCGAGCAGCTCAACGAGTGCAAGCAGCTGAGCGAGAGCCAAGTGCGGAGCCTCTGCGAGAAGGTGCGTGACCGGGGGGGGGGGCGGCCCGGATCCTACCGAAATAAAACCTGAGAGGATCACTAGAGAGAGGAAGGAGGGGGGGGGAGCTGAAAATGACTCGGGCAAAAGGTTTTGACTTCTCCCTTTGCCAGTAAAACGGGTCCTGGGAAACCAAGGAGACAGTTTTGAGAAGGCTAAAGGTGGAGAGAGTTCTTTGGAAAGGGCTGTCAAGGCTGTGTAAAAGTACCCCCCCACACACACACAAAAAGACATTTGCATATAGCAATTAGATTAAAAGCGAAGCTAACAGTAATGAAGCCAGTGGAGTATATCAATGTCATACTTTAAACCTAGGCTTTGCCTTTCTTGGACTGTGGCTGTCTCTGCCCCCTGCGAATTTCTCTCCATCCTCACCATTCTTCGCACTGTTAAGATCTTGGTGCCTGGGGCCTGGTTTGAAACCTTGCTGTGTTCCTGGCAAAGGGCACTGTGGAATTGTAGGGAACGTTACAATTTGCTCTCCTCCCCCGGTGTAATTCACTCTTCCCCGCGCGCTCGTGGGGAGACGGAAGTGTTGCGAAGGGTGGGGGCCACAGCCAGATGACCGCAACTGTATTGTTGCTTTTCCCCAACAACAACAAAACAAAAACCCACGATGCTCTCAGCACCGGATTTCCTGCAGTAAGAGGTTGCTTTTGCCACTCTTACGCATACTGCCCCACAGAGTATGCGTCCACAGCAGCGGGTTCTGTTATAATCCAGGTATGAGCCACAGTACTGTATCATCCCAAGTACTCAGTGGATGATGCAGTGCTTATGTGGCCACTACATTTTGAATGTATGTATCAGACATGTTTTAGAGCGTTGTGCAAAATAGCACCACTTTGTTAAAGTGCTTTGTCACTTTGAAGAGGAAAAAATGGCTTTATGACACAGTTCTGTATATTCCTTTACCTCCATAGCTGTCAACGTTTCCCTTTTTTTAAGGGAAATTCCCTTATTCCGAATAGGATTCCTCGCAAGAAAAGGGGAAAGTTGACAGCTATGCTTTACCTCCAATGATGGCGTTATCCTCACTGTTTTGCACACCCTGATCCAGAAAATTTTGGAACATTCTAGTTTCTTTATCCGAACTAGGTTACTTGCTTTTCCTTCCCCATACAAGGTTGAATACAAAGAAGCCTGATTGAATTTGAATTCTTTCAGAAGTTTTGGACAGCTTCCCTCACAGAAGGCTTCTTTCATGGCTCTAGCTAGCCTATGAGAATATAGAGTTAACAGTGTGATCCTATACTTACCTGCTCAATGGGAATTACTCCCAGGTAGGTGTGTATAGGATTGCAGCCTAAACAGTACAAATAATGTTTACATTTTTCTTTTTGTTAGGAAAACAGCTATACGTGCTTTCCACATATTTCAATAATGTAAATTCTTGCAGTGCTTTGTATAATTGGATACAGAACTACCCCCACTTTTCAACTCCATTACACTTAGCATTTATGAATGTAGTTGCCCAGCCACCAGAAGTGTGACTTTGAAAGCTATGTAGTTACAGCCAAGAGGGAGCCACAGGAATCCCATAGTTTTGTGCTTATTTCTTGAGTTTTATCATATCTTAGTTTATTGGTATGTCTTCTGAAATCAGAATTTTTAAAAATGCAGGGCTGAATATGTTTATGTAATCAGAAATATGCATAAATTAGTGCAAAAACATTGAAGCAATGGCTTCCAGAAGACCACATTTCTAGCACTTTTACCATTAAAATTTATACATAAATGAAGGATTTCCATGATTTATGGAACTGAAATGAGATTATTATTTAATCCATAGTAGATCATATATCTTAACTTCTTAATAATGTTTGCTGCTGGTAGTAATGATAGGTCTGGAAGTGGAGTGCACCTAGGATAATAGTTTTAAGAATATTGATTTTGCTTATCAATACAATTTTTCCTGGAGTTGATAAACACATCCTGAAGTGTCAAGCAAGTGCTTTTTGAACATTGTAGGGCCATGCATTTGTTGAAATAGGGGTAGGGGTTTGGTTGGTGATACCTGTAAACGGGAGATAATAGGTAGTTCCTGAACACCTGAAAAATTCCTAAACGTTATGCCAGTTGTGACTGGTGCCCATTGGGACTCGTAGCGCAGACTTCAGGGAGGCAAACAATAGGGTGGAGCCATAGCCAGTTACAGGCAGAGCCAGTTGATTCTAATTTTGCCCCCATCCTCTTTCCTGTTGAGTTCAACAAGGAACTCAGTTCAAGACTGAGATTAAGGACAGTCACTAGATCTTCTGTTGCAGCAGTTTTTCTTTACATTTGCATAAAAAACTGAATATATTTTGGTTTCAAATCTGATTGGTTGTTTTTTCTCATATTAGGCTAAAGAGATACTTACAAAAGAATCAAATGTTCAGGAAGTACGTTGTCCTGTTACAGTTTGTGGAGATGTCCATGGTCAATTTCATGACCTTATGGAGCTCTTTAGAATTGGCGGGAAATCACCAGACACAAATTATCTCTTCATGGGAGATTATGTTGACAGAGGCTACTACTCAGTGGAAACTGTGACTCTTCTTGTGGCATTAAAGGTAAGGTTTGTAGGTTCTGACTCCTGTGGTTTTAGATTAAAATATGCTTAGTAAACATTTTGCAATGAGATAAACTCCATGCCACCTGGAGTATAATGGTGATACCAGCTGATGGATCATTACAACATGTGTTTGTCCTTTATGGCTAGGTGCGCTACCCAGAACGCATTACAATTCTGAGAGGCAATCATGAAAGCAGGCAAATTACACAAGTATATGGCTTCTATGATGAATGTCTACGGAAATACGGAAATGCCAATGTTTGGAAGTATTTCACAGATCTGTTTGACTATCTTCCACTTACAGCTCTAGTTGATGGACAGGTATGATACTATTATTTTAGTGACACTCATAAAAAAGCTTGGCTTCAGTAAACCTGGAAACCATTACCAAGAATGATGCAGATTTGTGGCGGGGAAAGGGAACTCCTGACAGCCCAGCATTCCATCCCATATGTGGTTTTGCCTTCATATTTGGTGGTAATAGTACTGCCCTGTACTAATGACTTAAATTTCATGTCCTTAATTTGAATTGTTAGGTGTAAAATACATATTGTATTTTGCAGATAACGCTGTGAAGTGTGAAACATACTTGTGTATGGAGTTCAGAAACTCTAGTTTAAGAAATGTTGGTGCTTTTTGTTGATGTAGAAGGGGAAAAAAAGATTAGCCATTAAGTAAGCTACAGAACTTTTCACTGTGCAAAAAATTGATCGCTTTCTGGTGCTATTTGAATTGGAATTTAAAATGAGTTTGGCTTGGGTATAAAAGTGCTTATGTAACAAAAGTTTTATTGGTTGAAGTGACCCTTCACTCTAGAACAAAGAAGCAATTTTAAAAAGCCCTAGGATTTTGATACCCTTTCTTTCCCTCCTCTAGATCAGTGTTCCCCAACCTTGGGCCTCCAGCTGTTCTTGGACTACAATTCCCATCATCCTTGACCACTGGTCTTGCTAGCGAGGGATGATGGGAGTTGTAGTCCAAAAACAGCTGGAGGCCCAAGGTTGGGGAGCACTGCTCTAGATGATGCAGATAGAAGGGGATTGTTGAAATGCTATGATATCAACTATATTCACAGAGGAGGCGGAAATTACTCTTTGCGCTGTATTATGCGGGCTTAGATGTTAATGCATTTTGCCACATTTTTAGCATTGTGCTACTAAATTGATTGCTTTTGTGAAACCTGTTCGGGTTTACTGACAAACTATGGTTAATGGTGATCATGTGGCTGCTGATATATTATGATTATTATTAACCATAGTTAATTGAATCAAGGCAGCTTCATAAACTGGCTTTTTGTTGACTTGTTTCAACAAACCACTGTTAAGATTAATTATATGTTGTCCAGATTTAATACAAGCTGCGTTTAGAGCAGAAGCAAAACTTCTAAACTCCTGGCAGCTGAAGAGGGTGGGGGAGGGGGGAACCTTAAGTTTGAGGCTCACTGCAGCTTATTATTGTAACCCTAAACAATGGTTTTAGTGTTGCATCTAAAGTGGCCCAATGAAAAACCTGTTTCAGGTGATCACACAAGCTGGTGATTTTAATCTTCGGTAGAAATTTCTGTTCTCCCCTTGTGCAAAAACTGAGAAAGAAAGCAACACACAAGGCTCATTGTCAAGTGCATGTTGCGACAGTAGCATAAGAATTGGTTCTTGGTATCAACAAATACCTCAAGCGAATGAGGAATACAACCTCTTGGCAGTGCAAATAATACATTTATTCTGGTTCTTATTCTTCTTCAGATATTTTGTCTCCATGGAGGTCTTTCCCCATCTATAGATACACTGGATCATATTAGAGCTCTTGATCGTCTGCAGGAAGTTCCACATGAGGTAATATCAATGAAAATGCATTGTGACTCAGAGTATACATTGAATGGCAAATATATACATTAAATATAGAATAGGGTTTGGTATCATATCTTTGAACTGAATCAGGCAAATATAATAGCTAGACAAAAGGGTTGCAACGTGCAGTTGATCAGTTAATTGATTAAAAAACGTGTTGGTTGCCTTAATTAGTTTGCAGATCTTTAACCTTTAAAATTATTTTTCATTCTAGTATTTATAAAAATGGGATGCAGTCCTAGTTATGCACCTGAGTAAGTTCTGTTGACCTTTGTGGGCCTTACTTCTGAGTAGACACGTATAAAATTGTACAGTATGAGGCATTCCCTGCTGTATGTGTGTGTGGAAATGCCTTTTAAAATTTTGCAAGCTCTGGTCAGTCTTAAAAACCAAGAGTTTTTTTTCTTCTACAGTACTATTTCTTATGTATGAATTTAATTGGATGGCTAAAAAATGAACAGACCAGAACTTCTACTTTATAGTTTACCATAATAGGGTCTGTAAGAACAAAATGTCTGCACAGCTTGGGTGTCATATCAAGCCCTGAATTGGTGGTATAGATACTTTGTTCCAATACTATTTTTTCAGCTCTCCCTAAATTCAAAGATCTCAGGGTGGGTGACAATATTTAAAATGATAATAACACATCTAGTTACTTAAATGAAAGCAGGTAAAAATGGGGCTAATATTCATAAATGCCCAGCCTAGTGTTAGAATGTCAAAAGCATTGGGGCCTGATTTATCTCCAGGAGGAAGGCATTTCATAGTCAGAGCCACCACAGAGAAGGCCATGGACCACATATCTGCAGTACTTCTTAACACAGATGTTTCTCAAATGGTTTATTATGTGCACTCATGGCAGTGATACATGACTCATTCATTTGCACTGGATTTTAGTCAACACAGAATGCGCTTGGATAACAACAGTTCTGTAGCAACTGGAGTTGCTCTCCTGTAACTTTACAAAGTGGCTAGTACATTGCTACAGCTGAAATAGGTTTTAAAAGAGCAAGACTAGCTTTTTGAGGAGGTTGAGAATTTGTAAATCTTCTCGAGCAGTTTATGCAGTTGGCACCCCCTTCCCTAAAAGCACTTTGCATCAGGATTTAGCATCTGCATTCCAACATACGTAGGAAGCACAAGGATATGTGGACTGGTCCAGTCCCCAGCATCTCAGGCACACCCGGCTTTTCCAAGTTAAGCAGGGAAATCTCAATGAGAATTCTAAACGTGCTTGAATAAGTGAGGATAGAAGCTCATTCAGACCTTAGTGGGGGTGGGTGGAGTAGACAGAGTCATGCAGGGACCTTGGTAGACATGATGCCTGAATAGGGCTATTGTCTTGTATAAATAGAATTATTCTGGGCATTTGTAAATAATAATTTGGCTGTCCATACATGAGTTGAAAATTGTGGTGTTAATTACTTTAGAAAGTTGAGTTATGCCTGCAACCTGGCTTTGAAAGTTTACCACATGCTTGGTTTAGAATGCTTTACTATAATCAGTGCATAAAATTTCTGTAGCTCTGTTTTGTTTGAGCTGCAAGGTAGATCATGGCTCCTTTCTTCTGTTTGCACCACAATGACTATGTAGTTTAAGAGAGAGACAGACGTGCATCTACAGTGCTGTATAGTTAGAAGGTACATTTTAAACTGATGCTGATGTCATGCAAAGTTTGCTAGATGAGTCAGTTCTGAGATTATGCACAGCTTTCACATTGGAAGGGTGTAGACCCTTTAACTAAAACATTTCGTTTGTGTGCTTGAAGCTGGAATTATGCCTAGGTACTTTGCATGCAAGAGCTGATCTTGCAGGATCCTGGCATCCCTCAGCTGTTCTTTTGGATTTTCCTTCTTTGTTTAGCTGTCATCTGGTTTCCGTTCTTTCTTTTGGGAATTGCATTAGTTTTTCTCAGTGCCTTTACTGCCTCTGGTCCTTTCAACCTAGTTTTCATTTCAACTGAAATTACACTTTTTCTTTACCAGTTTTCTCTCTAAACAGCACTGTGGCTTTTCTGTTCAACTTGATCTTTTGCCAGATACACGCACAATAGTTCACATACTGGTGATGTTCATTTATATTTTCCTGTTTTTTCCTAGTATCCTTTTTTCTAATTATCATTTTTTCATCCTGCTTTTAGTTCTTCTGCTCCATCTGTGTTTGTTTCTGGTATTATTTTCTTTTTGGCTTGGAATGTATGTATTTTGTTTTGATGCTTTTACTTCATACACTTCTTTGTTTGCCAAATTCATCTGCTAAGTTTCTCATCACTTTTACAGGGGGGTTGGGTGATTTTTTTCTATTGATACTGTTCACTTCTCTGATTTTCACACTTGTTTTCTCTAGATAGGTTTCATTTTCAAATTCCTGAAGACTGTAGCAAACAACTTTTCCTATTTGTCTGTAAAATGTTTTTATTAAATAGAATATGCAATATACTTAAGAGATCCAGGAGCTTAACACTTTTTAGATTACCTTTTGCAATATTTTCCCCTTTATGTAACATATTGTACCATTTTCTTTGAACAGGGCCCAATGTGTGATCTGTTATGGTCAGATCCAGATGATCGTGGTGGCTGGGGGATTTCTCCACGTGGTGCTGGCTATACATTTGGTCAAGATATCTCTGAAACATTTAACCATGCCAATGGGCTTACATTGGTGTCCCGTGCTCACCAACTTGTAATGGAGGTATAATTACTCTGTTGCACCTAGCCACCTAAGGCTTAAAAATGAAAGTCTGTCTTTTTTGGAAAGAAGGTTATATAGTCTCAGCATCTTGAATTTTTATGCCATGTAGTAGGCACCAAAAATGTTCAGTATCTTAGAGGTGTAAATTAGTATAGTATTCATCAAGAATTATTAGAACAATATTCAGAGTAAATAAAAATGTTTACACGTATCACAAATATATGGTTCAGTTAACTTTATTTGCCAATGTACCAGTTAATCCTGTAATATTAATGTCTCTGTGACTGATTTTAGTTTATACTAAATTAATTTTAAGGGGACGTTTCAAGTGAGCATCTTACATTTTCCAATTTGCTAGTGGCTAGGGTTTGATAATTCGCCACGAGTTACAGAGAATGTTTAAAGATGTAAAAATTGGTGTTTGCATTTGAACATAATTAGTATTCATTGAGATAGTGCAGAACATGTTTGCTCTGACTCTGAAATAGTTTATTTTGTACCAGTGAAAATATATAAAGCAAGGTAGGGTGCATTCCTAAGGTGGTGCGGAGGGCGAGTCAAAGATGGTCCTGCTGGGCTTGTGCCAGCACTGTGAAAGGGAGGCCAAAGGAGCAGTCTTATGCTACTCCGTCCTTTTCTTTTTATTTAAACTATTTCCCTACCATTGGGACCAATGCAAGGGAGATAGAAAGGAATAAAGTTTTCAGCTCCTGGGCTGTAGTTTTGTCCCTGGTGTGGGACTTGTCAGGGTACTGGGAAGGCATTAGATCAAAGTATTTTGGCCTATCCCCAGCATGTCTCTTTATCACCTCTGATCAGGGTAGAGTAAGAGTTGTGGAAGTTTCAGCTATGCAGAAGGGGAATTTAGTGTCAGAGCTTGCTTTCTGCTGCCAGAGAAGGGAATTAGATGCTTCCTGTGACCCCTGGATCTCCCTCCTCAGGGTCATGGGATTACTGGCCTTACACCTTTTAATCTAGTTATACCTTTTCAAGAAGAAATTGGTTGATACTTTTAACTGAAAGCATTTTCTTCCCCCCACTGCAGGGTTACAACTGGTGTCATGATCGGAATGTGGTCACCATTTTCAGTGCACCCAATTACTGTTATCGTTGTGGGAACCAGGCTGCTATCATGGAACTAGATGACACTTTAAAATATTCCTTGTAAGAAACATGAGCTTGTTTTAACAATGGGGGTGAGGTTGCAGGGGGTAAAGTTCTCTGGCTTGTGTTAAGTGTTGATGAATTCTATAGAGTACACCACTTTTGCAGTATGAACTCTAAAGAATATCTCATGGGCCTAGTTTAGATATGCTGGAAGCCTAGTTATGGTTTAGCACAAATGTGTGGACTCGTGGAAAGGAGTTTGCGGTCACTTTGCTCCTTTCCAGTTGTTTTGCTGCTGCACGGAGTGGGACAAAGCTTAGCCCATCATATTGAAATCTGGGCTCGGGGATTAGCTCATCTGGACAAGCTACAAGCCATAACCCATAGGACAAACTTTGGTTACAGCTTGTGGTCAGGCTGCAGAGAGCTAAACCACAAGCTTAACCACTTCACGTTTGGGTGACGTGAAGTTATGGCTTAGTTCAGTAGCAGGCCATGGGGGAGAAAAACTGCTCACATTCCAAGGCTTAGTGTGATGTGCAAACTAGGCCCTAATGTTCAGAAAATGATAGCTAAAACATAAGTAATATTTTTGAAACTATGTTAAAGAATACTGCATTTTGTTGTTAACATCACTCACGTTGAATTGCTACCTCGTCTAACCAAAGAACAGGACACATTAATTTGGGAATTACACCACAAAATAGTCACCTTCAATGTAGGGACAGAATTTTAAACAAATCATGATTAAAACTATGCTAAATGAGTCCATTTTTATTTCAGCGGAACTTCTCCCGCTCAAGCCCTAATAGAGGGTGAAAGTATGGGAAATGATGACTGAAATATTGATAACGTTTGTTGCAGTTAATAAAACTACAATTTCCCTTTTTTGATTCAGTGTTGCATACCATTTAGTGAAATATGGGTAATTGTCTACCGTAGTCAAGCAAGCACAAACATTGTCCTCTTGAAATCCTAAACCCTTGGCCAAAATATTATTTTCAGTTTTGGCAAACCTGAATGATCTTTGTTGGCCTGACATTCTGCAATAAAATAGCTTAAGAATGGAACTCGTGGAAATGAGAGTGGGGAGAGGACAGGTATGGGATTTAATTAATAAAAATGCAGCAGTTAATGCAACAAAGCACTTAATCAGCCTTTTCCTTTTAACAGCCTTCAATTTGATCCAGCGCCTCGCCGTGGAGAGCCTCATGTTACTCGGCGTACCCCAGACTACTTCCTATAAACATCTCTTCCTCAGCCTGACCTTGATCAGTAGTAGTACACCTGGCAATTTTTGAAAAGCAACAATTTGTGATAAGTTGAGGTCTGTCTCAGCGTAAAGCCTCTTCATGGACCAAACTGTGCCATAATGAGGATGACGAGCTTTTGAGCACAACTTCAGATGGACTTCAACGCACTAATCAATCCTTTATCAGCCAGTCCAACAGCCAGTTTGCCTGCTGTAACTATAGTAATTGTTTTCTTCTGGACTATTCAAAGAGGAAAGGTAACTAACAAACTCATCTCCCTGTCATGCTTACTTGTAAATTTTAGTTGTAGTGTTTAACTGGCATGTATTAACATTTTGAAGTTTAAGAAAAATGCACAAACTAACTTCCTTCTTACGCCTATCGCCCTCTATTTTATTGACATAAGTAATTTAACTGCAGAAGAAAGTTCCTCTTGGGAGTATGTTGTCATAAGCTTTCCCTCCATTTAAGCTAGATTACTGTTCTGTGTTGATCCTACCTTTTTTCTGTATATTTGTCAAAGTGCTTGCATCTTATTTGATGTATTTGAGCAAATAAACTTGCAGATCATTACTCCAATCAGATGGGTACACTGAAATGAAATAATTTCTCTTTCTCATTCATTATAGGGGATTTATCAGTTGTCGGAATACTGCTTCTTGGCATTAAATAACTGGCAGCTAAACACGTAGGACCAGGGCCACAAACATAGCATGAGACTGTTTGCACTCACTCTTCCTTTCATAGTACAGTGGTGCCTCGCAAGACGAAATTAATCCGTTCTGCGAGAGTCTTCGTCTAGCGGTTTTTCGTCTTGCGAAGCAACCCTATTAGCGGCTTAACGGATTAGCGCTATTAGCGGTTTAGCGGCTATTAAAGGCTTAAAGGCTTAGCGGATTAGCTGCTAAAAGGCTATTAAAGGCTTAGCAGATTAGATAAAGGGGGCGAAAAGCGAAAAAAAAATCTCAAGACTTGCAAGACATTTTCGTCTTGCGAAGCAAGCCCATAGGGAAATTCGTCCTGCGAAGCAACTCAAAAACGGAAAACCCTTTCGTCTAGCGGGTTTTCCGTCTTGCGAGGCATTCGTCTTGCGGGGCACCACTGTAGTATAAAGGTAATAGCTAAGAGTTTTCTAGTTTATATCTTTACTTCATGCTAACTAGTATCGGCAACTAAATATTTAGAACTCACATTTTGATATGCTGCATAAGACGGTGGCTATATCCCTCGTAATGAAGTAAAATGTTAACTTGTGCTGTTTATGTAAAATTATATTAGCTCAAATTCACATTCCAGATTTAACTTAACAAAATGTGGGTGAAGACACTGCCTATTTTTCCTTATAGTTGGTACCTTTTATAAACTTAGTTCTTTTGCAAGTTGTAATTTCTCCTAACATTTACTCTCCCTCCACAACTTAGTTTACTGCAAAATAATCACTTAAAAAGCTTCTATAAGAATTGAATGACAATTCCATCCCACATTGTTAAGATGATTTAAGGCAACTTTATTCCAGTGCTGCATTTTCCAGGGCTTGTTGATAGATGGGCAAACATTTCATTTACAGTTCAGTTGCAGTAAGAAAAGACAAGTTAATCTTGTATTGAATTAAGAGGGGAGAACATGATTCTGTGAAGATTACATCTAGGCACCTTATAAAAAAAAAAATCAACGGAGTGTAACAAGTTCTTCAGAAGATGTTGGGTGGATGGCCACTGTCTGGTCAAAATCTGCTTTTGTTGCTCCCATTTTGACAGCCACAGCAAAGCCTTGAAGCATTTCATCACATCCTAACCCTTGCATATGAAGGCCTACCACCTTAAAAACAAACAAACAAACATGTTAATTAAGGCTTTGGTTTTGCATTGGTGATTTAATACTATAATCAGACATCTCATTGATTCCCCAAACCAGGTTTCTTCATAAATAAAAATAGGCTTATATTTACAGTGTTCTCTTTCTCCAATACTGCTCCATTTGCCAGTTCTGCACAAAGTAGAGCCATGTGTGGTGTCTAGATAAGTATAAACAGACTAGTTGCTCACAGAATCTTTATTCTTCCCCGTTTTGCTCACCTTCTCCTGTTTAGTTGCACACACCAGTTTCATTACACACTTCATCTTCCTTTTTGTTACAGCATGATACATTGGGATAAAAGAAGTTGTATAGGTTTTCACATTCTCGCTTCCATATGTAGTTCTGGCTTCCGCTGAAACAGACAAACAGTAAGACAAAAATAAGCATATAGCCTACATAGTTAAGGAAGAGGAACTACAAAGCACAGCAATAATTGCCTTGCTTTAAAAGCCAAAAGGCAGACTAGACGTGTCTGAATTGCTATACTAAAGTATTTGACATGTGTCTAAATACAGGTGTTCTAAAGCAAGAATTGGGAAACTGCAGCCCTCCAGCTGTTGTAGGCTGGGTGTGTGTGTCAGGACATCCACCAATACTTCCTACAGCACCTACGAGAGTTATTCATAAATACCATAATGTACAACACTTTTTCCTACTCAGTTGCCATTCACACTTGGCTGGCATCTCCTACATTGAAGCCACCTCTCAAGCATGCCCACATTTCAGTGGAAGTCAAGATGGACACGCCTCCAGTTTTGAACAGATGAGATCTGCAAAGAGCGTCTCTGTCAGCAAATACGCAATGGCTGGTGTAGGTTCCATCCCCTCCTCCATGTGCAGGGCATGCCCACTGGCCCAAAAAAAGATTGGTGACCCCCTCCTGTAATCAAACAGCTCCCATAATCCCTAACCACTGACCATGCAATATCTGAAGGGCCTCAGGTTCCCCATCCTGGTTTCGAGGGCCTGGGCTGCCAATTTTGCAACACACAACTCTTAAACCTTCCACGTTCAGAGTTTAACAGCCCAGTTTTACATACTAATATAGTTTTTTATGCTTTGAACAAATTAAGAAAATGTCAGGAGGATCCTCCACCATAGTCAAGGGGAAATGGCAGAGGGGATGAAGCATACAATTCTGCAGCCAGTCTCTAAATTCTAGTTAGCATCTGCAATGTGTTTACGTAGGCACAACCTTTTGTTCTTTATATAGCCTTGCCAAGCCACTGGCAGAAAATGTCCTAGAGCAAAGGATAAAATGGTATCGCATGTCACAAACGCTTAAGGTTACAGCGCCATTTCTTTTGCCCACTGAGCCATAGGAACAAGCAAGACAACAAGGCCTAAGATCCTACCTTCTGTTAGTCCCACCGTTCCAATAGGTGGGTGACTGAAGACCACGGTAGGAATGTTGGTGTAGTCAAGTTTAGAATCTTCTTTCTTGTCAAAAATCCTGTGTGCCAGTTTCCTTCCAGCAGCTATTGCAACTGTTAAGGATGAAATTTAGGCATGTCACCGGGCATAGTAGCAGGCAACTGTGTCCATTGCTACTCTCCAAGGGATGCATGCAGTACAGGCAGCCCCCCCCCTTTACATGGCATAGGGTAGTAATGATAAAATGTGGTATCTGCCCCAGTGCAGGCAAGCTTACACATGAAGTGATCCAGTGGATGCAGCTGCATGGAGGAACTACAGTAAAGGTAAAGGGACCCCTGACCATTAGGACCAGTAGTGACCGACTCTGGGGTTGCGGCGCTGATCTCGCTTTAGTGGCCAAAGGAGCCGGCGTACAGCTTCCAGGTCATGTGGCCAGCATGACTAAGCCACTTCTGGCGAACCAGAGCAGCGCACGGAAACACCATTTACCTTCCCGCTGGAGCAGTACCTATTTATCTACTTGCACTTTGACGTGCTTTTGAACTGCTAGGTTGGCAGGAGCAGGGACCGAGCAATGGGAGCTCACCCCATCACGGGGATTCAAACTGCCAACCTTCTGATCGGCAAGTCCTAGGCTCTGTAGTTTAACCCACAGCACCACCTGTGTCCCAGGAACTACAGACAGCCCCCCATTTACGCAGGGGTTACGTCCCAAGGCACCGCGAATGTCGGTGAAATCGCATATAATTGAAACCCATTGAGAAAGCCTGCAAATACCCCTTTCCGTCCCCGCCCTATTAGTGATGTCTTTATGACGTTTCCAGGTCCTGAGTTCAGCGCAATGCATGTATTCACAGTCGCACATATATTGAACACGCGTAAACAGGGAGCTGCCTGTATTTACATCTCTCCATTGCACTGCCCGTTTATTCCTACTCTTTGCTTCCTGATTTTTAACCAGTTACTGGCCCGTAAGAGGGCATCTCGCCTTATCCCACAATTGCTACGTCTACTCAAGAGCCTTTGTTGAAGAACTTTAACGAAAGGTCTCCTTGATCACCCCTATTCCCCATGCTTGTTATGCCTGAAGAACTTGCTGATATGCCTGAACAACCAGACCCAGTGATTTGTAATTTTTTTATTTGCCAGGGATGGGGAACACTTGGTCCTCCAGACATTGTGGAACTACAAGTCCCATTGTCCATGCTGGCTAGGGCTGATGGGAGCCGGAGTCCAACAACATCTGGAAGGACAAAGGTTCCCTGTCCCTGCCCTAGAACTTCATCTCATCTCCAGAATTTGCATCAATTATTCTCCATATGACAGGGAACTAAAAAGCTTATGTATTGTTTACTTGGTGTGGCAGATCTAAAGGCAAACCTGATAGACTTCTAACAAGTCACATTGCCACACAATTCTTTAGTTTTCTGCTAGTGTTTCAGAAATCAGTGATAAGGGAGATGCTAAGAGGTCACACCCAGACCTTATTGATGCAGTAGATTTACTACGATCAAAAGGCAGTAGTATTCTGTATAGCACCCAGAGAAGTTGATGAGCAGAAAAAGATCCCCAGGCAACCACTTGATTACTTCCCCGACTTCCTCCCAGTTCTCTCCCAAGCTATTTTTGGTGCAGCAGGCACAAGTTCCCACATAACATTATAGAAGCCTTTTGAGCAAAATAGCATATTAATGTTACCTGGTGTAAGAAGAGCTTTCCCACATACATCTCCAACAGCATAGATCCCCTTTCTGCTGGTATTTTGGAACTCGTCAACAATAATATGACCAATAGAATCTACCTTAATATTCTAAAAATGGAAAGGATAGTTTAAGTCAAACACGACATTCTGGGAAAAGAGTATCCAAGACAAACAGCACTGATTCATCTCTTATTTCTAAGCTGTGTAACTTTTCAGAAAAATTATGTGAACAAGGGAAGGCAGGCCTTTTTCTTCCCACATAGCCTCAGCACACAAAACACACGGAATCATTTCAGAGGAGTCAGGCATGAGCTGTAAGCTTAGTGACAGGAGCTATGTGGGATATTTTTTCCATAACATTTAAATGACATTTACTATGTTCAGAGCTTTGCATGTATTATCTCAATAATCCTATGAAAAAATGTAGGTTCGCATAAAATATTTGCTGGTGGGTGGAGGAATTGTTACCTAATATGGTCTGCTCTTTTTATAAGTATTTCTATTCATATTTTTTTAATAGGCTAATCAGAACAGCATTCTAACTGAACAAAATGAGTTTTTAACTGACTAAATACTGCAGCTCCACTCATAACCACAACACGATGCCAACTATCATACAATCCAGATTCTATATGCAATGTATCAAAATCCCACATTGTCTCAAAGAAATAAAATAATTCCTGCTCACCTGCTGGTCAAGATTTAGTCCCTCTGTGTTTGGCTTTCTACCAATGGCCCATAACAGACAATCAACATCCTCAATAGTTTTAAAGGTGGGTTTCTGACTTGGAGGAGAGGATGTTACAGTTACCGACAGCAGTCCTGAAGGTGACTTTGTGACCGACTTGACCTGTTGAGAAACAGGAGACTTGAGGACAAAGAGCAAAACAGTACGTACAATGACCATAAATACTAGCTGCAAGGAAGGTGGATTTTAGGGCTCAACCCGATTTCCTGCTTCAAATTTGTTCCACAGTGGTACCTCCGGTTGCGGACGGAATCCATTCCGGAGCTCTAGTCGGATCCCAAGGTTTTCGCAACCGGAGGTGCCTGTTCTACGCATGTGTGTGGTGCGGTAGAGCATTTCTGCGCATGTGCACATGGCGAAACCCAGAAAAAGACTTCCGGGTTTGCCGCATGCGTATCCCAAAGGACACGTAACCAGAGGTGCGTGTAAGTACCACTGTATTTATTTCACAATTTGTTATAATATCTTTTTTAAAAAACCTTTATTAGATTTGACATGTCAAGTTATAGGCATGGCTACGTGCCTGCCACAATTCTGTAGAGAAAAACACAATTATGTTGCACCATTACAGATCCCAGCTTCCTTGGGATCTCTTAATTTCGTTTGAAGAAAAACAACAAGGGCTGCTGGAATCTTGAGACGTCGCAGCAATGGCCAATTATGTTTTCCAGTGATCGGAGGATGGGGTTGGAGTGTCATGCATTGCTCCTGTGCTTCAAACATGCAGAATAAATTATGCAAAAGAAGTACTATGGAAAAAAGTATGCAAAATAGATTTTTTTAAAAAAGTGTTATGTGAAAAACCTGCCCTAATTGTTCTTGGCCTTTTCCAGTTTTATATCAAATTTAATATGTAAGGCCATTGGACAGGGCCTGTCTGTGTCTTCAGAACAGTGTCTCGTTTGTTTTTAGGGGAGGAAGGCCAGGACCCCGGTGCCACAGAGAGGTCACTTTGGTGCTTCTAATGCAGCAGAAACAATGCGAGAGGCAGCAGTTACGAGTTTCTGGTTTCTGCAGCCACAGCAGGCGCTGTGATTCTCCAGCAATTTGATTTCACCCCAGGAGGTGCTCTTCATTGTCTCCCGAGACAGACAGATGCCACCTTCAAATAATATACAGTCATACCTCGAGTTAAATGTGCTTCGGGTTGAGTGCGTTCAAGTTGCGCTCTATGGCAACGGAGCGCATTACTTCTGGGTTTCGCCGCTCGCGCATGCGCAAACGCTCAAAATGACGTCACACACATGCGCAGAAGCGGCGAAACATGACCCGCAGATGCGCCATCACGGCTTGTGTTCCGTTCGGGATGCGGACGGGGCTCCAGAACGGATCCCGTTCGCATCCCGAGGTACCACTGTAATTAATACAAGTTGCAGAATTCAACCTTTCTTCATACAGAATGTGTGACTGACTGGTATCGCTACTCATCCTTGATTTAAGGACAGCTGCAGCTTTCCCAAAATGTACCAACCAAGGTGCAATAAATAGGAGCTCTGTTTTTCTGCTTATGATCTGGCTACTAGCCCTATTAAAAGCAGCTATAAATACACCAATAAGAGAAGCAGCATGGGCAATAAGTTGAAGAAAAAGGAGGGTGGAGGAGTATTTTGTTACATGTTTGCTATTTCCTTTCATTAAGTATAATACCACTCATAGAAGGAATTAAAGCACAGTTCCTCAAACTGGTGCTTAATAAAAGGTATTAATCCATTAAAACAAACAACATAGCAAGACAAGATGGGAACATCTCTGCATACTTTGCCCCAATAGAAGATCATTCAGCCCCACAAAAACAATCAGGGCTCTATACAGGATAAAATACAAAGGAAAAACACTAGTAAATAGTTAAAACAAAAATAACAAGACATTCCTCCCCTAAATATAGGCACACAGATGATGAAAGTGATACAGTACATAGATAATACCTGAGAATGTTTCCAGACTTCTACACCACCATGCTCCAGCTCCTGAGTACAGTTTGAGCTGATCATTGAATCAAAGTTTCTCAGCACCTGTTCAGGAAGAACATTAAATAAGACTGTGAGGACACACAGCATATCCACATAACTCATTCAAGAGAGCTAGTGTAGCAGTTACAGCTGTTTCTGAACGCTTGTAATTTCCATATCACTGCATTTTTATGAGAAATTCCTGTAAACCGCTTTGAGGTTCACGTGAAAAACAATATATAAATACATTTAATACATAGTAGTGGCTAACACCAGTCTGTAAACCTAGCAAGGGCAACTCACTAAACCATAATTCTCTAAGCCCCTCCACCCCAAACCCTCAACATGTGGATAATAATACTGGCCTACTTTACAGAGGTGTTGTACAGATTATTGAAGGCATAATGGGAATTGAACATTCAGCAACATTATACAAACACTTAAGCATTATTTTTTCCTCTTGTTTTATTGCACTCAGGCTTTTGTCCAGAAGGAACCTGGGCAAAGGTTTGCTGCTTTTCAGATTACAATGCAGGTCAATTTCACAAGAAATGAGAAGGGGTGGTGCATTAATTGATCAATCAATCAATCAATCCATATCAGTTAAAACCTCTTTCCCCACTTAAAATAAGGCATATATACATATATATATTTGTATGCCACCTTTCCATAGTTCAAACCATGTTCAAGGTTGCTTCCAACATTCTAAAATTACATAATTATGAACAACAAAAGTAGTAATAAACAATAATTAAAACATCAAAAATATACAACCAAATTAAACAATTTCCACATAAATCATAGTAAGATCTAAAATAAAGATACAAAAATTAATACTGATAGCAACAAGCCCCCTCAACAAAACACACTAAATAATGCCCCAGCCCAAGAGGCTGTTCAGCAGTCTTAGCTTTTGTAGCTGGAGTCAGTCCGGGCTCCAGACCAGGTGGAAAAAGGCCTGCAAGGCAGGGAGCAGGTCTTCCAGATCTCACAGCCAAGATGGTTTCTGGCCTGGATCCGGTTTATTGGGAATTCCTCTTCCTCATCCCCTAAGACAACTGTGTATTAAAAGCACTTGCAGCTCTCCACTTTACACAGCACTGACACCGGAAGAGCATGGCAACCTGACTGCAATGGGAAAGTGCATCCTAGCCAGTGAGTCAACTACATAGGCTGCACCTGTGGCCTTGGACAGAGCAACAGCTGGAAAACTCAAGTAACAGGGTCTGGATTAGCCAGTGCTAAGAGATATCACGTCTTGCAGCAGACAGGTCCTGGATGTCTCATAGCAATTGCAAGAGAAGGTTTGCATGCAGCCAGCTGCCGGGGATTTAAGGAAGGGTCCTGCTTGCAGTTTTGGAGAACCAAGGGAGCTGCTTGGGAGAGGAGAAAAGCTAGAGAGGTTCCACTCAGCTGGCAAATCAGAGTCTCTCTTCTTGCATAGCTTCTTGCAGAGGTTTTCAACCTTTTTGAGTCCACGGCTCCCTTGACCAACTGCATTCTTTCTGCAGGAGCTCAGCTATGTCACCCCTTGCCTGCAGAGCTGGCAGCCTCTCGCCCTTTTTCAAACACCCTCCCTTGTGGAGTGTTCCCTCAACCTCCTCTCTCCTCTCCTTGGGAGTCCTCTGGGCAGCCGTAGCTGCCACCCCTGGTCTGTGAGCTGCCCCCCTGCCCCAAAGAGAGGTGCCTCCTCACACTGCCCCACAGGGGGCTGGGAAGCACCCCCTCGGCCAGCCCCAGAAGCACCATTCACCTGCGGAGCTTGTAGCCAGGGCTGCTGCAATAAACAGCTGTGTGTGCCTTTGGGAGGCAGAGATGTGAGAGGGCATCAGAGGGGAGAGGGAAGGAAAGAGGGACAGAGGCCAGTGTTGGCTTACTGGAATGAAGGTATAAACAAAACCAGGTTATTTATGTATGTGATGTCAGCAGCAAGGGTTATAGTGGCAAAACACTGGAAAGATAAAAATACACCCACTAAAGATGAATGGGTAGTTGAATTGTGCGAGTACTTGGAGCTCGCAAAGCTGACAGATGCAATAAGAGATAAACCTAAAAAGATGGTGAAAGAAGAATGGGAATGTTTAAATAATTATCTAGGGGATAAGGGTTCATCAATAAAGACCTGGTTATGTTTAGAATGATACCGCATAGGGAAATGTTCCTGATACAAAGATGAGGGATTCTATGGAATGCAAATAGAGAGAACTGATAAGAATAATGATCTGTTGTGACCTTGACGGAAGCGTACAATAGACGAGCCTTCTTGTGCTTTGTCTCATTTTCTCCCTCCCATTTTTTTTCTTCCTTCTCCTTCTCCTTTCCTTTTCCTTTTTTCTTTCCCATAATGGCTTATGTTCTATGCCATGTATTTGATATATTTTGTAGCTTTTTTTAGCCTTTTCCATTATTATTACTAAGTATTTTTCTTTTGTAATTTTGGTTGTTTATATTTATCTATATATGTTTAAAGCAAAATAAATATTACTTTTTTTAAAAAAGAAGGTATAAAGAAATCACTCTCTGGCTCATTTTTAAATGCCTTTTTACTCAGAGTTCTGGGCACAGTCTTCTTGCGTGTCCATCTTGCCGGATGAGTGCTTCCTTGCCCAGCCAATCAGTGCAAGGAATTAAAAGCGTGCACAACAGAGCCCAAGCCTTGCTTTTTATTGCATTGGCCAATATACAGCAGAGCAGTCAGTACAATGAAAAAGTGATTGTGCCTTACCTCACCATAACGTATCAGTAAGGACGTCTTTGAACCCAGGGCTGAAAGAATGCCAGCTATCTCCACAGCTATGTATCCAGCACCGACGACAACACTGCGCCTGAAAGAATAACGGGTTTTGAGCCATATCTCACACACCCTACGAAGTTCCTGTTGGAAACATATTCTACTGCACCCTTAGCTATGCTTTGCCTGAGTGCCTCGTACTCAGAGCCAGTGTGGTGTAGTGGTTAAGAGCGGTAGACTCGTAATCTGGGGAACCGGGTTTGCTTCCCCGCTCCTCCACCTGCAGCTGCTGGGTGACCTTGGGCTAGTCACACTTCTCTGAAGTCTCTCAGCCCCACTTACCTCACAGAGTGTTTGTTGTGGGGGAGGAAGGGAAATGAAATTGTTAGCCACTTTGAGATTCCTTAGGGTAGTGATAAAGCGGGATATCAAATCCAAACTCTTCTTCTTCTTCTACTGAGGCAGTCAGGATCTTCACTCAGCAGACAGTTAAAACTATGGAAGCTGCTGCTCAAAATGTAGTGATAGTCATCCTTAAGTAAAGGTAAAGGGACCCCTGACCATTAGGTCCAGTCACGGATGACTCTGGGGTTGCAGCGCTCATCTCGCTTTACTGGCCGAGGGAGCAGGCGTACAGCTTCCAGGTCATATGGCCAGCATGACTAAGCCGCTTCTGGCAAACCAGAGCAGCGCACGGAAACACCGTTTACCTTCCCACCGGAGCAGTACCTATTTATCTACTTGCACTTTGGTGTGCTTTTGAACTGCTAGGTTGGCAGGAGCAGGGACCAAGCAACGGGAGCTCACCCCGTTGCGGGGATTCAAACCGCCGACCTTCTGATCGGCAAGTCCTAGGCTCTGTGGTTTAACCCACAGCGCCACCCGTGTCCCTAGATGGTCCTAAAAGGGAATTGGACAAATGCATGGAGGGAGGACTATGCTATCAATAGCTTCTAGTCATGAAATCTATATGCTACTTCCAAGATCAGAGACATACCTCTTAGTACCTGTCGCTGGGGAATAACAGCAAGAGAGGGCTATCGCTCTCATGTTCCACCTGTGGGTTTCCTATAGACATCTGGGCAACTACACGTGTTCAGATGAAAGTAAACCTCTTCCCATCTTCCAGAGTTCTGGCCAATGAGTGCAGAAGCACTAGCAAACATTTGGCTACATGCTGTGTGCGTTTTATAAATGACCAAATAATTCTATGAAAGTTTGGTTGATTTTAATTAACTTAATGACTCAAATTGAGCATTTTGCTGCACTGATTTGCAAACCACACCACCACAAGCCTGCTAAACTTTTCTCAAAACACAAACAGTGCCAATACAGAGCAAACCGTGTGTGTGTGTGAACGAACAAGTCATTAGAAGGGATGAGGAGGAATGTTTTGCAATGATATTCAACTGCTCCTAAACAAGAATTTTATAGGTTTCACGTATCTCCCCAAACCAATGTGTCAAAACATCTATTTACAAGCCAGACATGAGACTTTGTGCTGATTCTTGCTATTCTGAGATGCAACCCAGAAAGTAGGATTGGGACAATCGAAAAGAACAGCTGTTGCATGAAGGAGCCTGAACTCTACAACCTCCAATTTTAGTACTACATAAAACCAGCCAGTAAGGTAAACCTCCTTTAGGTGCAATTCAGCCACTGTTAAGCACTTGTAAACCCCATTGCTTTCAATGGAAGACTGGGTGCAAACTTCTACCTACTTCCCTAATGGAAGCAAGCCTCACTTAATTCAATAGGACTTACAATGCACGTAATGCACTGTTAGGCACATACTTAAGCCCTCTTGCATTAAAATTAATTGTGTTTGCAAGTGCTTTAATTTGTCTGGATTTTGCCCACAGATTTTTCTCAGGCAACAAAAGGAACAAAGGCTCTAATCTAGCTCTAGACTAATACCTGAAATGCATCTGGAATGACCAGATGCTATATGGGGCATCTTTAGCAATTCTGCAACTTGCAACAATAAATACAGCACTATGAGGGAACTCACTAGCCTTTTTCCTGCACTTAAGATATTTATAGACATTTGAGGGATGTACGTTTAAGGGGAGGGGTCAGGGCTGCCTGGGAGTGGGTCCCAGCAAACAAAATGGCTGGGGCAGGTTCCACAGGGGGGGATGCACTCGGACAACCGATCTCGGTGATCACGGGTAGGAGGAGGAGTTACGCTAAGACCAGACCATGTCATTACCGAGGAAGCAGGCTTAGTCGTTGTTTGAGGACTATCCCTGCCTCCAGGTCTGGTCCTGACCGGAAGGATACTGGAATCAACAAGGGAAACCCACATGACCTGAAAGTGTTGCTGTGCAATGCCAGGTCAATGATGAATAAAACCTCTGCCATCCACGACCTGATTGTGGATGGAGGATTTGATCTGGCATGTGTGACAGAGACCTGGTTGGATGAAGCAGATGGGCCCGTCCTTGCCGCTGCTTGTCCACCAGGTTTCTCTTACGCACAGCAACCCAGGCCTTGTGGGCGGGGAGGGGGGGTTGCAGTGATTTTTAGGAAGTCATTAGTTTGCACCAGGCGTCCTATTGGAAAGACCCAGTTCTCTGAGTGCATGTTCTGGAAGTTGGGCAATAGGGGCAGTACAGGATTCCTATTGGTGTACCGACCTCCCCGCTGCACCAAGGATTCCCTGCCCGAGCTGCTTCAGGTCGTGGCGGATGTCCTCCTGGAGACACCTAGTTTGGTTGTCCTAGGGGACTTTAACATCCATGCCGACACGACCTTACAAGGGGCCGCTCGGGACTTCGTGGAAAGCATGGCCTCCATGGGGCTGTCCCTGAATAAGTCTGGCCCAACTCATAGCCACGGGCATGCCTTAGACCTGGTGTTCACCTCTATGGATGTTGGTGATCTGACATTAAGTAAAAGCGAAACCAAAGAAGTGCCATGGTCAGATCACTTCCTGGTGCAACTGGACTTCTCCGTGACCCTTCCCCTCTGCAGGGAGGCGGGACCGATTCAGATGGTCCGCCCCCGCCACTTAATGGATCCAAATGGTTTCCAGAGAGTGGTAGGGGATGTTTTATCCCATGTTGATGGCCTTTCAGCTGATTCCCTGGTGGCCCGCTGGAATGTGGAGTTAACCAGGGCTATTGACTGTTTGGCTCCAAAGCGCCCTCTCCGATTGCATGGAGTCCGGACAGCCCCGTGGTTTTCCACGGATCTGAGGGCAATGAAACAATCGTTGAGACGGCTAGAGCGCCGGTGGCGGATAACCCATTCTGAATCTGACCGGACACGGGTTAGAGCTCAATGTCGAGCCTACCAAGTGGCGATAGCGACGGCGAAGAAGACTTTCTTCACCGCCTCTATTGCATCTGCGGAAAACAGCAGCAGGAGACTCTTTCAGGTGGTTCGCAATTTAGCGGAACCACCTGCTCCATCAGGGCCCAGTAGCGGCCACATGATCTCCTGCAATGACTTTGCAAAGTTTTTGCAGATAAAGTCGCTCAGATTCGAGAAGAGGTAGACTCCACCGTGGGAGCAGGGCCGGGGCGGGAGAGTGCTAGAGTCCTGTCTAGTCAAGTTGTGTGGGATCAATTCCAATCTGTTACCCCCGAGGATGTGGACAGGCTGCTTGGACGAGTGAAACCAACCACTTGCCTCCTTGATCCTTGCCCATCCTGGCTTATAAAAGCTAGCCGGGAAGGACTGGGCGATGGGCTTCGTGGGGTGGTGAATGCTTCCCTCCGTGAGGGAGCCTTCCCAGACCCGCTGAAAGAGGCGGTTATTAAACCGCTTCTTAAAAAACCATCTTTAGATGCGGCCACGATAGCCAACTATCGCCCAGTCTCAAATCTTCCATTCTTGGGCAAGGTGATTGAGCGAGTGGTTGCTGAACAACTCCAGGCACGCCTGGAAGAAGCGGACCATTTGGATCCCTTCCAGTCGGGATTCAGGCCTCATCATGGGACTGAAACTGCCTTGGTCGCACTGGTTGATGATCTCCGGCGGGCTAGGGACAAAGGTGAGAGCTGTTTCCTAGTTCTGCTGGATCTCTCAGCGGCGTTTGATACCATCGACCATAACATCCTTCTGGACCGTCTTGAGGGGCTGGGAGCTGGGGGCACTGTTATACAGTGGTTCCGCTCCTTCCTCCTGGGCCGTGTTCAGAAAGTGGTGGTGGGGGATGAGTGTTCAGACCCCTGGGCCCTCACTTGTGGGGTGCCTCAGGGTTCTGTCCTCTCCCCCATGCTTTTCAACATCTACATGAAGCCGCTGGGAGAGATCATCAGGGGATTTGGGCTGGGTGTTCATCAGTATGCAGATGATACCCAGCTCTACCTCTCTTTCAAATCAGAACCAGTGAAGGCAGTGAAGGTCCTGTGTGAGTGCCTGGAGGCGGTTGGAGGTTGGATGGCGGCTAACAGATTGAGGTTGAATCCTGACAAGACAGAAGTACTGTTTTTGGGGGACAGGAGGCGGGCAGGTGTGGAGGATTCCCTGGTCCTGAATGGGGTAACTGTGCCCCTGAAGGACCAGGTGCGCAGCCTGGGAGTCATTTTGGACTCACAGCTGTCCATGGAGGCACAGGTCAAATCTGTGTCCAGGGCAGCTGTTTACCAGCTCCATCTGGTACGCAGGCTGAGACCCTATCTGCCTGCGGACTGCCTCGCCAGAGTGGTGCATGCTCTGGTTATCTCCCGCTTGGATTACTGCAATGCGCTCTACGTGGGGCTACCTTTGAAGGTGACCCGGAAACTACAACTAATCCAGAACGCGGCAGCTAGACTGGTGACTGGGAGCGGCCGCAGAGACCACATAACACCGGTCTTGAAAGACCTACATTGGCTCCCAGTACGTTTCCGAGCACAATTCAAAGTGTTGGTGCTGACCTTTAAAGCCCTAAACGGCCTTGGTCCAGTATATCTGAAGGAGCGTCTCCACCCCCATCGTTCTACCCGGACACTGAGGTCCAGCACTGAGGGCCTTCTGGCGGTTCCCTCACTGCGAGAAGCCAAGTTACAGGGAACCAGGCAGAGGGCCTTCTCGGTAGTGGCGCCTTCCCTGTGGAACACCCTCCCACCAGATGTCAAAGAGAACAACAACTACCAGGCTTTTAGAAGACATCTGAAGGCAGCCCTGTTTCGGGAAGCTTTTAATGTTTGATGTATTATAGTATTTTAATATTATTTTGGAAGCCGCCCAGAGTGGCCGGGGAAGCCCAGCCAGATGGGCGGGGTATAAATAATAAATTATTATTATTATTATTATTATTACGTGAGCCCCGCCTCACCCCGCCTATCGCACAGTAACCCACAGCCAGCATGCTCTATTTCTCAAATAATCTCCATTACGATGTGGAAACTGAGAACAGGTTCACCCTAGATTGGCAACTTACTTGGGCAGCTCTTCAAGGTCAAAAAAACCATCACTAGTAATTCCCAAGCTGGCCCCTGCAAAGCAATGAGACACTACCCTGAATATCAAAGTCCACTTATGTATAAATAGATCTTAGCTATGCAAATATTCAACTTTTCTTACAGCTCATTCACTAATGCAGAACAGCTGCATACAATACAATTCAATACTGCAAGCAGGAAAAACAGGCTTCTCCTAAACTGGGGCGAAGATGGTAAACATCTAAAAAATGTGGCGAATGCACTCCCACAATTATGTCCGCAGCAATCCTGAAATTGTAAGTTCCTTGGGCCAGGGGTTGCTGGACTTTTCAAAAATTACTCCGTGTACATTTATGACCCTTAATAATTAACAGGGAGAGGGGGAGAGGAGGAACATTCCTGAAAAATGCATGTATTCCCCAAAGATCAGCAAAACACAACGAGCAGCACAGGCAATGACGGCAACTGCGTTTGCCAAGGATTAATATTACAAAGTACAGAAAGTTATTGCTTAATCTTTTGAAGCAAGAAGCTCAACTGTCATATCAGCTTTTTTAGATCTTTCCTAATCACAGGACGGAGAGAGCTATTTCCATTTGCTTTAGCTCACCCTCCATCTAAGGAGCCTTCGTAAGGGAGCTGCGCCCAAGAAAAGTCTTGATGAGATTCTTGCCTTTTAGAATAAAATGGGGGGAGGTAACAAGTAGGGCTGGGTGATATCTGGTTTTCAACATCACAATGTATCACCAGCTAAATATCGCAATATAATGATGTATCACGATGTTGGAAATAAGGATGGAACTATGTAGAGGTGAACAGTAGGGCTGGGTGATATCTGTTTTTCAACCTTGTGACCTGCAAAATATCATGACATATCAATATATCACAATCTGTGAAATAAGGATGGAGCTATGTAGAGGCATTGGCAGACTTTGCGGTTTTCCCCACATTGTGATTTTTGCATAGCGCATGCGCGCGCACACACACACAACACGAGTCATAATATACTGCCAGGTCAAAAATTATGAAACCGATATCACAATATGGACTTTGTTTCGGACAATATATCGATACATCACCCAGCCCTAGGAACAGGGCAATAATGATGATGATGTCATTAGCTTTGGGCTATTTTTGGATGTGAAGTTACTAGATATTTCTATTTCTGAACTATATGCTCATTTAAACTTTGATGTATGTTAAATGAACTTTCAACCACTGAATTTTTAGCGTCACATTGTTGTGATATCGTAATTTTCATTATGTATTGTTATTATTGGGATACGGTTCTTTGACAGTTAAAATGCTTTGAGAAACCGTTGTGTTTGCAAAAAATGTGGCATGTAAATGACTTACCCGGTACCTCACTTTCACTGGGGACTGAAGGCTGCCCACCAGTTGCAATCAGGATATGGGGTGCTGTGTATTTTTTACCATCCACTTCAATCGTGCATTTGCCATCAGGTGTGAACGAAGCATCACCACGAATAGTTTCTACATTGGACTAATGAAATTAAGTTGAAAATGAGCTGTCAATCTATACGTCAATCCAAAGACCAGATAAAGAATTTCACAAGACATTTTAGCTATTCCCTATGTTATCACAGTGCTACCTGGTTATCCAAAGCTCTCCTATATATTTTGTCATAAATTCAGAGAAACCTCTATACCAGGCTTCCTCAACCTCGGCCCTCCAGCTAGCAGGACCAGTGGTCAGGGATGATGGGAATTGTAGTCTCAAAACATCTGGAGGGCTGAGGTTGAGGAAGCCTGTTCTATACTGAAAGAGCAGGTAGAATTAAGGGCATGCTTACAATACAGACTTAAATTCATTACTATCTCTAGCCACACTTCTCTAGGGGAATTAGGATTTCAAATAGATAATTCTTTGTACCCTCAGCATACAAACTATACTTCCCAGGGTTACTTACAGAACCTATGACAGATAGAAAAAAAAGACTGATATAAAATCAACATATATTAGCAATGTGGATAGGGCTAAGACATTCTCAGAGGCGGGGCTGCAAATCCTAAAGCATTTCCGGATTGGTGAGAGAGATTTTACAAAAGTGCTGTGCTCTGAAACTAAAAGGAATATATTTCCAAGAGCGAAGGATGGTTGTCTCAAAGGAGTAAGATGAACCAGCAGAGCCCTCTAGATTCTATACTGTGAAACTCATTGCTTGCAGCTGGAGGAAAGAGGCTTAACGATCGGTTGAGGTGCAAAACAGGAACATTTACAAACCTTGTTCAAATTATTTTGATAGATATCATTCAGTCGTTTCACATAAGCATCACGCTTTTCCTTAATTACTCTGTAATAAAATAAGTTTTGTGTGACAAAATTATCTCTCTCTTGCACTAGCAAAACTATGGCTCAAAAAAACCACAACCTAACCTTGTCCCTCCTTTCAAATCCCCATTCATTATTTGCTTTAGGAATTTACATCCCATCAAAAAAAATCAAAATGCAGGTACATTGGGTAGGCAGAACTGTTTATAAAGCCAGTAGCCAACTGTTTATAAAGCCAAAATAATAAAACCAGAAGATGAGCCAGTTTTTAAAAGCTTCAAACTTTTTTCTCCATTGACTGAGCTGCTTTGCTGTCAAAAGACAGCCTTGTGCATTTCAATGGGACAAGAATATAAATACCTTATAGTAGATTGGAGGAAATCTGATGAATGGGGTACATTCAGCTACTATCAATGATGCTCCAAATATTTCGCCCATCTTCCACTCAATTCAGTGGGGCAAGCATATCAGAACCTCTTAGCAAATTGTACCCCACTCATCGCATTAGTCTGATGGTGCATATTTATTTCCACAGAAAGGAATTTTAACCTGACTTACCGCCAGTTAAACTTCACGTCGGATACTTCAAAACCATAATCTGCATGATCATGGATGAATTCAGAGTGGACAGCAGTGTTCCACATCACCTGTTTGGGGAGGGGAGGGTGCAGTGAGAACATCCAGGGTTTAATTTAAAAATAAATGAAAAACCAAACACCACTATTTATTGTATAATGCAGGATAATGTGAATAAACATTTTGATATGTTGACGGGGGTGGGGGGAGGTATAACGCATAAAGGATTTTACATTGGGACAGCAGTTTAGACATATCAGGCCCACACAACTTGCAACCCACCATGATAAACGTAACCCACTAGGCATGTTCTGTAGTCTGCAAAATACTTTAAAAACTCAATTTTAAATTCACTCAGTCTTTCTCTAAAGCAGTTCTTCTCCTGGTAACTAAAAGCTTTTTTTTTTAATCAAGAATAGTCTGAAAGATCCCCACTTACTCCCAGAGTCAGTGGGACAGGAGACCTGTATCTTCAGTCAACAGCCCCTAACCTGCCATTTACAACTCTGCTTTGCCCAAAGGATGGCTTCTAGGCAAAGGGCACGCTCCAATTTGCCAGCCTCCCTGCGGCTACTTGGAAGCATCCACTGTCTGCATTGGATGGAGATACCAGCCTTCAATTTTCTATTAAACGATTATGATCCAAAGATTTCTTTTTCATTTTATTTTCCCCAAATGAGCATCACTGCGTCAGGCTATTTTGACTGTCTTCCCATCAAAACACGCCAATGCAATTTCTTAAGTCCATATTTGAGTCTGTTCATGGAGAAGGCAAGAGAAAAACCAGCAACGGTTTCTTTCTAACAATAAAGGACGCTTGCTTCATACATTGCAATGTTGGCTTCTCAACCCCTCAGAACCGGATCAGCCAGAAGAGCCTTGGGAAATTAGGCACTTAGCAGGAGTAACAGCAATCCTAAATTAGACAGCGGAGAAGCGAAGCGATGGCTCCCCCCCCCCCCCCGTGTATACGAAACCACACCAGCTCACAATGGCCAAGGGTATAAAGGCAGTTGTCTTTTTCTTTCTTTTTCTGCAACAGCTCACGCCTGACATAGATGGGGAGTCCCCAAGGAAGAGTCCCTGGAGTGATCTATAAGGCTTAGGTCTAGCAGACCTCAAGTCTCTGGGACCCCACCCCCCACTGGTAGGACAACCAGTGAAGTGGAAAGACACATGGTGTCTTTTACATGCCATCTAACATCCCCCCAGCCATCTGACAGCATTTATTTTATTATCTGGAATCTTGTCTTTATGTTGATGTTTGCAATTGTAAAATTTTAATTTGAAAAACTAAATAAATAATACAGTCATACCTCGGGTTACAGATGCTTCAGTTTGTGTTTTTTCGGGTTACGGACCGCTGAAACCTGGAAGTACTGGAACAGGTTACTTCCGGGTTTCGGCAGTCACGCTTGCGCAGAAGTGCTAAATCGTGTTTTGTGTGTGCGCAGAAGCACCGAGCCACAACCTGCGCATGTGCAGACGCACCGCTGCAAGTTGCGAACGTGCATCCCGCACGGATCACGTTCACAACCCGAGCGTTGGGTTTATGTATATGTATCAGCAAAAGTTGAACTGTGCACTGAAATCTCTGCTTTGAAGAGTACGCTTTGCCCTCAATGCAATCAAACTGAAACTCAGTATGGAAAATAAGAATGCTAAGTTTACTACAGTCAAACCTCGGTTGTTGAATGTAATCTGTTCTGGAAGCCCATTTGGCTTCCGAAACGTTTGACAAATGAAGTGCAGCTTCCGATTGGTTGCAAGAGCTTCCTGCACTCAAGCGGAAGCCGTGTCGGACATTCAGCTTCCAAAAAATGTTTGAAAATCAGAGCATTTACTTCCAGGTTTTCGACGTTTGGGAGCCGAAACGTTCCAAAACGGACCCATTCAGGAACTGAGGTTTGACTGTATAGGAAATACATGTTGGATAGGAAGAAATCTACTTCAAAAAATCTAGGATGGAAATGCAGAAAGCCATGCTTGCTCTTTTATCTTTCTACAGGGCAGACAAAAGGAAATATGTCTACTCCTCCAAGGTGGGACAAAGAAAAAGTATAAACACCCTGAGAGTATCAGTGTAGCAACTGAGGAAAGGTCAGCACAGATTCATTCAGAAAGACAAGTCTAGGAGGCTTGGCGGTTCCTGTCCACCTACTTTCTGGCCATGGAAACCCAGCAGCCTTAATGCAACTGAGTTGCATCCCAACACTTTCAGCAGCATCAACATCAGGGAGAGAGTTAGAATAGCACTCTGATAACAGTTCTTTCTAGAAGAGAAGCAGTATGCCAGACCACACTGTGCCAAGTGCCCCTCCCATACAAAATCACACATAAGCAAAAAGGCAGATGCTTTTTGAGTGATCTGGCCATTTTCTTGTGTTCATCTGCATTTAGAAGACAATGGTCTCCTTGGGTAGCAATCTGACACATGCAGAGAGCCTAAGAATATACTTTAAAACCATTTCTAGCTGTTACTGCCGCTGAGTTTTCACTTCACACAATTTAAAAATAAAATAAAATAAAACAAGTTAATAGTGACACATTAAACGGTTTGTTTTTACCTTTTTAGGAACACATCCAACATTCACCTGAAAACGAAAAATAAGCAGTGTCAAGCGCCAACGATACTAAGCAAGTATTTAGCAAACATGCACAAACAGGTTACAAGATAATTTGTTATGGATAGCTTCTAATTATTTCTTTATTACAGTAGTTCAGAGGCATACTGCCCTAATATACAGCCAACATGAGTGGTAGGCACTGCTATCTTTATCCTCCATAAATTTGTCAAATCCCCTCTTAAAAACATTTAAGCTGGTGGGCATCCTTACATTTTGAGGTAGCAAATCCCATAGTTCAACAATGGACTGTGTGAAGGAAGTATTTTCCTTACCTGGATTCAATAAATATGGAGATTATAAGTGACCTACCTTACTTGTAAGGTACTTGACCTACCCTCTTGTAAGGGTGGCTGAGATAATGTACGTGAAGTACTGGATTCCGGCATGAGATGGAATTGTATTGCTGACTAACAAAACTATTTTAGATTTGGATTTTATTGTTGTCTTGTATAACATGTTACATACATATCTTTGTATGAGTTAATTGCTTCCAAAGCCTTGGTTACAATGTTGCCTACACATTTAAGAAACAAAGATTTGGCTACAATAAATATGAGGTATCGCAATTATAAATATAACAGTTGCCTCCTCCATTGTTGAATTTCTGTAGCAAGCTCCTTGGAAGCAGATGTGTTCTTTATATTCAGTCACGTGACCAAGAAACAGAACTCAGAATGGGCCTTCGCAGAAAGAAACAAGACATGATTCTCAATTACTTGATTTTCAGCAGAAGAGGACCTCAGAGGAAGAGAGCAAGTTTAGCACCACACTTTTTGTGGTGTCACCCGACAGGCTCTGCTTCCATATAATTAAATGGTTACAGCCATTCGTTCCAACTGGGAAAAAGAAATGGTGACACTTGGGAATATTACAAGAAGGTTAAAATGTACCCTTCATCACGGACAACTGTGTAACCTGGCCCTCACAAATCAAGAACCCAGAAAGGATGGCAACAAACACATGATTAAAAATTACATTTATATCATGTCTTTCCTAAAAGGAGATCAAACTGATCTGTAGAAAGGACTCTGTGAACTGAAAGCAGATACACTGTGTGTACTTTTGTAACCCAAGAAAATATTTAATAAAAACAAAGCTTTAAAAAGATACATGACTCCCCCCCCCCATTTTATGTTCACAACAACCCTGTAGATTAGGCTGAGAGACAGAGATTGGTCCACAGTCCACCCGTGAGCTTTATAGCTGAGGGGGAGATTTAAATCCTGGTCTTCCCAGGACTTTTAAACCACTACCATAATAACTGACATGTCGCACAGGCATAGCCAGGATTTTTGTTAGGTAGGGCAGGACTTGGGGGCAGGGGCAGAACCAACGTGATTGATCAGTTAGTTAAGTATTTCTATGGACATGTGGTCCTTTTGCAAGGATGATACACAACATTGTGAAGTGTACCACATTTTGGGGCACAGAAATAACGCTTGGCATGCAGAAAACAGTGAAAGCACTCTTTCATTAATTCAAAGTTTCAGGTTTTTTGTTTCCTTTCCCCTGAGCCATTTGAAATGTAAAGCTACTAGGGCTGGCACATGAGGGCAGCGTATGGAACATCCTAAAATCTAAGTCATAATTTCTGCCTAAAGAACTAGACCTAAAGATAACACACAGTGGTCTTCTCTCTCTGTCAAATGCATGCACACATTTCCTCTGTTCCTCTTTCCAAGTTCAGTGTGTGTGTGTGTGTCTGCATGCATGTGTATGTGTGTGTGTGTGTGTGTGTGTGCACAAGGAAATAAAAAATAGAAAACAGATTAATGTTCTTATTACAACTTTCCTGTGCTCCTGGTCATCCTTAAGTGTGGGGCGTGGGGCAATTAACACCTGAGAGATGCCCTCCTGACTTGCACACAGGGAGGTCCCAGGGTTCAATCCCCAGGCAGGGGCTGGGAGACACCCTGTAGAGCCCGTTGTCAGTCTGTGTTGACAACACTGAGCTAGAGGGACCACTGTTCAGCTTCATATAATCATAGGCTTGTAGAGCTGGAAGGGGCTCCAAGGGTCATCTAGCCCAACCCGCTTCAATGCAAGAATCTCAGCTGGATTATACACGGCAGGCGGCCATCCAACCTCCCTTTGCAGTGCGTTTCACAGAATAATAAAATTGGAAGGGGCTCCAAGGGTCATCTAGCCCAACCCCCTACAATGAAAGCATCTCAGCTAGATCATACACAACAGGTGGCTGTCCAACCTCCCTTTGCAGTGCGTTTCATAGAATAATAAAATTGGAAGGGGCTCCAAGGGTCATCTAGCCCAACCCGCTTCAATGCAAGAATTTCAGCTGGATCATACACGACAGGCGGCTGTCTAACCTCCCTTTGCAGTGCGTTTCACAGAATAAAATTGGAAGGAGCTCCAAGGGTCATCTAGCCCAACCCCCTACAATGCAAGCATCTCAGCTAGATCATACACAACAGGTGGCTGTCCAACCTCCCTTTGCAGTGCGTTTCACAGAATAAAATTGGAAGGGGCTCCAAGGGTCATCTAGCCCAACCCGCTTCAATGCAAGAATTTCAGCTGGATCATACACGACAGGCGGCCGCCCAACCTCCCTTTGCAGTGCGTTTCACAGAATAATAAAATTGGAAGGATCTCCAAGGGTCATCTAGTCCAACCCGCTGCAAGGCAGGCCTTCCAACTCCACCATAAGCCACAGAGGGCCGTCCAACCTTCCCGGGCGCCGTGCTTCCTCCAGGCCAAGTTTCCTCAGCGCCCGCCAACCCGCTCCCCGCCCCGGGACTCACGCAGGTGCCGCCGAGCCGCCCTCTCTCCACCACGGCCACCCGAGCGCCGAGCTCCGCCGCCCGCCGAGCGCTGGCCAGGCCGCCCGAGCCGCCTCCCAGCACCAGGTAGTCGAAGGCCGTCGAAGAGGAGGCGCGGAGCTGGGCCATGGCGGCGGCTGCAGCGCGACTAGCAGGAAGGAGGAAGGCCGCCACGGCCAGGGGAGACCGCGGGCGCGGCCACCGCATCCCGCCTCCTGTCCTGCCCCCGCAGCGGGCGAGGCGAGGCAGGCGGCGCCGGCGGGGAAGGCGGGCCCGGCAGGCCAGGCCGCGGCGCTGGAAGGCGCCACGACGCGGCGCGGCGCCTCTGTTAGGTCGCCTCAGCGAGGGAAGGAACCCCTGAGGGAGAAAGCGGGCCCTGGCGGATTTACCTATAAGCTAAACAAGCTATAGCTCAGGGCCGCACTCTCTTGGCCTCCCCCCCCCCCCCAAAAAAAAATTAAAGGGGAAAAACCTGGATGTACATTTCCAAAATATAAGATATAAAACAAATAAAATAAAACCTACATCCAGCAGCAGTGTTTTGTTTTTTGTAGGCTCCTGTGATGTAAGTCATGGGCCCCACCTCCTCCCTAAAATATCACTGGTTTGCTCATTTCTACATATAGGGTGCCTACATTCTGCATGGACTGGTTGCACGGCAACATGTGCAAATGGCTTGAGATACCTATTGGGTCCATAAATGACCACATAGCATATATTCTGTAATAGGAATTTTGAGGTCTTAGATATATGGTAATGTTCATAAGCGTACCAACCAAGCACGTACGTAGATCAGCACAGGAAGACCGACCTGGAACCATTTTGATTCCTAAACTGAGCAAATGTTTTCTCTGCAAGGTCAAAGTAGGAAACTGTCCATTGTCTTTTTCCTCACAAATCCTGTCTTAAGGGCACATTTAAGATATGAATAGGGTGTGAGCCTGTGACCTGGCCCAGGAACTATTTATCATTACAAAAGATTGGCCAGGCTCCCCAGGAAATCCAATCAAGTAACCTGCCAGACAGGAGATAAACAAGGACAGCATAAAAACAATATTCAAATTTCTGTTTTAGACCGCCTTTTCTGTGATGTATGTATGATGTTTCTGGGGGTGGTCTTGATCTACAGGGTGGCAATTTCAAAAATCTTTATAAGGCCTTGCACACCATTTTTCTGGGTCCTCCTTCTGCGGGTGAGGGGAGCACCCTGTTGCAACAGATCAATAAAGATCAGGCTTACTAGCTGCTTTGCTTCTCAATATTCTCTCGTTGGCCTCTGTTATCTTCTCCTACCAATAGGGAAGCTATGTAAGGACTCTATATGGGCTCTTGGATACCCCATAAGGGGAAAGGCCAATTTTTGTTTACAACAATTCAACACAACACAAACAGTGTCAATTTGTTGTTGACAAAGGACATATAAAGGGCCCCATTACCTTCAGTAGCTTAGGGTCTCATCAAACCTCAATCTGGCCCTGCCTGCAACATTTCTTTTTCTTTTTTTATATAAATCTTTTTTATTGAGTTTTATTCATTTATGAGGCAGAACCACATTTAAAAACACAAATCTTCTCCCGTCACATGTATAATTTGTGTGTGATGTAACCTTCAGTCTTCTATTAGCCCTTGTAAAAGGAAGAGGCCGTGGCAGGATGGTTAACAGCACTTGCTTATATCTCCTTGGTGTGCTGCCTGTTTAGTCCTTTGCTTGACCCATGCCCTGTTTGGTGTATTTGCTTTTAGCTGCACTGAACCTACTTCCTCCAGTTGTGCCACACGTTTTGCAGTTTCTCCCCCACACCAACATTTGCCCGACTTCACCTCTAGGGTGCAGAAGTAATCAGCGACAACCCAATAAAATCACATACAATTCTTTACAGACCAACATCTTTACTGACGATTTTGTCACAGAACAACATTTACAAAAACAGAGTCCATTGCCTGTATTAGGGGGAGGTTATTGACAGAGGGAGACTGGGACTTCGACTTGATGCAGCCAGGGGGTGATCCAAACTTCAAAATAGCATCTGAATGTCTGAGAAGGGGGGAAAGGAGAAAGATGAATATTAAAATCAGCCCAGTGTCGAAATCTAGAAAGCTGACCTGTGTCATTATCCGATGGCTTGTTCAATATCCTGAGCAGGTATTTCAAAAAGGAGCTCACAGTTATTCCACCTTCCTCTTTGACAACCCCAAGGCAAGGAGATGTGGCCGCAGCTCCTGCAACATTCATGCGCAACTCCCTACTCTGGCCTCATGCCCAATGTGATAAAAGACAGAGGCCTCTTGCAATGCTCTGGCTTAGGAAACGACAGCCTTTCTTGTAGTGCTTTCGCTATCTGATAAGCCTCATATATTACGTGGGGGAAGATTCTGCATCAGCAAGGGAAGAGTCTCTCGCTGCTCTCATGATGTTGCCACTACTGCACGACTTCTCATGTTGCACAGGGAGAGGTCCCAGGCCACAGGGGAGCAACGAAGGCCACACTCCTTTGACAAAGCGCCTTCTGTGGCTTCGTTCCCCTACATCAGTAGAGCCTGCCCCCGATTGACCACCAGCAGCAACCATTTCAAATTTTCCACAGTGCCCTTGTACAACGTTCTCCTACACAGTCACCCCAGAGCATTGTGGGAAATTCATCATGGCCATTTGCAGCCGCTCACTGCTTGGTGGGTGGGGGTAGAGGCTCAGGGCAGGTGCCAGAAGGTGTCTAGTGCTGATATCAGGCCTGGGCGCAACATAACTAATGCAGAAACGGGATGGGGCAGGGCTTTTTAAAGCCAGAACTTGCTGGAACTCAGTTCTGGCACCTCTCTGGTTTTTTTATAATGGAAATGGTGCCTACCTGAGAGTTCTGGCACCTCTTTTTTCTAGGAAAAATTAGCACTGGGAAGGAGCCATAGTATAGGTTCCTCTCACATTCCCCAGTGCTTCTTACATTACCTAAGGTATTGTGTGAAAGGTACAGTTGTATCTTGGTTTGCGAATGCCGTGTGAGTCAAACATTTTGATCCCCAAACCTGGAAGTGAGAATTCTGGTTTGCAAACGTTCTTTGGAACCTGAACGACCAATGTGGCTTACATGGCTTCTGATTGGCTGCAGCCAATCGGAAGCCGCGCCTTGGTTTCCAAATGTTTGGAAGTTGAACGGACTTCCAGAAAGGATTCCATTCGAATTCTGAGGTACCACTGTATTTTTAAAAAAGCTCCCAGATTTGAAGGTAATGTCAAGGCTCTCAGACATTAAGGCTCCCAACATGTAACAAAAATTGCACCATCAGGACCTTGGAAAGGTAAGAATCGCAGCTGCCTCCCCAACATGAATTTCGCATGCGATACATTTATGCAATGAAACACATCCAACCACCTTGGCTTGTGTGCTGCATGAACCAATAATGTTCTCTGGCACTCTTTGCCATGTGTATGAGTTCTGCAACACACCAGTCAATGTGAAAAGTGTTTCCTGAAGAGAGAGAGAATTTGAAATCTACAGTGTGGTTTTACATGTGGCTTCCCTTATTAACTTATTGAATTATAACTGGGATGGGGAATCTGTGTCCATCAACATCTGGAGAACAATAGGTTCTCCCCCACTGCCCCATTTATCACTCCCAGGAGTAGGTATGTCAGTTTATTGCAGCAGCAAAAACAACAAATTATTGTGGCATCTTAAAAACCAGAAAATCTGGTTATGACATAAGCCAGCCTTCCCCAGCTTGCTGCCCTTCAGGGTTTTGGTTTTTTTCATTTTATATTGGTCACTATGCTTATTTTACCTACATTTAAGTTATAAATATAATGTTTGCACTTCTAGACTCATGAACATTGATAAAGATGGGCACAGCTAAGTCACCAGTGAAGAGATACCAATATGCATAGGAGTCCATTCCTAGGGGCCAAGGTCCCTTTGGCTCCCCTAATAAAATGTTTGAGGAGGCCAGGTCTCTCAAAGTTGATGGGCAGTGCCATTCAAATGATGTGTTGCACCACATAATGTGTTCAGTTATGTGGGGCAGGGCCTACCTCCCCCCACCCCATTTTATTCAAGTTGGCCTCCCTGCAATATGGATAGCACATCAGATCCTGGCTGAATCTAGACACATGGGGGGGGGGGATTTCAGGAAAATGTGTTGTAAACCTCGTAATGTGAAATCACGTTGCCAAAAGGCAGAACTCCACAGCGCCATCTGGTGTCAAAGTGTTCTAACGCATTTAAAACGCTTTTTCTTTACTAATGTAGCTGAGTCCCCCGTAACATTCCACATTAGTCCATTAGGAAACCAATGAGAAATCTGAACACATCTTACTTGTCTCAGTGTCTTTTTCCTCTGGAAATCACATCTGTCCAAGTCGGGCTCGGGATGTATCCTTTTGCTGCATACTGTCCGGCAGATATCAACATCGATTTTGTATTTCACCCCTCTCACAACCTAGAGAGAACAATTTTCACTAAACCAGACATAGTAAGGCAAATTGAAGAGATAGAGGGAACTTTTTATATACCGGGGAAGCAGGAAGGGAAGATAACAGCTTTTTCAAAGGCCTTATATTTCCACCCCACCCCACCCAAGTGGGAGGCATATTGCTAAGGCATGTTGGTGCCTGTTGCTTGTATATTCATCCTACTGTTATCTCTGATTATTGGTTTTGAAGGACAAAAACCTGTTAAACCTGTTTGACCAGAGACAACATTGGGAGAAGGTGATGAAACAGCGAGGTTACTAACTGGGGTTCCATTTGGATCATATATAACCTCTTAAAACAGATGCATTTGTTGCAGCCAGTTCTTTGCTGCGCCTGATTCAATATATTCATGTTAGTGATTAAAGCCCTTAACAACTCAGGCCACAAATACCCGAAAGACCATCTCCTTCCCTATCAACTTTCTCTGGTGTCAAGATCAACAGAAGGGGGCCCATAGAAGCTCAGGGTGGTGGCAGCCCAGAAGATGGCGTACTTTGTGGTTGCAGCAGAAATGTAGACCTTCCAGAAGGGCTTATTTAGCCATCAGCAGAGCAGCAGCTGAACCAAGATGCAAGTCATAATAGCTCACTTCAACAGTATGACTTTCAGATGCACTACAGTGATATTTCCACCTGAGTGTGAGGTGACTTACGGGAATATTTCATCTTGCATTGGCACCAGAAAATGACAAATTCATTGCTGAATTTGTTGCCATAACAGCCGGAGTTTCCTTACCTGCCTCATGGCTTTGTTTATGCGAAATTCTCTGAAGAGAAAGATGTCATTTGAACTGTTGTTGTATCTGTAAACACCAAACCTAGCAGCTCTCTGAACTCCTGGATCGTTGGTCTTGACAGCGATAGGAGATCCCGGTTTTATGGCTGAATTAGGCAAATGCCTCTTGCTACCTGTGCAAGCAAAATTCACAAATGAAAAATTATTTAGAAATTTTGTCCAGCTGACACGTGGAAATAACCTTGTGACATATCAGCTAAGTTCTCAAGCCCAACTGATGGCACAGCAAAGGAACTGTTTTTCTGTCGCGGTCCCATGTCAGACTGGTCATTTGTGCAGAGAGAAGACACACAAGTTGGGAGAATAGCTGATGGCTCCAAAAGCTAGAGAGGCTACCGGGAATGGACAGATCTGTCAGCTTCAGATTTCTCCATTTAATAATAATTAATAATAATTTTATTATTTATATCCTGCCCATCCACCTGGTTTCTCATTTCCCCAATGTTAAATTCAGTTCTCTGCATTTGTGCAGAATTTGTAATTTAAAAAAGATATCCTCATAAAATGTCATCACTTTTAGTGCAAATTTATGAAAAACAGCAACACATATTTGTATGCAGTTTTGTCCAATATACACATTGGGCAAGCGGGTGGCCCCATTAGCTAAAGTGGTGCTTCAGGTTAAGAACAGTTTCAGGTTAAGAACGGACCTCCAGAACAAATTAAGTTCTTAACCCGAGGTACCTCTTTACAGGCAATGGCTGGTTTGATGTGTGACCGTGCGCACGTGCATTGCACCGACCCCAGAAGTGGACAGAAAAGGGGGCAGAGGGAGTAGAGTGCTCTCTGCTGAAGCTCGCGAGGGTCAGCAACGCAACTCTCTTGCAAAATGGCCACCACCTGTAGTCCCAACACCACCAAGATCTACCTGTTGGTGCCTCCAACTTTACTGAAGAAACTTGCTGTTTGGCGAACTCAGACTGAAAAACCGACAGCTTTCAAAGCTGATGTCGTATGAGGAGGGGAACCAGCAGCTTCTTCCTTTCTCTCACAGTTAAAACCCACTCTGTGGTTTATCGTTACTCTGCAATCAGCAGCTGACTCACAGGACACGACAAGAGAGTGTCAAAACTGCAAACTTTCTCCAAAGGAAAGCTTGATATGGCAGTGCATTTAAACAATAGGTCAAGTTTCTGGCAGGACTGTGTGTAGCTCGGGGACACACAGTGCAACCCACAAAGTCCTGCTTCTGCAAGTGTGTGATGAAAAAAAAGCAATTGTCTGGATTAATGCATGGTAAAAATTGTGCAGTTTCTCTCCCTCGAACAGTACAGGCCGGTTCATATGTTCATTAACCACATGATCACTACAAGTACAGATTTATCACGGCTAGAGAAATCTGGTGATACATTCATGTGTGAACTTAAAGGTAAAGGGACCCCTGACCGTTAGGTCCAGTCGCAGACGACTCTGGGGTTGCGGCGCTCATCTTGCTTTATTGACCGAGGGAGCCGGGTCATGTGGCCAGCACGACTAAGCCACTTCTGGTGAACCAGAGCAGCGCATGGAAACGCCGTTTACCTTCCCACTGGAGCGGTACCTATTTATCTACTTGCACTTTGACATGCTTTCGAACTGCTAGGTTGGCAGGAGCAGGGACCGAGCAACGGGAGCTCACCCTGTTGCAGGGATTCGAACCGCCGACCTTCTGATCGGCAAGCCCTAGGCTCTGTGAACTAGCTGCACACAAAAGCAGGGACACACTGAGTAGTCTCAAACATGACACCACACATGCTGAGCAGCCTCCCTTGGCATCTGTTTACACAATGCAAACATCTGTAGGGAGGGGTTTTTCAAATGTACAGGTGTATGTGAAAAGCCCCTTCCTCCAGACATTTGCCATGTGTCCATGAATGCCAGGAGGGGGGTCACTTAGCATGCACAGTATGGGCAGGGGATACACACTCTTATGTTGCTCTATTCACTCACAAGTGTGTCTGAATGTTACACGCTGTGAATATGTGTTCAAATCACTCAAATGGAGATGTTTATCCCAGTCTGTATGCGCATTGTACTTGAATTTTTAAAATTCTTGATGCTTTTATTGTAGCGTTGATTTGAGATTTTAGAAAGCATTTCATAAATGGAATGAAATAAATAATCTACCGCACTTCAGAATGTGTGTATAGCTCTGTTAGGGATAGACATAAATGCAACTGAGGAAGAGCAATAGAGGAAGTGGTTCCGAATTCCACGCACATTCCCAGCAGAATGTATGTGTGGCTCCACTGAGGCTATTTGCACATTGTAAAGAGCGAGAGAGGAAGTGGTTTGAAATTTCACATACATTCACAACATACTGAAGCCAACTGGATGCCTATGGGGAACTGAGAATGGCTCATGAATGATGTGTTCATTCACAGTGGTCACTGTGATAGCAGCAGTTAGTTAGTAGGTCCATCTTCTTCCATGCTCTTCTCTTTCTGTCCCCCTTTTCTTTTTCACTCTGAATGCCAAGCTGAGCAAATTCTCAAATATTCCCACCCTTTGGCTGGCATCCCACTGCTAGTATTAAAAATACAGCTCCATATACATCAGTGCCGCTCCTTCCAGAAATGTTGAAAGCAGCTGCATATTCATTTTACAGTAAATAGCCTTGAGAAACACCTAAAACAACACCACACACACACACACACACACACACACACCAGTGTTAATCAAATATCAGGAGGGGGGAAAACACCCTTAGCTTCTTCGCTACTCAGAATGTAAACCACAATGGAAAAAGAGAGATTTCGGTTTATCTAACAGCAGGCATTTTGTGAGACTGCTTTTTCTGTGCATTCATGTCTGAATAAAGAGAGAACCTCAACATTAATTATTATTATTAATAATATTAAAATTTGTATACTGCTCTTCATCCAAAGATCACAGGGCAATGCACAACATAAAAATGAAAAAAGAGAACACAAAATGCATAATAAAAACCAATAGCCCCCTTCCCACTTAAAGTTTTCAGCTCAGATCTTGAACCTTTAAGCGCAGCCTGGCATCCAGCTATTTAGCAAGAGAAGTTTTCCAAGCATGGAGATGTCATGGGCTTGGGAAGGGAGTTCTGCGTGCTGAACCTCTGTCTCAGAGGGTTTGCAAAGGAGCATCAGGTGGTGTCTGTAATCCCGTTTTCAAATAAAACACTGGAATATCTAAAGTTGACCTACCAGTAACTGCTACTAGGAAACCTTGCAACAGCCTCTCCTTCACAAGGGCGTTACAGTCCTTGATTCAATCGCACACACTCTCCACCCAGTGCAACCCTGTTTCTTAGACTTAATTAAAAAGTAGTGGTCTCATCTGATAAGGACTGCGTACACAACATACATTTAAAGTGCATGGCTTCCCCTAAGGAATCATGGGAACTGTAGCTTATCCACCACAGAGATGCAATTCCCAGCACCCTTACGAAACTACAGTTCCCGTGATTATTGGGGGGAAACCCATGTACAGCATTTTAAATGTGCTTTAAGTGCATTGAGTGTAAACACCCAATATTGTACACACACACACACATGCAAATGCCATGGGAGAATACTAAAGCTATTTTCTGATCTTACCAGCTGAAGTCCTGGCCACATCGCAGAGAAGAAGGCAGCAAAGAAGAGCCATTTTCCTCCACCCAATGGACACCATTTCTACCTTCCTAGAGTAATCAGCAAAGAGACGAGGGCTGCTTGACTCGAACACTTGCTTTTTTGCACCTAGCAGAGGAAGTGGGGTTTCCACTGCCTGTTCAGGAACTCTCATTGGTCAAGAAGAGCATACTGTATAAAAAAGCCTCGATCGCTATCTCCTGTCCCGTTCATTGGCCCTTGCAAAATCTATTAGCAAGTTTCTTTTTGAAGAACTCTGGCTGATGTTAGCACTTAGTGCAGAATAGGGTTTGTTTGTTTGTTTGTTTGTTTGTTTGTTTGTTTTTAAAAGGGAAGCCGGATCCAAAATGGGCAGGTAGAAGGAGTAAGAGGCAATTCAGAAAGAACCTCGGGGGGAGTTCAATCATTCAAGTCATGCAAAAAGTTGTGCTATGTTAGGTAATAGAAAAGGGTGTAGCCCAGACCCTGATCAAATATACCCATTTCTCTTTCGCCCTGCCAACGACCCTCCCTGCAGACTCCACTGCTCCAGGTATTCACCAATGCTTCTAGAACAAAGGAAATAGTTCTAGAACATGGTTCTACTCCTGTGGTGTTGCGATAAGGGTGGGAAGCCAGAAATGTCTGAAATGGCACTCATAACACGGACCTTACTGGAGCCAACATGGATGTGAAATATTTGTGTCCCAAATGCACAAAATTATTAAAGCAGTTTGGAAACAGAGCAGTCTTCTGTCTAGGTTCCTCACTGTAATGAGAGGCAGCCACAAGAGATACGAAGGAATTATGAGTTCTCAATGTTAAGTTGTGGGTGAACATATCAGACGACACAGTGATTCTTCAAACAGCTCTTGTTTATTCACAGAACAGAACTGACTGAAAGGTTCAGCCAACCTGCTTATATAGAGCTCCACTATAATGCAACAGTAACAACTTTCTGTAACTATCCAATCACTGAACGTCACTTTCCTTATTTGCATATGCGGACCTGAGTGAAAACTATCTACAGTATCCCCCTGCTGGCCCAGAGTGAGAACTTCAGTACATAACACTCAACTCTCCCAAGATCCCTCTTTCCTCAAAATCCCAGTCCTGAGGAGCTCCTCCCACTCTGCGTCGATTTCTAAAGGCCGTGGGATTTGACACTCACCAAGAAAGGATTATGCACACATGCAGAAAAGGCACAGGTGCATTGTAGCCGTGCATGCTTTGAGCATGAATTATAATCACATACCACTCGGCAATTGTAAATTTTCCTATAAGACCACTACGAGCGGTGGGCAAATCTGTCAATTTCTGTTTCTCTCACTCTCTCATTTTCCTATTCTTAAGTTCTCCACATTTCCACATCAGTTTGCAAATTGTTTTTTCTCTCTCCAAAAAAGTCATCTTGAAAAAATGATCAGTATTTTTGTGTGAATTTCTTTTACTGTGCACATTTCCCCCCAAATTCTCCAGCCAAGTAATGTGTACAAAAAAATGCAAATATTATGGTGAATTGTGCATGAAAATGCATATATTACTAGAGGCTCTCCTGCTGATCTTAAAAGAGTGGAGTGACTCCCATGATCTATCCCATTGTTACATTTATCTCTCTCCTCTACAAAGAATACAGGCAATTTTTCTGAAGCCATACTGGCTCTCCTACAGGACAAGTGAACCAAAACATTATATGCTCAGTTGAGGCAATCACAGTTCACCAGGGGGCACTATTACCCTTTCTAAGAAACTTGGTTCAGGACCATCCTTGACTCAAAGTTCTTGCTCTGGACTCTTCTGCACCGCTCCCCAAAAGCCACATTTTCCAAATCTGCTTTCTGCATTGTGGCCCTCTGTGGTTCATACCTATGGGAGTTGTTTGCTGTTCTTGCATTCCATTGTATTTCACATCGATAGTCGTGTTGCTCATTTAAAAAAACTCGCCCATGGACCCTTCATAAAACCCTCTCCCTCTTTCCAGAAGAAGTAAGGAAAACACCTGGGCTCTGCTTGCTTCCCTCTTCCCTATATTTTGGGGGCATTGTTAGACTGCTGCTATTTGGACTGGACTTCGTTTCCATGTCTAGCTAACAATGCGATTCAGCGATCATCAATCCTGCTATCAGCTCTATAACCCACGCAGGTGGTACGCTCTTAGTCCATTGCTGCGCTAAAGGAGGAGCAAGATGCACTTCTGGGAAAGCAGTGGATCTGTGTCAGTTGCTTTCTAGTGGTGAAGCTTTTCCCAGATTGTGACAACCAGTCTCAGAAGGGACAACAGCACATTGTGTGACTTTTCTGGTGGGTCTGTCATTCTCTTACAACATTCCTCCCCTCTCAGGTCAGTAAAGGAAAATCTGCCCTGTGGTCCTGACTGACTAACACAGCCAACAACTCGGCCTACTCAGAAGCAAGCCAGAGGGACTTCCTCTCAGGTAAACGTGTCCCTGCCTGCCTGCACCACTTGCTACCTTGCATATGTAGTAAGGTTAAAGCTTACTGGGAAATGATATATAATGAATTGAAAAGGATGTTTAAAATAACATTGGGGGGGTGGAACCCAGAAGCTTTTCTTTTGGGAATTATAGGTACAGAACTACCTAAATGGTATAGAAATTTATTTATGTATGCGACTACAGCAGCAAAAATGCTACTTGCCCCAAAGTGGAAAGAAGCAGAAAAGGGAGAATGGATTCAAAAAATTATGGAATATGCAGGAATGGCAAAACTTACCAGAAGAATAAGAAATCAAGATAACAAACTTTTTATAAAAGAATGGAAATGGTTTATTGAATATTTACAGATAAATTGCAAACAGATAAAAACATTGGCAGGATTATTGTAATAACCTGCAGTTTCATAAGACTATATATTTAAGACGCAGGTGGCGCTGTGGTCTAAACCACTGAGCTTCTTAGGCTTGCTGATCAGAAGGTTGTCAGTTCAAATCCCCACAACGAGGTGAGCTCCTGCTGCTCTGTCCCAGCTCCTGCCAACCTAGCAGTTCAAAAGCATGCCAGTGCCAGTAGATAAATAGGTACTGCTGTGACGAGAAGGTAAACACTGTTTCTGTGCGCTCTGGTTTCCATCACAGTGTTCCATTGCCCCAAAAGTGGTTCAGTCATGCTGGCCACATGACCCGGAAAGCTGTCTGTGGACAAACGCCGGCTCCCTCAGCCTGAAAGCGAGATGTTCGCCGCAACCCCATAGTCACTTTTGACTGGATTTAACCATCCAGGGGTCCTTTACCTTTACCTAGATTTAAAGCAGATAATTAATTGAGCAAATTAAGTGAATTTGGATATGCAGAAGATATTTAAAAAACCAATTTAAGGAACTGCAGAAAGAGGGGGAAGAAAGTCAAACTCTGAAATGTTAAAATGTCTGTAAAATTAATGAAATGTATAAATTTGAAAAGTATATATATAAAAACTTGCTACCTTGCATCTAGCATGCAGGGGCCTGGTAGAGGATGGAAGTGACACAGAGGAGGAGTTAAGAGACAGGGGGAAATGGGATAACCCAAAAACCTTGATATTACAAATGCATGTTACGCAGCACAGTGGCATGTAATTGATTTAGAAATGCTTTTTGCGTTATTGCTGAAAAGCGGGTTTTAGCGCTGGGGGGAAAAACAGTGGGGATAACCCCTAAGCTAAATAATAGCACAGGGAGTGAACTAAGTGCCTGAATAGTTGTGGCTAATCCTCGGCTAACAGAAGATCATCTTACTTCTCTGAAATCCTTTGCAGCCCCACCTTTCTGTTGCCACTTCCTAAGCAAACACTTTCTCACAGCCACATGCCTAAACCACATCCTAATGCCAATGCAGACTGCCCTTTGTTAATGATGAGCATGTTGACGCTAAGCAGGCACCTGATTCTGCTACCTCTCAGTCTCGGGGTTCTTCCAGGTGGGGGCTGAATATTGCAAACTGATCATTGGCAGGTGACACAGTTTTCGGTAACTTTTTGGATTTCCCACCCAAAATGTAAATCTGGATTATATGGCTGGGGGTGAGGGAAGGATAGTGGCTGGCATTTTGATTCCAGCAATGCTGCGTGGATGCTGTGAAAAGCCTGCATGCGCAAGAAGCATAGATACATGTCTGGATCATTATTTGGGCAGTGTGGGAGAGAGAGGGAGAGAGAGACAGAGAGGGATAGAGAGATAGAGATGGATAGAGTGACATAGAGAGATAGAGAGGGATAGAGAGACATAGAGAGATAGGGATAGAGAGAGATAGCAGTTGCATTGGAAGTAAGCATGGACACCGCAGGGATTTGAACCCCGTCCTGGGAACCAGGAGTGCCGACCACCAGTGTCTTTTGCTTTTTTTTTTTGAGCAGTGCAACAAGGGGAAAAGCAAAACCTGAGAGAAGATTCTGTGAATGTTCTCTCAGGAAAAAGAAAACCTGAAGACGTTAAGAAGAGCTCTTTGGGGAGACCTGTGGAGAGACCAGCAGAAAAGAAAATGAGGAAAAGGAGAGACCAATACCAAAGACATTGTTTTGAAAACAGACGACTGAGTGGTGCAATGTGAACTTACCTAAAGCAGCACTGTCCTAATGCTGGTGACTCTCACTTCAAGAACAGTGAACTCTGGGAAGCCTGAAGAAAAGAGGAGCTGGAACAAAAGAAGAAGTCTTCTCCTACCTGCAGGTGAGCCTCATTGTAGTGACACAGAATAGGGCCTCTTCTGATGACTCAGTCACCCCAACCTGAAAGAACCTTAGCACAATGAGTCGCAGATGGAACAGAAAATGAGATTAAAAAAAAACCAACCCAACAGCTTTTCTTACCACCATGACTTCAGGGACTCAGCTGGAAGAGCTGTCTTCATTTGAGTGTTGCAGGATCTTTGGAGAGACCTGTGAAGAGACCAGCAGAAAAGAAAATGGGAAAAAGGAGAGACCAATACAAAAAAAAAAAAAAATGTATTGAAAAAAACACTGAGTGGTGCAATGTGAACTTACCTAAAGCAGCACAGTCCAAGAGTAGGCGACTCTCAATTCAGGTACACTGAACTCTGCAAAGCCTGAAGGAAAGAAGAGCTGGAAGAAAAGAAGTCTTCTCCTACCTGAAGGTGAGCCTCATCGTGATGACATGGAACAGGGCCTCTTCTGACGACTCCGTCACCCCAACCTGAAAGAGTCTTAGCACAATGAGTTGCAGATGGAACACAATAGAGATTTCTCCCTAGCCATGCAAGGGATACTCTGAGAAACCTGAAGGAAAGACGAGCTGGAACAAAAGGAGAGAAGGGCTAGAACAAAAGAAGAAGTGGTCTCCTACCTGCAGGTGAGCCTCATTGTGGTGACACAGAATAGGGCCTCTTCTTACAACTCACTCACTGCAACCTGAAAGAGTCTTAGCACAATGAGTTGCAGACGGAACACAACAGAGATTTTCTCCCTGGCCAACCAAGGGATACTCACCTAAATGTCTTTCAGTCATGGAATACCATTTTGTCCGCCATTTTAATTGAAGCTGGATGAGCCATTAATCTAGAGGGGCAGAACAGAGACATCTAGAATCACTAGTTTGTCCCCAGTCACCTTCCACCAGTCTTACAGAAAATGAGTTTTAAAACCAACCAACAAACAAAACAGCTGAGGGTGTACCACCTCCAAAGTACAGCTGAAGTACTGTATTTGCGGACCACTGTTTGTTAACAGCAAGAATGGTAGAGGAAATTAACCTCAAATTAGAAAAGGTAGTGTCCCTCCTGGCTGAGTTGGCGCTGTTGGCAACCCGGAACAGTCCTATTGCCACCCAAGAGTCTGGCTCTTAACAAGATCTTCAAACTCAGGGGTGTAGCTGTTCTTGTGCCAGAACCCGTAAAACCTCTTACAGAAAGAATAACAAACATGAAAACAGCAAACTAATCCTGCAAAGCTCTCAAGTAGTTCTCGATGGTTACCCTTTTAATGGTCTGCTCCCTTTCTGGAATTCAATCGCAAGTGCAAAGTGAAATTTCAAACTGTTGCTAAACATCCAGCGCAACAATCTTACCACGGTAAACCTGCTTTCATCGGACTCTCAGCATTCTAGACTTTTATTATCATTCTCTGATTCAGTTATTCCAAAACTATACAATACCTGCCTACAGGATTATAAAATTATCTTGAGGCATGTTTTTAAAGACACAGAATTAAAGCCTATACTGCCGAATCTTTTGTGAAGTCGGACTGACTCCAATCAATCCAAGCCCTCATCATCAGCAGGCATTTGCCAAAGGTTTAAGGCACAAACCCCAGTGCCACTAAGGCAGGTTCTGGGTGGAGAATTTGGCCGAAACATCCCCCAGGACAGAAAACCTTCTGAGTTTAATGGCCAAGCACACAAATAATGCTTGCCCAACTCAGCTGTGTCAAAAATCAGTTCTTCCACCAGGACTTTGGTAGATCTCGAAATCCACCACTCACCATCTTCACAGAAAACAGATCATCCATTGCCAGGCGTTGCCCCACCCGAGGAAAGCATTACACCAAGACTGCCAGACTCCGATCCCCCGAAAGCCACAAACAATTGAACACTACTGCTGATGGCTGGCAATCTGGACAAGTCTGTCAAACAACCCCAGAAAGAACAACACTTCAAACACCTCAAGAATGGTTGTGTTATAACTGAGACAGAGGGAGAACTACAATCTGCCCTCCACAATGAAGCCAAATCGCCGGGGACGAGAGTAGCCTAAATATTGTTTTATGGAACATAGCAGGTTGTGCCAACAAAGTAGGGGATGAGTCATTTCAAGAGTATATAACGCGTTTCGATGTGATAATGTTGCAAGAAACCTGGACAACTTTCAATATACTGTAGTCCTGGAGGGTTACTTTGCCCATGAAATTAAGGCCACTAAACTGTATGAGAAAGGACGTCCAAGGAAGGGCCTTGTAATACTGGTATCCACTTCCTTGACAACACAGATTATTGAATTTAAAGATTCAAAGCACTTGGTGCTGGGGATCATCTTGCACTCTGGGCCCCAAAGTATCATTCTTGTTTCACCTTATATCCCGCCATACAAACTGCAAGTACAGATTGGGAGTACATGGGGCAATTTCCAAAAAAAATTATACTCCAAATTAGTGCCCTGATGCACCACTCTATATAATGGGAGACCTGAACTGCCGAAAAGGCCCAAACGACGACTGCCTGGAAGCTAAATTCCACATGCTAACGGAACTCAAGGAAAATAGTCCTTCCTCCTTACGCTCCCTCCCTCACAGCTTCTCCAAAGACTGCATAACCAACTACGCTGGCTTTTGCCTGGCCTCTTTACAGATATGGTAAGTCTTTACCTTACGATTATAAATGGGGTGTTTCCTTTGGGCAGCGAAGGAGAGTTTACATTTATAAATATTAATGGAGCCAGCACAGTAGACTATTGTCTCACAAACAGGAAGACCTTTAAATCAATCAAAAACTTTAGTATTGATAACAGAACCGAGAGTGATCGTCTCCCTTTGATTCTCTCCATCTCAGGCCAAAACTCAGACATAGAACGAGATAAACGGTCAAGCTAAAGGGTCAGCAAAGTGTAGGAAAAAATGGACCCCTGAGCTGGCTATCTTAGCCGAGACCAGACTTTTCACTGTGCTTGAAGCAAACTTCAAAGCCATCTATGTGCTTTCATGTGCTCCTTTTTACATCCAAAGATTGGTTTGTTTGAAAAGTAAGCAAAACTTGATTTATCCCCCTCATATTCCTTCATTTTCTCTTGGCTTCTCCAGTTGTCATGTGGTGTTTTTTGTTTTGGTGATTATCCTTAAAATCTTCATCTTGGTATTTTTCTGAGTTTTCTGTTTAGATTTTGCTTAGCTAAGCTCTCTTTTGGGGACTTTCTCGAAGTCCATCTTTTGTCCACAATTGACTGTACCTCTTTGATTAGGATTAATTCTTCTTTGGTCTTCTAGTTTCTTTCTGTTTCCGTTTGATTTCAAGATTATTGCCTCTCCTAACACTTTTTAGACAGATACCTACCGTATTTTTCGTCCCATAGGACGTTTGATCCCATAGGACACACCTAGTTTTTTGGGGGGGAAATAAAGGAAATTTCCCCCCCTTTATTTCCCCCCCAAAACCAGGTTGGGGAAACCAAACCAGGTCGGGGAACAGCGGTATGGCGGCGCTCTACCTCCCCGCTGTCCCCGAGCTTGTGGGGTTGGCACTGGAGAGAAGCGTGCTTCTCCCCAGCGCCAGCCTCCAAACCAGGTTGAGGAACAGTGGGATGACGGTGCTTCGCCTCCCCGCTGTCACCCGAGCTTGTGGGGCTGGCCGATGTCTGCCCAGCGCGCGGGGCGCTCTGCTTCAGGGCGCCCGCGCGCCGGGCAGCAGGCTGCTATCCACAGCCTAGGGAGCCCTGCGGGAACTCCCGAAGGCTCCCCAGGCTTGCTGATAGCTTCCTGAAGCCTGGAGAGCGAGAGGGGTCGGTGCGCACCAAGCTTCAGCGAAAGCCTGTATTCGCCCCATATGACGCACACAGATTTCCCCTTCATTTTAGGAGGGGAAAAAGTGTGTCCTATAGGGCAAAAAATACAGTAATTAATACATATATATCAGCTCACAGGTGAAAATTACTTGTACCTCTTTTTGAAGTTGTAAACAGTAATGTTTCAGTAGAGTAAAATCCCTTTGTTTACTTAAAAAATGTAACCTAAACTGGTTTCAGTTGTGTTTACAAACCTGTTCATCTTCCCCAGCCGGGTCTCTCTCCTAATCCCTCTGCCCCTTAACTCCTTCAGCTTTGACCAGTGAGAGGGCCAACACCAGTACTATAGCCAGGGACAGGCTCACTCACTGGAATGCGGCTCGCTCCCTCCACCACCTGTCATAATGACACATTAAAAAGTCCCTTGCAGCATTAATACAGTGGGTGTAAATGTCTTCATTTTCAGCATGCAATGATTGCAGGGCTTTGGTGAGGAATTAGTATTTTCTTCCCACATTCATACATTCTGGAAATAAATGTTCCTTTCATCATCTTATTATTAAGGTGACTCCCTCGCCATTTCATCTTGACCCACACTGGAATAAACCTGCAAACAGATGTGTGTTACTCAGAAATTAGTCCTGGTATATTCTATGGGCCTTACCCCTTCATGTTTTTAGGATTGCTGCTGAAGATGTTGGACTGGGGAGGCATGCTCATCACTTCTTGGCATTTATTAACCCATCGCACTCTCGAGTGACCACTGTGGTGAAAAAGGGCTGAGGGAAAAGCTATGGGAAGAGGGGCTGGCTTGGGACCATGGGCCTAGCCAAGGGGGCAGGTGCCCCCCTCAATCAATAAAAATACTTAACTAACTGAGGTTCTGCCCTCCCTAACAAAAGCCTTCCCCCCCTGTGGCGATCACACAGGGCCCCCGGACGTTTGATGGTCTATTGACCCTGTGTTGCCACTCCGATTGCTTTTTCCGCTGCCACCACCCCGTATCTCACGGGGACACACGGAGTCCAGACAGTTGTTAACATTAACAAATAATCAAGTTTATTTTTAAATGCAGGAACAAGCTTATGGTTTCAGTTAATTTTTCTTGTCAGTTTCTTAAATCTTAGTTCCTAACAACTCCAAACTGATTATTCCCAACTATCTATCCGACTCAACCTAACAATTCCTCTCACTCTCTCACAATACAACTTGACCAACCCACTGCCTGTTCCTCCCTCTTACTTCTCCAACTCCCAACTCCCAAACCTCAACTGACTTTCAAAACCTCCAACTCTAACTTTTACTCCCCCCTTGCGTTCTCACTGGCCAATCACATCACACCCATTTTAACCCTTTACTTATGACCCACCTAGGAGGCAAACGCCACACCCCCCAACATAAAACCTGGCTACGCCCATGCCTGGGACTCAGGGCCCCCATTGAATTCTATGGAACAAAATAAACAGGCTGCAATCTGGGGCACAGCTGAAAAGGACAGCCGTTGCTTCTCACTCCAGACACTTGATTCTGCATACACACATTTTAGTCTAGAATCAATGGAGTCTGGGTGCTGGTGTGTGGTTTTAAATGTACAGGCAGAAACTATTTTACATGCATCCGATTGAGGTGTGACCGTCACACACTCATCTCTGTGGACCTGGAAGTGGCCCAAAAAGGGGGTGGGACAAGACGGGGGCAGAGCAGGGCAGGCAGTGGGGGGAACAGGGTCTGCCAACAGGTGCGAACACCCAGAATGCAACCCCCATGCAAATAGGCAGTTGCCTGTAATCCACACGGTCTAGAGCTATTGCACATCTTTTGTCTGAAAAGTGCTTCTTGATATTGTGTACACCCTATGGGAGCAATTCAGTGTTGTGTTATTATTGAATGTTCTGTCAGCGCAAGTGGTTCAACTTGCCAGATGGCAGAGTCCCTCCTCTCTGAGACTCGACTAAATGACTAAACAACAACAACAAATTTTAACATCACAATTCACAGGATTATTTGATATGATTTGTGTGCTAAAACATTTTCTTTTGGATTTGAGAAAGATAAACAAAGATTCTTGTATTACTTATATTTGCAATTTATACTTATATATTTGATATGATTTGTGTGCTAAAACATTTCCTTTTGGATTTGAGAAAGATAAACAAAGATTCTTGTATTACTTATGTTTGCAATTTATACTTATATTTGCAATTTATGTCAAGTTTTGTGCTTTTTATTTGTTCTGACAATACTTCTGCTTTTGAAAATTGAAGTTAGCATTTGGGGTGGGAGTGCAAGTTGTTAGCCTTGCCTAGAGTGCAAAATAGCCTGCCATTGGCACTGCTTAGAAATTGCTCTGTAATGCAGAATAAGGGAGAGCTAAAATTTTGCTGCCTTAAGGCAGCCTTAGCTAGTGCTGCCAGCTTTTTTTTCTATCGGGACTTTTGTTCCATAAACAGTGGCTTGACAGGCAGAAGTTCAGCTGTTGTACCTTCCAGCTACCTGGAGATAAATACTGGAGAACTTAATGCCTGTCATGCAGCTGTTAAAAGCAAAGTCGCATCCCCAGGAAACAAGGTGACAACTTCAGGAATGATGAGAAAACAGCAGTGATCCCTGAGTTGCAGTTCCACTAGGAGCAGGTGGACCTAATTGCTTTTATAACCAATTAAGGTACACTTGCAAAGGTCTCCTCAACTCCGGAGGTTATTTATGGCTAGTAAACTCTAGAGAGATAGATGAATTACTTTGGGTATTTTTTTTTCCAGCCAGAAACAGGTAAGCTGTGCAAAGGGACCAGTGACCAACTAGCTAAAAAAATTTGTTTGTCCTTATAATTGGAAGCTGCGGAATAGAATCTTTCTGTGACTGTTTGCTTGTCTGAGGTTTCATATTATACCCTTAACACACATTTGAAGCATATTGTTTCCTTCAGATAACTCTGGGTCCTGTAGTTAGTTAAGGGTTTGTGGGAATTGTAACTCATTGAGGGTTAACTACGGTTCCCACGGTTTTTGAGGGGGGGGGATATGCTTTAAAGTATATTGTGTATATCAGTTATACAAGAAAGCTCAGATGGATGAATTGTGGTCAGTTTGTGAGTCAGGAAACTGAGAAAGCTCCCATACATCAGGTACATCATAGTGCTGAAGCAACTGAAAAATAAATCTATAAATCCCAAGATACTTCCCTCCCCTATTTCTATTAAACTCTTAAAACCACAGGTCTGAAGCTAGCAATCCATTATCCTTCAAAATAAATGAAGGCAGTTTATGTGGCTTTGTAATTCTGAAAACATATTCTATAAGTGCCATGGAAACATTAGCTTGTATAAGTGATTTTACATTATGCTGTGGTACCATAAGCTTTACAGAAGCAAGAATCACTAAGCTCAATGTGATTTTCTCTCAGTCAAGTAACTGCAGAATTGCAGACTGAGACCTTTCTCTTATAGGCTCAGGGGGCATTTACATTTGATAAGTCTGTGGGTGTTTCTTGGGCTGTTCATGTGTGTGTGTGTTTAATAAGCATTTTCAGGCTTGTATACTTTAGTGCAGGCATAGGCAAACTCGGCCCTCCAGATGTTTTGAGACTACAATTCCCATCATCCTTGACCACCGGTCCTGTTAGCTAGGGATAATGGGAGTTGTAGTCCCAAAACATCTGGAGGGCCGAGTTTGCCGATGCCGGCTTTAGTGTCACTAGGGAGACCCTGAGTATTCAGAAATCTCTCCGCTGTTTTTTGGTGGTCCCATTTCGCTTCCAAGCTCTGGGTGGGGAACTTTTGGCACTCCAGGCTTTGCTGAACTACAACTCCCATGACCCCTGGCCATCAGCTATGCTTGCTGGGAAGAGTTGCTGTTCAGCAACACCTGGAGAGCCACAGGTTCCCTACACCTGTACTGTGCAATTAACCATGCAATTGGGCCGTTAGTGGAAAGTAGTGGGGCCTGTAACAAAATGTTGCAGTGTGGGGTGCTGCTGTCAAGGTCCAGGAGTCTGTATTTTTCCGTCCCTGACAGTCAGTCATCAACACAGTCCACTGGGCTCCCTTGGCATGCATATACCTCCCTGGGCAGTTTGGAGAGTGATGTACCTTCCCCTTAGGGTTTTCCTCCTGAATAATTGTTGTACTTCTGCAAATCCTGGAGTTCACTCCAAGCCTGCTGATATTGTCCTCTTCTAGCTACATAAGGGCTGGAACTCAGAGATCACTTACAGTAAACATTTGTTTATTTCATAACATTTATTACCACTTGATTGTAAAAACAAAAAACACCACACACCCTCAAAGCAAATTATATATGATGACAATTCTTTTGTAAGAATAAAATGTGTCTGCCTCAGACTTGAAGCACAGGGCGAAGGAAGAAGTGGCCTCAAAATTTATTTGCATTTTATTATATAGCATCCCTTCCTTATACTAACCTGCTGTTGCCTGGGAGTTGAAATTTCCTTCCGGATGATTGTTGCTCTCAGAGTTCACACTTCACTTGCAATTCCCTTGCAGATCACTTTGCATCTGGGGCCACTTTCGACATGGCCCCAAGTTCTCCCCCCACTAGCTGCCCCAGGAAGATTTAAAAACAAAAACATGCTCCCATGATGCTTTGTCCATCTCCCGACATTTTACAGATGAGAGTAGGGGTGTTCTTATGCATTTGTAAAATCTTATTCTCACACCATCTGTGAGAAACCCCTCGTGGGACTGGGGTATGGGTTTGTTTTGTTCTTGTTGTTCTTATATATTTTGTGTTCTTATTTTGTATTTTTATGCTGTGAACCTCTCCAAGATCTTCAGATGAAGGGCAGTATACAAATGTAATAACAACAACAGCAGCAACAATAATAATTACACTCACACATACATGATACGTTCCTGAATGGTTTCTTGCCTACTGTACTCATTTGTTGTGAAATAGGTAAAGGGAAGGGACATGGGTGGCGCTGTGGTTAAACCACAGAGCCTAGGACTTGGCAATCAGAAGGTCGGCAGTTTGAATCCCCGCGATGGGGTGAGCTCCCGTTGCTCGGTCCCTGCTCCTGCCAACCTAGCAGTTCAAAAGCACGTCAAAGTGCAAGTAGATAAATAGGTACCGCTCCGGCGAGAAGGTAAACGGCGTTTCCGTGCGCTGCTCTGGTTCGCCAGAAGCGGCTTAGTCATGCTGGCCACATGACCCGGAAGCTTTACGCCGGCTCCCTCGGCCAATAAAGCGAGATGAGCGCCGCAACCCCAGAGTCGTCTGCGACTGGACCTAACGGTCAGGGGTCCCTTTACCTAACCTTTACCCTAACCCCTGACCGTAGCCAGCATGACCAAGCCACTTCTGGTGAACCAGAGCAGCACACAGAAACACTGTTTACCTTCCCCCCCGGAGTGGTACCTATTTATCTACTTGCACTTGACGTGCTTTCAAACTGGTAGGTTGGCAGGCGCAGGGACCAAGCAACAG